TTCCAGTGCCATGGTTGAGCACACTGCGAGTAAAATGGTCGGCAACCAGCACTTTCATTAAAACCGGGTGCTTCTGTCATCGCACCCGCCGCTATAGAATCTTCTGTTGACTTCCCTCGCTTGACTGACCTGTCGTCAATCCCTCACCACTCTCGAGGTCCTGTTTCTCAGCTGCATCATCCCCATCCCCATCACGGCAACGGGTACTGCTCCAAGAGCTCGTCGATCTTGGGCACAAGATCTGGGATTCGAAACGGCTTCGAGACGACATCATCCTATTCAGCCACCACGACTGTCAGCGGGGCCCGTACGTACCGAGCGCACAGCTGCGTGGAGAATGCAAAGACGACTCACCATTCCCGCATGGAGTGCGGCCGCAATCTGCTCCGACCGCGCATTGGCCGTCACAGCAATAATGGGTATATGTCCTGTAAGCTTTCCTTGTGCTTCATACTCTCGGATCTTGCGGGTTGCCGTCAAGCCGTCCACTATATCAAATGGTAAGCACATGCATCCCCACGTCGAAACTCTTGGAGTATTCCGTTGCACTTACTGACTGGCATTTCCTGGTCCTATTTCTCCGTTAGTATGTCGTGGAAACGTAGACGGCACGAAGGCGGCCAAAGCCAACTTACCATGAGGACCACGCCGATCTCGAGCCGGTCTGTCATGCTGGCGGCATCACGCCAATATGTCGACTGCATCAGCTTGTCCAGTGCTTCTCCTCCATGGTTCGCAACATGGACTTCCATGCCTCGATTGGTGAGCTGCTTACGCAACACTTTCTGGTTGACAAGATTATCTTCTACGATAAGCACCTTGGTGACTTGAGGACGCGCAGACTTGACCTGGTCGTCACCTGTGCCTTGGGCGGGCTGGACATGGGCACCTTGAGGTGAGGGAACCGCCTTGCTCTGCGCCTTCACTGCCTGGGCTGGGGCGCGCTTGACGCCGGAAGCGTCGTGGGCGCTATCAACCGGCCGACTGCTCCTACGGGCAGCAACAAAGAAGGCGAAGGTGGATCCTTCGCCCGCTTCACTTTCGACCCCAATCTCACCGCCTTGGAGCTCCGTCAATTCTCTGCTGATGAAGAGGCCCAATCCAGAGCCACCATACTGGACATGGGTGCGGGGCGAAGCCTGGGAGAAGCGAATAAAGAGCAGCTTTTTCTCCTCGGCAGACAGGCCACGGCCCGTGTCGCGCACCGCGAAGTGGATGTAGACCTTCTCGCCGGTGCCCCATTCATGCTCAGGAAGTATGTCCTTGTCCTTTTTACGAGTCGGAAAGTACTTGACGGGAGCATCTGGCTGATCACTAGGACGCTGCACAGAAGCTCCTATGGTGACGGTGATGGTGCGACGATCTTCTGTCCCAGTGAATTTGATCGCGTTTGTCGTTCTGCACCTTGCTGTCAGCGTGTAATACAAGCGTGGATACGGGGCGAGAGAAGTACAAGTTAATAAGCACTTGGAGCACTCGACCTGGTAAACGTCAGCACCGTTGGGAACGAACACCGCAGTCGGGCCGTGTAGAGAGCTTACTGGGATCGAACCGCACCCAATTAAGGTTGAGCTGGCGGAAGGACATATGAACAACGAGCTTCATCTGAATATCTGCCGCCTGGAGTTCCCCTTCGTGCATCTTGAGAGCTCTGCGCACAACGGTCAGGGGTTCTGCATCAACGGGAGTGACGAGCAGCAATGCTGAATCCAGCTTGCTCAAAGTTAAAATGTCGTCGACGATCCGCTTTTGATGCTGACTGCAAAGACTGATCGTCTGTGCCGCATCCAAACAGCTGGCGAGCAGCTCGTCGGAGATGGTCCGCTCACCGCCGTGGCGGAATTTGGTGAGTGATGTTGCGATGTCGTCGGCGCATTGTAAGATGGCGGAAAGGGGATTGCGCATCTCGTGCGAGGTAATGTCCTTGCCAACGTTAGTGATTCCATTGCTCACTCGCGCGCAGCTTGCTTGCGTATTGCCAAGCAGCAAACTCACAATGAAATTCTCCTGTTGTCGCTTCAGCTCAACAGCTTCTTCCATCTTTCGAGTCTGGAGTCCTTCTGCCCATTTCTAAGGTATGTAGAGTCAGCACTTTTGTTCCGCGAGGCACTCGCCCACGCCCAGCACGGGCTTCGATTTACCTGTTGACTGATGTCTGTAATACTGCCGAATATTGATTTCAACTTTCCATCTGGGTATTGTTCTGGGTACCCGGAAAAGAGGGCCCACGTGTCACTGCTCTCGCCATTGCCGTCTCGCCATTGCGCCTTGAATCTGAACTCTTTGGAAACTGGCTTGACGTTGATCACCAGCTCCGTCCACAGTTCTTGCACAATATGCAAATCTTCTGGTTTCACCGCGTCCGTCCACGTGTCGGCCATGCTGGCATTCTTCGGCACTCTCGAAATGTCGTACCATGTATCGTTTGCAAATGTGATTTTGCCCTCGCTGTTGGCAATGAACATACCGACCGGGGCAAACTCCGCCATGCGTGTGAACTTGGTCTCACTGTCTATAGCCTCCCTTGTACGTTGAGCCAACTGCTCCGATAGTTCTATACGATCCAGTGCCGCAAGCTGCGCAGCCCTCTGCCCTCGTCTGATCTCCCCCTCAAACAATACCACAGAAGCAAGCGAGGTGCCCAGCTGCCGACTCAGGAGCTGGATAAACAGGCTGTAATCGTCGTCGTAGGGCCGTCGTGGATTGACCCCCAGAACCAGGAATCCCAGTACGTTTTCCCCTGTCGTGGGACGGATCGGGCACACTACGACGGCATCCACAGGATCTCCGAAACCACGCCACTCTAAACCAGTCACCAGGCTCGCGGGCAGATCCCGACTCCCTACCTCCAACAGAACGGGCTTGTCGGTCTTGATGACTTCCCGAAAGACTGGACCAAAGCCTTCCATGCCAGCTCGCAGGTCGATATGATCAGGACCTGCTTGATGACCCTCTGGGAGTCCCAGAGCGCCCTCGAGTATGCACTGCCGCGAGGAAAAATTAGATCCGGATTGAATACTACTCGCATCACTGTCTGAGTCTTCGGTGACGGAGTAGAGAAGCAAAAAAGGGGAGTCGTGCTCGTTGAACTCGAATGACCCGAGGACCTGCGACCAGAACGCCTTGACATCCCGAGCAGTCGCAGTCCTTTCGCCAATCTCGCGCAACGTCAGCATCCTTCGTTCCGCAATCTTCCTTCTGGTCTTCTCGAATGCAGGATTATAAAGGCCCATGACGCTCCCATCGCTGCCCACCATGGGAATGATGGACCACGAAAAGTAACACTCTTCGAGATGGTCACTTCTTCGGATGAAGAGGCAGTCGTCGTCCTTCATTGTGGCCTCTCCTGTCGACTTGGCGTTGGCGAAAACATCCTTAACTTCGTCCCAAATTTCTGCCCATGCCACTCTGTAACTCGTACCCATCAAACTCGGATGCTTCTGGCCAGCAAGTAAGATGTATGCCTCATTGTATATCGCGATCAGGTCGTCTCCCCAGTACATTGCTGCGGGGTGGGGAGACGCCATGATGAGGTTCACGGCCTGACGCAGATTCGCACACCTTGTTACCTTGCATCAGTACAACCCATACACACCGCACTCCCAGCTAAAGGGTGCATCTCAACTCACCAATTCTCGATAGGGCCAAGGCTGGTGGAGGCCCAATCTATGCTGCGTGCGAACTGGATGTGGCGAGGCATAGTGTCGGACACGGGTAGTCTCGTCCAGTCGAAAGACGGCGCATCGGATGAAACCACCGGAATTTGGCTAACAGCGACATTGGTATTAGCGACAATGCTGTGAGGCGGTGGTAATGGTGGTGTTGTTGTTGAGTGTGCTTTCGTAGACATCGCAGAAGGGGTAGCGGTATTGCTTCCAGTAGCGATCGAGGATGATACGTACGTGTTTGCACTGGGCAGGAGCTGAGTGGCGCCAGAAAGATCAATGTCCGCCAGGAGGGTGAGTTTTTGAGCATCTTGTAGTATCTCGGGGTCGAGCTGTTGCGCCTCGATGGTGGGCATGATATCGGGGGCACCAGAGCGACCTGCGCCTGTAGCATTGACATTCTTGGTCGGAGCTGTTGCACCAAAATAGTCAGGGGGTTCTGCAGGCGTCCTACGAGGCAATAATTCTGACGGAGGCGCGCTCAACTCAAATGCAGCTGCGGAAGACGACTTGGAATTGGACGAGGTTGAGTCCAAAGTCCCACTAATGACCCGAAGCCTTTTGCGTAATGTGGAACAACTCCAGGTCATAGATAGGTATGGAAAAGGAGGCAGACAGACGTTCAGGCTTTCGCCATTGACAGATGCGCTCAAGAGCCAAGACTTGAATTGGAGGAACGTCTGCGATCCTCGTGATGCTTCACGAGAAGTCATCCCAGTTATTGACGCCTGCATTCCTTCGTGCGACCGCAGAGATGAATTGGAGAAGACGGGGTGTAGCGGACCGGAGCCATAATTGGCACTATCGCCCAAATCCACGATGAACGTTGGTCTTTCGTCTTGCTCCAGCAACTCCACTATCCCGATTGAATTGAGTATTCCACTCGTCCCATCATGACCTTCTTGTACATTGTGGAGTCCACCGTCGGAGCTACTCCGCTGTGTGATGGTGCGCTCCAAGCTTTTACGATGGGATGGCGCGCCCGTCGAACCCAAGCCAGCAGCGGGGCTGGATACGGTCCCACGAGCCAGGCTCACTGTCTTAATGTGGCCTTCCTCGCTGTGAGCCTTCGACAGCATGTCGGTTGCTCTTGCTGCTGCCTCGCCTGACAAGAAGCGTGGCAGCTCTGGACGCGCTCGAGGGCTATTGCTGAAGAAGAGAGGAGAGGACGGCCCCTCGACCGATAGGCCGTCTGGCGGGCCAAATGCGCTCCCGTTGAGGCTATGCTTAAAGCGCGGTCGCAGCTTTGCACGCTTGCGCGAGCGCTGAGGCGAAGGGGCGTGCTCGACTGGCGTCGGGTCGAGGCCGAGCTTTCGCTTCGAGCGACTCGTCGGCGTGGAAGGTTGGTCGTGAAGCAATGACAGCTGCTCTGCACAAGGTGTCGCAAATCCCTCACGACTCGTCCCCGTATATCGCGAAGACTCCTTTCGAGGGCTGGTGGAGCGCCTAGAGAAGGAGTTCCATATCGATGGCGTCCGGTCAGTATCTGCGGCTGCTAGTCCAGAATGACGTCGACTGGGACTCGCAGCAGACGGAGCCCCGACAGAATCTCTCGTTGCGCTCGCAGAGCGACCACTAGCAGCCGTCTGCGGCGGAAGAAGAGGAGAGGTGGGTCGGCGGAAGGGAGAGGAGGAGCGCACGTTGTGCAGGAAGTGTAGCGGAGGAGGGTTCGGTGGCAGTGGGCGGTCGTTCAGGCTGTCCTTGGAGGTGAAGATAGAAGGCTCGTTGGAGCCCTTCATTCCTAGGTCGAGGGCATATCCATCGGGACTTTGTCGTCGGCGCTAGCAGTTCACAGTGGAGGATACCCCGGTCTGCATGATGTGACGCGCTCCGACAGTGCTAGTAAGGTACTATAGGTAGCGAGCCTTGGGGGACCCCGAGATGCGAGAGCCTGAGGCTGCCGTTGTGAGTGTGTCTGACGAGAGCAGCGAGGCCCGCCGGTATAGGTCTAAATCCGCGTGAGCAGGACAGTGAGAGCGCGGTCTTCACCACCAGGAAGGGGTTTGTGAGTGAGGGAGTGAGTGAGTGAGTGTAGTGTGTCCAACCCGCCAAACCCGCCAGACTGATGTCCCTCGTCCCAAGAGCCCGGAGGAGCCTCATTCATCCCGGCGACGATCTTATCTTTGTTCGGACTAGGACTCTCCCTGCCCTGCCATGCCGATATGATCGATGGCGTTTGGCGTTGCATTTCTGCACGCACGTGTCGGAACGGGAGGTAGAGGTCCTAGAGGAGGAGGTAGGGGGTCAGGGTTCAATGACATTGGCAGCACAGAACAAGGCTCTTTTTCACCGTTTCACCACAGTGATGGCAGCGCATGGTCGTGGGTCTGACAGCTGCGGCCTGCCGAATGGGGCATGGAATGGCATGGCATGATGGAACCATTCCTGAACCGAATTGAACTGGAAAGCAAGGAAGATACCTAAGGTACTAGATATGTATACTCACTACCTCTTACGCTTTACCTACCTACTACCTCCTACTCTACCTTAGACAAGCACCCGGCTCTCGCCATTGCGCAAGTCGAGCCATTTCGTGTCGTCGAAGCTTTCCAACACTGCGTCGCGCTCACTGTTGGCGACAACATGCTCCCCCTTCTGTCGTTGTTCTCTTTCTAGCTCCAAAGCTTCCTTGATCGTCTTGACCTCACGTTTGATGAAGAAGCCCACCAGGCCACGTCCTTCCTTCACTTCATCATGAGTGCCTACCCAATATTTTGCTTTCAAGACCCTTTGAGCCTTCAGACCGTTATAGACTCCTAAGTTCAATTGTCTGGATGACCGGCACAGGTCAGCGACGAGAGAGTATAGGTCATAGGCAGTTCTCTTAATTCGATAGTATCTTATGCAACTTGGCGTGGAGTTGTAGGGACGTGATTTTCTTGAAACTTACAGCGCGGTTCTCCCAATACTAGCGAGGCGCACATTATGCAAGCCATGCAAGAATACCAAAGTGGAGATTGCCGGTGACGCCTCGGGGATAATCTTCAAATCGCCACTGTTCACACCATGGGGCGTGTATATGACAGCTTCGGCTCGTTCCTCGTCTTCGTCTGGCTCGATCGTAGCGTGTCGGCGTGCCCTACTTCCATTGCTGCGAAGGTTATTACTCACGCTGGTCACTCTCGTCTTACCAGTGTTGTGCCTGTTGTTCCAAGTGATCAAGATGGCGCTGTGATAGTTCAGAGCGTCATTCGTGGACAGGAGTCTACTGATGCCGATCCATTCGGGCAGAGGAGGCATACTGGTCGCTCGCCAGTCGGTCATGCCGTCTGTGCCGAATACATCCAGCGCAATCACTGTCCGGAAATGTTTGAAGCCGTCAATCACCTTTGCGGCCTCCTTGGCTGCGAAGACAGGCACGTTTCTGTGCAGCTCCACCTGAGCCTCTTAGCTTCTTGCTGATGACCATTCCGACTTACGCGCAGAAAGATGGCTGGAGTGTGAACCAGGTCTACGCACCAGTGTCTCTTTATGGCAATGGTCGGTGAACTCGTGGGATATGGCCACAGCGTCTATCAGCGTATCCCCATGCCCATTCCCCAGCTCTTCTGAGTCTTTCGCCGGCTCTCGGTGCGCGCCCATCGCCAACGCCTCCACGTCGCGGATCAAGTCCTCCAACTCGGCAATGGTCTGCACGGCGCTGGGCGTGGCATGGAATTGCTGGCTGAACCAGCTTGCAACGTCGCTCTGACCGCCTTTCAGCCAGGGATCCACCAGTATGTTGTAGTAGAATCGCGTCCCCCGCCGCACAGCATTCTCGGGTCGCGGTATTTGAAGCAGCCAGCTGGAGTCTTCGTTGAGATGGGTCAACACGGGACGCTTCGTCGTCGCCAGAGCCTCGTGGATGTTCTGGCGGAGCTCTTGATAGAGCTGGAGAGAGGGCTCGTCCATGATGATTTCACCAGGTGTACCTGTTATAAGAGGCAAATGTATGCTACCGCATGGCTCATGCTAGTTCGGGGGGAGGTGTATGTAACAAGCCTTGCGGTAGCTTGACTCTATTTCGACGATAGATAGGGTACAGTAGGGTAGGCGGTAGGGTAGGGTAGGGTTTGTAAGGTAGATAGGTACATAATAAGGTACCTGTATGTACATAAACAGTGGCTTTCTTCCCTGACGATGACGCAGCTTGCAGCAAACAGGCACATGTACAGGTAACAGGTCTAGGTAGAACTAGTGAGGCGCCGACAACTTCTTTTCTTGGTTGTTCCCTGGGATTACTTGGGCATCAACGCACAACAGACGACACCAGATCACACGTCCGTCCGGTGGTCGCACCTGAGAATAACCGATGGACTGCTTGAGCTGGGGACGCTGCATTCCTTTGACCCGCCATCGCCATCGACATCTCCTCTTTGACGACTTCTCCTACTGCGTCCCTGACCCGTCTCCCTCTCTTCACTCGCAACCGGAAGACAGCAGCGACGCGGTCCTCTAGGCCAGACCGACGAACGTGCACACAAGACACCATCATCGCGACACGCAGACTCTGCCATATTGCAAGCCGAAGCACAGCGATTGGAGTGTGGCCACTACCCAGACAGCGCCACCCACGTGCGCCATGAGTGAGAAGTATCAGCCCCCGCCAGGCTACCGGAGGACTCAGTCTGGCTACGATGGCAGTGATCAGCAGCAGCAGCAGCAGCAGCAGCAGCAGAGGACAGACGCTTCCGCTGCTCAGCGCGCCTCCTGGGGACTGGGTGGAGCGTCCAGCAGCCAAGCTCGGGGCTCCAATAATCCATATCGAGATGCTCACCTGAGTGCTACCCCCGTTCCGCGTCCCTCCAGCATTGCTTCCTCTCACACACCTGCGAGAGTGCAGGAGCAGTACCAACCGCCCCCAGGTCCGCCTCCGGGACGCCATCGTAGTCCCAGTCAAGACACGGAAATGACCACTGACGATTATGAGCCTCCCCCATTCCCGCCACCAAGTCGTGGCTCTCGAGGACCGTCTTCGAGAAGTAGTGCTACCCCCAAATTGCCAACGCCGAGTAGTGAGCCAGAGCAACCTCCACCAGAGTATGATCCCTGGACAGGGCCCGACAACAACTTACAACTGCCGCCATCCTTCGCCGCAGCGAATGCACAGAACACACGCAGTCCTGCGGCTAACGCAGACTATGATGATGCCGCTCGAGCACACGCTTGGTGTAGACAGAACCCCCTCTGGCCACCTCAAGACCACGACGGCGGAACTGTAGAACGCATCCAAGCCGGTGAACTAAGGCTCACCTGTCCTCCCAATACGACAGATGTCACACAGTACAACCCATCTCCAGGCCGAAGCTACGTCCGCACTTCAGAAGCCATCAGTGACACCATCATGTTATCGGACATTCCCATCTACTCCGCCAACGCACAAGCCCCTCTCACCACTGGCCAACCCACGACTCTCTACTTTGAGCTCAAAGTCATGGCCATGGGTGACCGTTATGGAACCGGCAAAAACATCGAATCCGGCATCGCCATTGGATTCGCCGCTGCTCCTTATCCTGCCTGGAGACTGCCCGGTTGGCACAGAGGTTCACTGGGAGTCCACGGCGACGACGGTCGAAGATACATCGACAACAGCTACGGCGGCATCGACTTCACCACTCCATTCCAGCGAGGCGAGGTCGTCGGAATCGGAATGACATTTAAGCCGCCCGTCCACGGCGATCGCGTGAGTATGCGATGTGAAGTCTTCTTTACGCGAAATGGCAAGAGAGACAACGGATGGAGTCTGCACGAGGAACGTCCCATTGACGCTGATGCGGGCGACATTGATGGGCTGGAAGGTGAACATGATCTTCTCGCAGCCGTGGGCGTCTTTGGCAGTGTCGAATTTGAAGTCGTCTTTCGCAGTGAAGAGTGGTTGTACAAGTTTTGATTGATTGAGCGAGAGAGAGAGAGAGAGAGAGAGAGAGAGAGAGAGAGAGAGAGAGAGAGAGAGAGAGAGAGAGAGAGAGAGAGAGAGAGAGAGAGAGAGAGAGAGAGAGAGAGAGAGCAAGAGAGAGACAGACAGATAAGGAAATATCTGGTCAGGCATTGATACCCTAGGGAGAAACTTTTTGCATAGCATAGCGAAATCATGATTGATATTGGGAGCCACACACACACACACACACAGAGAGAGAGAGAGAGTTCTGATTGGACTTTCTACCTTGGTCACAACTACCACGCACTCGCCGCTGCAGCTTCGTTTCTCGATTTGTGTTCACAACATATATCAACTTCGGCTTCCACGGGATGCTGGGCTGCACGAAATTTGTTAGTTTTCGTTCATGTAGGCCGGGTGTGTGAAGCATGCGGCGGGATATTGTCCTTACTATTGGCAAATCGCACTCTTCTCTTTCTTTCTTGCTACTCGTACATAAATCTCGACTGGCGAAGTACTCGTAGTCCTTTTTTGCTGAGGTATGCTCTGCCGAAGTCCAAACTGCCAGGGTGGGTAGCAGCTCTGGCGTCTGACTGGGTGATGTGTGGCTGTCTCCGCAAGTCAGGGAGATGACCGGCGCGCCATTAGGCTTGCATCATCTGCCCAGCTCTCAACAGGTGCCCTCTTTTATGGGTGTGTATAGAGAAGTCCACGGCATAGATCCTTTATGCGCCAATGCCAATCTGATGCGCTCTTGAGGTTGAGTATGTCCGCCATAAAGAGCTCCGCGGGCGTTCTCAGCTTCACACGCGTGGTCGATTACCGACTCTATCGGCCCTCGTGCTGCATGCCAGCCGGCGAGCCACTTGCTTGAGGTCCTCGGACTCCAGGCGGTGGGCTCATAGCCATCCCACCACCCGGAGCTTGTCCAGCCTGTGGTGGGAACTGAGGTGGCATCTGAGGAAATCCGCCCTGCGGAGGTGAGAAGGGCATGTTGGCTGGAGGCGAGCCCGCGAATGGGGGCATACCAGCCGGCGGATTGAAGCCTGGCGGAAAGCCGTTCGGCGGCATCGGGAAGCCTGGTGGGAGGGGCGGCATGCCGCGTCCTCCTGGGGCCATTGGTGGTGGGAAGCCTGGTGGGAGGGGAGGCATTCCTGGGACGGGTGTCAGTGTCATCTTTCCACCACTACTGTACTCTTGATGTTCGCATACCTGGAGGAAGCGCGCCAAAGCCTGGCATGCCGGGAGGAGGTGGTCCAGAGAAGCCTGGTGGTCCTCCTCCTTGACCCGCGGACAGTTGTGGCTGCAGAGGCATGCTCTGTCCCTCAGCCGCGTACGAACTCGTGATGCCGTCGATGACAGCCTGTGCCTTCTCGTGACCGATTTGTTGGTAGTAGTCGACGACGTTGCGGAGGTGGTTTCGGCCGCTGTTGTGCGCCTTTCGGACGCTCATCGAGTCGTGCGTGAGGTAGACATCGCAGTAGTCGCAGAAGAATTTGGGCATCTTCACTCCTCTTTCGCGCGTGGGTGCGCGTGTTCGTGTGGTCGTCGGTGTAGGTTTGGGGGCGCAATTGATGCTCCAACCGCGATGGCGAGGTGGCACTGAGTGTCGGTGTTGCTGTCGGGGTGCAAGAGACAGAGAGCAAGGTGTATGTAAGTGGTAGCTGGTGGTATGTTGTCTGGTTCTACAGAGTTGATCCGTGCCCCTGCAACTCGACAACTCAGTGTCTTAGCAAACATAGGTACCTACCTACCTATTTATTCACTTACGATGAACACCAAACAAGCATATGATTTAATCAGGTAGTGACAGCTTGCGCTCGACGAGTGGCCATCTCCAAACCACCACCATCATCATCGTCGTCAACGGCTTGAACATCATGGCGTACCAAGGCCCAGGTCACAGCGTCTGGTCTGCCATGAACTACACGCCGCCAAGAGGCCGCTGCAACTACAAGACGTCGATGATCTCCACCTGTGAATGTTTGCGCTACATGCTGCATCCCGTCAAGGCAAATCCCCTCAAGATCATCGCGGCTGACATGCTGCACGAGCTGACCATGACCAGGCTGCCACGAGTTTCGATTGCGACGGATGCGGCCACCATGCGTCTTTCCACTCTCTCGAAAACAGCTTCGAGACTGCTATCCTGGAGAAATGGTCCGCTCAGCAGGAGTCCACTACCGGCGGTGCTACAAACACAGGCACCTCCAAGAAGCGACGCCGCATCGTTGAGACGCGACAAGATGACATGGAGATTCTGGAGCTGGCAGAGGACGAATTTATTGCCGCGAGCGGTGCGTCGACCACTCGCAACCTAGCGGGAACACCAGCAAATTCACGCGCATCGCGAAAAGGTGCTGGCGTTGTCAACCGGGCGAGTGCAACCTGAAGAGGTGATATTGCCACTTCCACCTAGCGAGAGAGCCGTCCTGCTTGGTAGTGATGGCAAGGACATGGACTGCCAAGCTTTGTGATCTAGCAGTGGCAAGGAGACCAGATGAAGCACAACGTGCATTGCCACCGATCCGGCTACTGGATTGTCCCTCAGCGGATAGTGGCAATGATCAAGGTTGCTCGGCAGATTGCTGTCATATCCGACTACTCATAGATCATAGGCCAGTGGAAAGGTTGCCACCAAGGCAGAGTGGTATAATTTGGGATATGCCCTGGCTCCTACAAGCGACGCTCTTCGCAGGTCCGCATGAGGCGAAAGCCAGCAGCAGGTCTCTTGTGGACTGCACATCTGCCCGAAGCTCTTACCTCCTACCTCCTAGGAGGTAGGAGATGCACACTGGCACAAGCAGACGCATGATATCAAGGAAACCTTCATCCGAGCTCTCTAGTCTCCACTGCACTGTGATCAACGCAATCTTGTTATTGCTCCCGTCACCGTGTCCGCGTAATGGTCCCCGCGCGTGGTCTCCATATCAACTTCAGCCTTCTGCAGCAGCTGACAAATGGGCGATCGACATTGTCAAGAAGCTTACACATCTTAGCTACATAGCTTGGCACGGATGTTTAAATGAATGCAGCAAAGGTGGAGGTAGTGGGTGTAGTGTAGGTACGACGCTGCATTCTCACATCATATGCCAGCAGAACAAGTCTAGCAACGAGGTTCATCTGGCTAGTACCCGCGCTTGGGAGGCGTCGATAATTTGCTGCAGACTGCTCTACATACAGCACATGAACACCACTGCAATGCCACGCTTGCATGTCTACTTATGATGCACTCGGGATGTCGGCATGGCACGCTTAAAAGGCAAGCAGTGCATTCAGCTACTTCTACCTCCACCCGTCGCAACCGTTGACTTGCCACAACAACCAACCAAAAAGATTCTTAATCCCTCATACCTCCATGACCCCTCATACCGCTGGGGAGAGTCCTAGCTCTCCAGCGTTGCTCCCTATTTGCTGTCCGTCCGGATTGGCTCGTTGGAGTGGCAACACGGTGTGGAGTGCATGTCTCTCTCTATCCTGAGCAATGTTTATTGCGAAGAGGTGGACAATTTAGACGTTGCTGTCGCTGACTCAAACCCTCTAAGCATGGACGGGAAGCTTTTACCGAGCACGCCAGCGGTGGAGGTAGAGGCGGCATCATGCCACTAATCACCAACTCACTTCGTCCTGCAGTGCGACCAACATAACCTCACGGTTCCTCTTTGCGGCACTGCGACCTACATATATGGAGAAGTGCGAGTGCTCTCTAGCAGCTCGCCTAGCCGCCTGTGGAAGCCAATAATTCATCTCATGCATCAGATCTAAACTCCGCAGTAGCCGTGCTTGGGCCCGTCACTAAAACTGCAAAACACTCTCGTCAACCACACTTACCTACTAGCGCTAATACCTTATTACTTTATTCGACGTGATGGCCGATCGCGCGCTGCTATGCTGCCTATGCTGCCTATGCTGCTATGCCGGGAGCTTGAGGACCACGCGTCAAGCTTCTCATATATAGCCAAGTGAGTATCTCGCCTCAGCGCTGACAGATAACGTGTATCGAACGAACCTCCCCTTTTCTATCATTCCATACGATCAACATGGCTCGCAGCCTCTTGCTTGGTGCAGCTCTGCTTGCACAGACATATGCCACGGCAATACCCACAGGCTTTCGCGAGATTTCCGAGCCTCAAGTGTTCCATCGTCGACAAGAAGGAGAGAGCGGATCGCCACCGGACTTTGCCATCGTCAGTCCACCTACTCAAACGCCATACGGACCCTCTGGTGCAAGTGGCTCGTTACGTGGTCCCACCAGTTTGGCTGGTTACAACCCGGCCTTCCCAGTAGACACAGCTCTCCCTGCTACAGTACCACAAGATCAATATCAATTAGCACCAGGACAGGAAGAGGATGCAGACCTCGGACTCTACCTCGATCTCGCCTCGGTTGAAAACCCGCAACCCATTCGTGGTGGCACCAATGCTCCTACGGATCCGGGTCCACGTAACAAAGAAGTAGAAAAGCAGAACCCTGATCTGTATGCGCCTCCAGGAACCGACTCGGGCGATGTGCCGAATGCGAAGTGGCCGTTGGCCTTGTCCCACAACCGACACGGACTGAATGGTGCTGGATGGGCTCGACAACAGAATGTGGGAAATCTACCGATTGCTACTGCTATGGCAGGTGTCGATATGCATCTGGAACCCAATGCGTACCGAGAATTGCACTGGCACCAAGCTGACGAGTGGAGTTTGATTCTCAATGGATCGTGTCGACTCACGTCCATGAATGAAGCAGGCGAGACCTTCGTAGATGACTTGCAGGCAGGCGATGTTTGGTAAGACAATTTCTCCAAGCCTACCTACGGGGTAGCCTTTATATCAACCCGGGAGAGAACGGTTTCACTAACCACATTCCCTTTCTGCTGCTGCGAAAAAACAGGTTCTTCCCCGCCGGTATCCCACACAGCATCCAAGCCTTCGACGACGGCGTCGAATTCCTCCTCGTCTTCGACAGTGGAGAATTCAGCGAAGACGGCACCTTTCTCGTCTCCGAGCTCTTCGAACGCAATCCCAAATCCGTTCTGGCCAAGGACCTGCGCGTGGATACCTCTGCCTTTGACCATTTGCCCTCGGGACAGTTGTACATCTTGCCTGGCACACCCGCTCCCAAGAACATCTCTGAGCAAAATGTCACGGGGCCTGCGGGTTCGATTCCTAGCGATCGCAGCTACTCTTATCATTTCTCTCAGCAAGAACCCTATGAAGTCCCTGGTGGGAGTGTGAAATTGTTGGACTCGACGACATTTCCCATCGCCAAGGACTTTGCCGTGGGTTTGTTCACTATCAAGCCTGGAGCCATGCGCGAGTAAGTCTGTCGAGAGAGAGACCATACGATATTTTGTTTTTGCAACTTCGACTGACCAAATATTAGACTCCACTGGCACACCACCTCGGACGAATGGGACTACATCATCAGCGGCCAAGGCCGTCTGACCGTCTACGCCGCTCCCGCCAGTTCTCGCACTTTCAACTTCCAAGCTGGCGACACCGGTTACGTACCCGTGACAGCAGCTCACTATCTCGAGAACACGGGAACGGAAGATTTGGTCTATCTCGGTACGATTTCTCCTTCTCCTTCTCCTTCTTCTTCTCCTCCTCTTTCCTCCTCATCCTTCTTCTCCCAGCCATACATGTATTTCTCACTAAACAACATAAACAGAAGTTCTCCAATCACCCGTCTACAACGACATTTCCGTTGCGCAATGGCTGGGATTGACGCCCAAGCAAACGGTCAAGGATCATTTGGGATTCAGCGATGATACGTTGAATCGATTGCCTAAGATTAAACCGTTTATTTTGCCGGGAGATCCGGATTTGACGCAGACGAATTTTACGAGTGAGGCGGATTGAAAGGGAAAAGAAAAGAAAAAAAAAGGAACAAAGAAGAAGTAAGGAGATGATGTAGAAGAGGGGATGAGAGGTAAGGTATGGATGGATGGATGAGAAAAGGTGATATGAAAAAGCGGAAAGACGCACGTTGGATATTGAAAATATGGGAAATCGTAATTTTGATGCATTCATGATAAAATGGTCCATGATCATGATCTATTTCTCACTCTCGCACGCCTTTTGCACTCGAGCCCTCAAATCTGCGAGTCCAACATTCCCATCCCGTATCACAATCACGCCCTGCACTTCTCCGCTCTGCACGACCTTTACAAACTCGGGTGAGATCTCGGAAGCCATCAGTGTTATACACCTCCAGACTTCCACAGTACTGATGGGATTACGAAGACTCTGCTGGAGTTGTTGTGTGACTGCTTGCCTGCTGAAACTGCTGCGTTCTTTCATGCCGCACATGAGCGAGAGGACACGAGCAATGTCTTCGATGCGTTGAAGAGCGGATTTGCGTTCAAGTTCGGCTTTGGTCGGTCCAGAGGGAAGTTTGGATGCTAGGTTTTGTTTCGCAATGATACGATCGAGGAGTGCTGTGCTACGAGATGCAGTCGATTGAGCGGATCTTTGCACGGTCGTCTCGGCTTGTGCAGTCTTCGACTCGACCTTGGCGGCTTGTCCAGCTTTGAGATCTGCCAACCGTTGCTCGCCACGTGCAAATAATGCAGAAGTCTTTTGCGTGGATTCACACTGGATGATTTCTAGCAGTGGCAGATGGTCGAGGAACCTAGCTGCTGTTCTGTTCTCCTTGGCTGTGCTCGCTTGCCATTGATGCCACATCTTGTCCAGCGCATCTCCGAATACATTGTTCGCCTCCTCTTCGTCGATGTAGCTCGCTGCACGCTTCAGACCGCGTCCTCGAGATTGTAAGCGTGCAAGCCGAATTCCTCCTCTTCCATGGTCCTCCAGAACAAAGTCGCGGTGTTGTTTTGGTACAATGGCAAGGACGCGTTGCAAGTCGAGCTGGGTAACATTGCGCTTCTTCCAGTGTTTCGTGATCGTGGGCAGAAGGAGCAAGATCTGTGGGGCGATCGACGTGCCGTTGTGAGAGTAGTGCATTGAGAGTGCTGCCAGGAAAGATGCGTATAGATCCTGTAGATCTTCCACTTCCGAGGGCATGGAAAAGTCCAGCTCTGTCTCTTCGTCGGGCGTCTCAGGAGGCGTGTCGTAGTCGAGCTGCTTCTTCGGTAGAGCAATGGGAATGGGCCGCGCATTGGTCTTGATGTTCAGATTGTCGAACAAGCGGGCGGCGCTCTTGCTCGGCGTCTCCACAGGAGTGGGAGGCACAGCATTTTTGACGCGCTTGTGCCGTGGAGTCGACTTTGGCTTCGATTGCGCTGGCGCCGTCAAGTTTGCAGACTGCACTACCACAATCCCATCTTCACTGTCGCTGTCCGGGACGATATCGCGTTTTCGCTTGGGAGCTACTGACTTGATGGCAGCAGCTTTGACGACGGGCGCTGGTGATGGTGGAGGCGGTGTGGCTACCCGTTTATGCACCGTCTTTCTCTTTTTGCCTTCGTTGGCTTGCGCGACAGGCTTCGACACGCTGCTGAAAGTGTAGATGCTCTGCTGCTGCGTCCTGTTCGATCGTGATTGTTTGCTGGCTTGTGCCTCTTCCAGCGTCGACGCCTTTCTTTTGGGCATTGTCGCTCTGAGATGTGTGATATGTATGTCCTGAGCTAAGATGGCGCGTAAGATAGCCCGAGATAAGTATGTGGTGGTGTAGAGGATTGGATGCGATGCAATGTCGAGGTCGTGTTGAAGATGGAGCAGACGCAGAACACGGAAGCTCGCGAAGAAGCGCGCGTAAATTGGAACGCGTCGGGTCCAGCCACACGCGACAACGCGAAAGAAGTGCTGGAGACGCTCCTCTCGTGCTTAAGTCGTGGTACGGCATTCATTCATGATCTCCACTTCCCCACGTCTCCACAACCCCACTTCCCCACACTTCAAACACTTCCGCCTCCAACACAAACACACACCCGACACGGTATACGTTTTAGGGCCGTTGTGCAATGCCGTATTATGGTATACCACAGTCTGCGCATCACCAACTGCCGAAAAGCATCTCCTCAGCAGAGAACAGAACATGCTCCCTGGCGGGCATGGACATGGAGTATATATGCAGCATGACACGAGGACAGACCATTTCCCTGTTGAGCGGCGCTGTCGGACACTGTGGTTCCAATGGTTGTCTGCACTCAGTACATTGTTGACATACTGCGTGGCAGGCTGTGCTGAAATGTTAATCGGTATAGTAGCATCACGTCCTGACGACTGAGCGTTTTCTCGATGGGGAAGGCGGCCTACCCGACTTGGTATAAAAACAGTGCTTATATCCCAATTGACCACGCGAATTATCCATCGCATGGTACCCTGGACCTTGGAGTGTGCCTACAGCTAGAACAGCATGCCAGTAGGGATTAACATCACTATGAGCAGGGTGGTAATGATGAAGATGAGGACGCGGTAGATGTCAGCTTCGTCTCTCATTTAAAACCGGGGCTCCTCTCTGGAAATTCTTCAAGACTACCTACCTACCACTTCTCTGTTTGACCTTGTACAGACACCAGCCTACAGAAGCAGTACAATGGGGGACATGTTGCCTGGAGTCGAGAACGGCTTCTCCAGTGCAAGCAAACTCGACCACACTCCGGACGAGAAGAATGAGACCAGAGCCACCAGCAGCGCCGGGCTGAGTAATGGTGACCTACCCTTCGATCTCGAGGCGACTGGAGAAGAGCAAGGCTACATTCTTGATGTCGAAGTGCTGAAAAACGTTGCACCAAACTGGGAGCAATATCAGCTCACACAAGACGGTCGTACGGTCCTCATTCCTCAGCCGACCACGGATGTTGACGATCCGCTGAATTGGACGTGGACGAAGAAGCATATTGTTTTGCTGGTCGTTGCGGCGACGTCCTTTTTGCCCGATTATGGCAGTGCCACAGGAGCTGTGACACTGCTCCCGCAGGCAAAGTACGCTTGCTCAACGCGCAAGAGAGAAATTTGATCGTAGGCTAACGTATATCTTTTCCTTTTTGGCAGGATATGGAACCTGCCTGAAGATACCGTAAACCATTCACAAGTAGGAAATGTGTTCATGGTCGGTGCAGGAGCTGTGGTCGTGGTCGCTCTCTCCGCATTCTTCGGTCGTCTCCCTATACTGTTCTGGTTCACCGTCATGGCAGTATGGACCGCAGCAGGCTGTGCCGTGGACAATGGCTTCGACACCTTCATGGCCTTTCGCATCCTGAACGGCTTCTTCTCGACCGTAGCCCAAGGCGGCGGCATGATGTGAGTATACATTGATTGGCTTTCTCAGCATACCAAGGTCGATGCTGCTAACCAGACTACTCTTCTTTCCCCCTTCTCTCGTCAGGTTCATCAAGGATATGTTCTTCGTGCACGAGAGAGCTCGGAAGATCAACATCTGGGCCAGCTTCGTCATCCTATCGCCAGTGAGTTTACACGTGCAGCCTGTCGACCAGAGGAAGAAGAGGACACGCTGACCCGAACCTTACGACGTACCTAGTACGCTGGTCCACTCATTGCAGCGTTCATCATCGAAAAACACAAGTGGGAGCTCGCATTCCAGATCTACACCATCATGACAGCACTCTGCCTACTGGCAATCATCTTCTTGGGCGACGAGACCTTCTACCACCGCAAAATTGCCGCTGCTGAACGCCCTGTGCGTCAGCGAGGAGTGGCCGGCCAAATCTCCCGCTTGGTCGGAGTGGAACAATTTCGTACTCGGCACCTGCGAAACACGTTTGTACAAGCGTGCATGCGATCGGTACACGTCATGCTCAAGCCGACCGTCTTCATCAGCTGCGTCTGGTATCTGTTTGTGTTCGCCTGGGTAGTCGGAATTAACACGTGCTTGAGCATGTTTGTCACTCCTCTCTATAACTTCGGACCACGCCAAATCGGATTCTTCTACTTCACGCCCATCATCGCAGCCACCATTGGCGAGATTGTCGGTCGATGGCTACACGACTTCCTCGCGGACTGGCACAGTCGACGAAGTCCCGGCGGCAGACTGAAGCCCGAGTACAGACTCACCGCCATCACCTTCGCAACGCCCTTTATGGTCGTGGGCATCATCGTGCTCGGGTTCGCATTAGAAGAAGGCTACCATTACATGGTCGCCGCTCTCGGGTGGGGACTGTTTGTCTTTGGCATCATGGTCAGCACGGTGGCCATCACGTCGTACAATCTCGACTGCTATCCCGAGGGGTCCGGTGAGGTGGCTGCATGGCTGAATTTTGCGCGAACGGCGGGAGGTTTCATCATCTCGTACTTTCAAGTGCGATGGGCAAATGCAATGGGCACGAAGAAGAGTTTGGGAATTCAAGCTGCCGTGGTCTTTACTGCGTGGTTCCTGATCCTGTTCTTGCAGGTCTTTGGAGAAAAGTTGAGGAAGATGTCTGGGCCTCTGAGATTCAAGACTGACTGAGTGAGTCAGTGTGTGTGTGAGAGAGAGGGTGAGGGGGTCAAGAGAGCGCGCTTCGTCGCGATAGAGTATCGTTGTCGAGTTCCTTATGAGGAGAGGTAGGTAGGTGTACATGAAGAATGTGTAACCTAGTGCACGCATACGAGGAACCTCAACAATGCGAAAGTGCAGATGTGCAACGTGATCTGTGTCTCTCCAGATCCACTAGCCACTACCTCCGTAGAAGACAGAGCAAAAGTATCCCAAATAAGGTATGCTGAACATTATATGAGAAAATTGAATTGGAAGTTTCGCGTCTCACACCGACACGCGGGGAAATACTCCATGCTCCATGCCCCACGACGTCTTCATCATCACAAGAAACTACTAACTGTAATCATTTCGGCTTTACATCGCAATTTGATCCGTATTTTAGGCGTCGCAGATTCCTTTTTTCGGGGCTGGGGCCCTGGGGGAATGCGGCGGCGATAACATTTTCCCCATCGGAATCGGCAAGGCTCGAGCGACTCCCGATACGAGAAGGGTGGGCGGTGTCGAAGCCATATAGATCCGATATTCTTCTATCAGGTAGTAGTTGTTGGTGTTGTTGTTGGTGTTGATAAAGGTGAAAGAAGACGCGGGATACGCCAAACACAAATCTCGCTTATTCTTCTTCCTTCTTCATCATCATAGGCGCGCCAAGCGAATAAACACATGTACCGACGACCGTACTGTAGGAGGTAGTTCATTTGGCCGCCTTCTCCCGAAGCCGAAAGCCGCTCGCAAAGGCATGAACCTTAAGGAAAAAGGACTGTCCCGTAATAGGCTCTTGGAGTTCTTGATCCTGCTTAGCGGCGGGCTGGGGTCATGCAGATAAATCACATGTGGATGTACGACCGTACGTAGGAGGTAACGTGTTGTACATATAGTACTAGGTACCTAGATACCTTACTGACCAATCCGCCACGACCACGCTGCCCACGTTTGATCTTCTTCATGCTTATGCAATATGTCGGTCTCCGTCCTTTTACACTTTGACGTGCTGGGACTCGGGAGAGAGCCAAAAAAGAATATGTCAGTCCCGTCATGGCAGAGCCGCTGGTAGTGGCATGCACTGGCCGCGGCGGGCCACATGTGACACGATTAGGACCGTGTCACCGTGGGCGTGGCCGTGGGCGTGGGCGCCACATGTTCGACAGACGATAGGTCGATAGCGCTGCTTTGGGGGTGGTGCTTCTTTTTCTACCGGGTCGGCTCTATTACTGTACCTTACTAGTAGCAGATAATGTAGCTAAGTTCTTCACATACATAGAAAACTCACATCCTCTGTGACCTCACTGTTGCTCCCTGTTGTCTTGCATGCGGTTTCACTCTCGATTGTTTGCTTCTTTTCTTCCCTCCGCTTCTTCGTCCTTCTTTTTGTCCTCACCTTCACCTGCACGTCACCGCGCGTTCCGCTCCTTTTGTGGCATCTCGCGACATCGTATACGCGACGAGCATACCTCACTCAAATCGAACGGAGATCCTGCAAGGCTGTTGGCATTTGAAACCAGGATCTGCCTGCGGGCAAAACGTTCTAGAGTCAGACTTGCCTGCCTCCTCCCTCCACACCTCTGCAGATTTTCTTCTTAAGCGCAATGGCTCCCGCGACGTCGTCGCCTCGGTCGTCAGTATTCGAGTTGCAGTCCAATGCGCCTCCGCGACACCATCCGAGGAGCAGACCGCAGCCCTTGCGCATACGAACCTTCAGCGAGAGCAACGATCGCAGTCTTGGCTTCAACGATACTCCTCCGTACGAGCGTCTGCACACCAGGAACAAATCCACGTCCAGCACGATCGAGAATGCTGCATTGAGGCTGAGAACAAGTACCATGTTCCAAGAAGACACAATCGAAGAGGACGTCGATGAGCGCTTTGAAGCAGACCTCAGCCCACGAAGCTCACTCGACACTGTCGCATCAGATGCCTCGACCTTCGCTGAATCACTTGGTTCTCCACTGACCAGTCTATCGAGCGCAAGGACCTCCCTCGAGGCCTCGCCATCGTCCATGATTCACTTCGATTTCAGCAAAATCGATTATGAACTCGAACGCGCCAAAGTCCTGGGAGAAGGTCTCTGGTCCACCGTCTATTTGGCGGAGCAAAAATCGAGCAGCAAGACCGCTTCCAGCCCCAGCCTGCCCAGAAAGCTCTTCCGCAAACCTCGCACACTCTCTGCACCACTTCTCTTCGCCGTCAAGACCCCGTCCCGCCAAGATGCAAAGGACGTTTTCCTCCAAGAAGCACGTATCCTCTCTCGCCTCCAACGCCGGTCCAGTTCACACACGTACATCGTACCCTTTTACGGCCTGGACACTCGCAACGACTCCCTCGTCTTCGAAGCAGTAATTGGAGGCTCTCTTGAACACCTCTGCAATCGCCTCAAACAAATGACTGAAGTCGCTCGCCACCTTGAAGTCATCAATCTCTTTCCCGGAATCGCATACGATCTCATCGCCGGCCTGGAATTCCTGCACGACAATGGAGTCGTGCACGCAGATATCAAGTCTGCAAACATCCTCTTGGACATCTCCTCGCCATACCATCATGCAACAACATCTCATTCTTCTCATCATCATGAATACCAACCCCCCATCATCCGCGCGCGATACATCGACTTCTCCGCATCTTTCGTACCCTCAGGAGACGCAGAAGATACGATACCACCAACCGCCGGCGCCGGCACCTGGGACTTCATGGCCCCCGAACAACTCCGTCTCCAAAAAGACCTCTCAACACCCACTCCCGCAAGCGATATCTGGAGCCTCGGAATCACCCTCTTGACCATTCTCGTCGGAGGCTCACCCTACACGGCAGCATGCGGCGGAAGCAATTTCTTGTTGCGGGAAGCGATCAAAAGCGGAGATCCATTGGGATTTGCGAGAATGGATCCTGTGCCGAGGAAGAGGTTAGCGGCGTGTCAGAATTTGGTGGATTGTTGTCGCTTGGCGTTGAAGAAGGCTCGAGAGAATCGAATTACGGCGAGGGCGTGGATGGGTTGGTTGGATGAATGTGAGTGGATTGATGGGGTGTTGTGTAGTGGTAGTGGTACCTAGCGGCTGCGGTGGTGGTGGGTCGTTGGAATGTATGTTTTGGGAAGGTACCTTACCTTACCTTACCTCGTCAGGTACGGAAGGTAGGTAGTCATGTGGTCGCAGAGGAATACTTAACTGTACCTACCTTAGGTACTTGACCTCACGGTAACCGTGAAAACGCAGAGTTTCGAGAATCGGTCTTCATTCATGCACTCTCTCCGTTAGCTGCTATATCCAGTCTACTGTTGATCTTAGTGAAGTCGTAGCGAGCCAAATCATGCTGGACCAGCTGAGTTACCAGCAGATGCGATGCTCTCCTGAGAGCGCGCGGCACCATCCAAATCCTTATTTCCAATAATCACGCGGGAGCACCATGAGCACCAGCTCCTGTTCACGCCTGTCTGCTCTCGTTCGAGGAACTTTTCACTAATTCGTTCGTCTTCGTACTCCTTCACAATGGCGCCCACAGGCACCATCTTTCGCACTTTGGTCTTCACTCGCCCACCAATGCCGACCATTTCCTGGGTGCTGTAGCTACTACCGTTCCAACACCGGCCTTCGGATTCGGCCTTGGCCGTTTCGAGCTCGAGAGCCGCCAGCTCTTCAGCGTCACATTCGACGTCTTTCTGGACCATGCGTGCGCCGAGGCAGTCAGAAGTTCGCCCACACTCGACCCCTTCGTTGCCTTCTCCGAGACCGGCGCCAATGCCTCCGCAGTGACTATAGCGTCCTCGCCACTTCCATCCGCGTTCATATGTCGTATCGGCTGTCCGCATTGCATGGCCACACGGAGAACAGATCCAGACCACGTCGGAGCAGGTGCAAGGATCTCTGGCGTACTTACGATACTCGCGAGCTGATATGCTTTGGGAGCTGGTGGGCGTCAACCATGATACGGGCTTTGTTGGCAGCCCCCATGACTTACCTCACGTGCACGCCAGCCTCATCGAACGCACAGATTGTGCTGGTCAATTCGCTCAGGGGCGCTTTCATGCAGGTCCGACATAGCCTTCGATGTCGAAGCTTCACTGCAGAGGACGGCGGGGCTTTGATGACACAATTCTGCTCACGGCGTGAGTATCGATCGTTGTCCAACACTGCTCAGCGCAGGACGAATAGGAAATGCGTACTCTGCATAAAGTTCTACCGCAGCTGCGGCAGTCACTGACCATATCTCTCGCACAAGCTCCCACTCTGCCCGATGTGATTCGTTCCACCTTGATACCATGGCGGCCGTAGGTAGTCCAGGCATCACGGCTGGCCAGAAGTGCAGCCCCCAGTCGTTCCCCCGGACTGGAGTCTTCATTATGGCAACGCAGAGTCTTCTTCACAAGCATCGCACGATACTGGAGCAGGTTGGCCCGCACTTGACGACATGTTTGCGCCAGGTCACTCAGAGTGGTGAGATCGATGTAGCTTGCCAGAGACGAGGCAATACTGCTCTCGCGTCAGATTGCCACTGGTAGAAGAGAAGCTTCACGCAACTTACGGATAGCACGATAACGCCGCGGTAAAGGTGTTCAAGTTCGGATTGGGCCTACTATTGTCGTCTCCGACCATGACTGGAAGTATGGCGGCGACATGCTGATATTGACGTAATTGTGGTGTCTGGGCCTCATCCAGATCTAACATGCGCATGGCGGGGACAGAAGGCCGCCGGACGCATCTGACGCCAAGAGTTTGATATTCTATACGAATGTTGATTGAAGAGAGGAGATGTGCGGTAGGTAGGAATGTAGGTAAGGTACAGTGCAACTTATGTAGGGCTACATGTATGTAGGTAAGGACTAGGTAGACCGTTGGAAACAACCTGAATCCATGGTCCCGGGCACGGTCGAGCTCCAAAGCTGGATCAGGAAGTCGAGACACGGAAGCTACGACTTGTGGCAGTGTCCCTCTCTCCCCCGTCCCGTCCCGTTCTTCCTCCACTTTCCCGCTCTTCCCGTCTCTCTTCCGTCTCTCTCCCGTTCTTCCCGTCCCTGCTCCAGCGATCATGACTTGCCAAGGCTTGCTGCGATATGACCACGAATCTGGACTGGAACGAGACTCGGAAACCCTCTTGACGGTACCCACAAGGCTTGCAGTTCAATGGACATATGTGCTAGGAGGTAGGAGTCAGGAGGTGATTGTAATTCGAAAAGGGAACGCAGTCTAAAGCCACTGGCCCTTGACCAAAATAGCATCAAAGGATTCAACGCCAAACAACCTTCTATCACGCGGCACTAGGACAAACACCTCCCCTTCCTTCTTCTTCCAACCCCCCAGAAAGTATTCCGGAATACAGAAGCACAACAGAAATCTCTCTCTCACACACACACAGGGCACCAGAATGTCGCTCAAACTCGTCGCTCTAGCCTCCCTGATCGAATACGTCTTCGTCAAGCCCTACCTCATCCCCAATCAAGACAACACAGACTTTATCGGCTACTGTCTCTGCATGGCATTTCTCGCCTTCTTTGGACAAATTTTCACAAACCGCCTCACAGCAGCTCAATGGGAGAAGACCAAATGGAGTGGAATCTACAGTGGCGTTCTGGGCTACGCTTGGCTTCTACTAGGGGTGAAGCACGAGAATAGGCAAATTCACCATCTTCTGGTCGCAAAGCTTGCGATTTTGGGAGGTGTGCTTGTGGGCGCTTATACTCAAAAGGGCAAGAAGGACAAGTACCATGGTGGAGGTAGACTGTGAGTATCTCCGCTTTCCCCAGTGCCGTAGATTTTGATGATACTAACAGGCTGTTCAGGCAAGCTGGAGGCGGAAGCGGTCCTCGAGTTCGAACCTCAAAAGACATCGACTCTGTCCGGTTTATTAAACCTGGTCAAAGTGGTTGCTGTGGGATGCAGAATGGGTTTCCTGTAGACAACTAGGAAGCCGACACCACCAGGCCGAGAAAAACAATTAGTGGCCGGCCTCTCCGTGGTATTGCGGACTCTCGTGACGAACAATTCAATCGATCTGTGCTGGGCATCGGTGGAAGCAGAGCTTATTAGCATGAATAAGGCTTAGTCCCAGACTGCATATCCAGAAAGGTTCAGGTGGTGATGTCCTCTGCCTGGACCGGAGGAACAGCAGCTGTAGCAAGCATCACAATTTGGCATGATAGTAGTAGCGGGTCTACAGTCAAGCTAGATGTACGTGTAGCTACCTCCTAGTACGTTGTATGCGTTGTCAAAAAAAGGGTTCGAAACAGCCAAACATTGCCGACTTCTCGGCGCCGAACTTCATCTGAAGCTTCGGAATACTTCCACTTTCCACCTCCACTCCCACAACAACAACCACCACCATTGCTTGCAACAACAACCATTCCCAGAGCTGATCCATTTGTCCACCACCACCACCACCACCACCATGCCTTCCTCCTCCACCGACCTCCCCCTCACCTCCGAACCCCCGCTCTCCGAAACCCTCAAACACCAACGTCAAGATTTCGACTGCACCTCCTGTCGCATAATGGGTATGTAACGTCCAACCCCATCCCATCTCGGCCTCCCCCCTCTCTCTCCTCAAACCTCACCCCAACAACCCTAAGGTAGGTAACCTCCCACCACTGACATGTTCTTTTTCACAGGCTCAACAGTCTTCGTCTCCCTCGGCGCATACACATACTACTCCGGAATGAAGCAACTCCGAGAACAATCGGGGACGATAATACGTTCGGGGTCGAGGTTTGGGGTGTTTCCGAGAAAAGTTGCCGTCGTGGGGACGAGTGTGGTTTGTGCGGGGTTGGGGATGTGGAGGTTGGTGAATTGAATTTTTGAATTTGGAATTTGAATTTGGATTGAAAGGATGGGGATGGGGATGAGAGAAAGAGAAAGAGAGGTTTTGGTTGGGGGGTGCTTGGATTGGAGGAGTGGGAGGATGATGAGAGAAGAGGAAGACAGAGGAAAGGAAAGAGGGACAGAGGAGGAAAGTTGCAGGCCAAAAAAAATTCTTCTTCTTCTGGTCTCTCCATCCAAGTTTCCTCTTGCTCGAGCGCGAACGTGCTGAGATGGAGGTCTACAAAGTGCCTTTTTGGGAGATGGCAGTGATGAAGAAAGAGCCTGAAAGTAGCTTTTGGTGAATGAAATAAGCATCTAACTGCCCAGTCAGGCAGCGTGTACGGAGAACAGGAGAGCTGGACATGACCATATATTCTGGTTGCAGAGGATGGCGAAGCAGAGCAGGCATCAGGACATCTGGTATCACGGGAATAGTGGACCTCGGAATGAAGAGAGAGAGAGAGGGTGAGGGTTTGTGAGGGAAAACAATTCGCTGCGTTGCATGATATGTCATGGTATCTATCAATCATCATCTATGCCGGGCAAAAGCATCACTTCATCGGACGTGGACCACCCACTCGATAGGTACCCGCAGGCGAGGTGATCTGCCTCTTTCCTCCAATATTGATCCCACTTCCAACACTGGAGCCTTTGTTCTGGGAATCTCCTCCCAGGTATCCATACTGGTGCACATCCCAGCTCTGTGCGGGTCCACTGCCCTGAGTAAGATCTCGAGGCGCGTTCTGAGACTCCTCTTGCGCAGCCTCCCACTCCTTCTGGCGTTCACGCTCTCGTTCCATCTCACGTTCCAGGAGTGACTTACTCGCCCATCCGCCAGCTTTGGTCTTTTGCTGCGAAGCCACACGAGAATCACGTAGCCTTTGCTGCTCGAGAGAGGTGTCTCCAGCCTCTTGTGCCGAGGATATGCGTGGTCCTGTGGTAGTCGGTGCGGCATTGGAGGAGAGAAATGCCTCCGTCCGATTCGGCTTGCGCTGTTCCGGCTCAAAGGGCTCGGGTTTTGGTTGGTTGGCGAGAGTGGGAAGTGGTCTACTAAAGGGTGATTTGTTAAAAGGCGATGGCTGACCTCTAAAGGGCAATGCCGGCGGGTTCGTGGCAGGTGCCTGAACACGTTCTGGCTCTTGCTCTGGCTCTGGCTCTGGCACCGGCTCTGGCTCATCAGGGGTGGGTTCTGGTAAAGGTCGGGCTGGTAGAGCAGGTTGCTCCTCTTTGGGCGGTGGCAGAGGTCGCGTGGCACCAAACTGGGCTGGTCTCGACGGAGCCCCATCATGACCAGTATGCAACTGCTTGCGCTGGAAGTTACGTTCATCGCCTGCCCAGCTGACATCGCTCTGCTGCGGACTTGCTGGTCGTGCTGTTTCTGCAGTGCTCGGTCGTGATCTATCGCCCGTTGCATCTCGTTTCAGTCGCTCTTCACGTTCTGCCTGGTATTGTCTTTCCCTCTCGCGAGCCTCTGCTAGCTGTTGCTCCAACTCCTTCACCCGTCGTTGCTCTGGGGTCTCTGCCACCTCTACTGGAGGAATATTGCCAGATGCTGTTCTCTCCTTGTGGTATTGTGCCAGCGTCTGGCCTCGCAGAATACCCGAGCTGGGCACACGAGGCTTCTCGGGCGGCTTTTTGATACTCATCTTCGATTGTAATACCGCGTCCTCTCGTTTCCGCACCTCTTCTTCTTCCTGCCACTCCCGCTCCTGCTGCTCCCATTCGCGTTTCTGTTGCTCGAGCCGTTGGCGCTCTTCCTCTCGATGTCTCTTCGTCTCTTCCTCCCACCTGCGTTCCTCTTCGATCCGAGCCCTCTCCTCGTCCTCCTGCACCTTTCGAGCTCTCCTCTCTCGCTCTTCCTGTGCCAATTGTCGCTGCCGCTCCTCGGCCTCTTCCTTTTCCCTGCGCGCTTTCTGCTTCTCGGCCAAGCTGGGCACTCCAGGAGCCTGACTAGTAATCTGGCGCCGGCTTCCGAAGCTGATGCCTTGATTGCCTTGTGACGCTCCTCCCATGAAGCCATACTGATGAATGTTCCATGCGGGGGCAGTACTCCCCTCGTCGCTCTTCTTACTCCAGCTACTAACAGGGCCTGTCGGTGATATTGTACCTCCGGCTGATTTCTGCGATCCAGCAGAGCCTCCCGTCAAAGCCGGGCTCATAGCGCGGTTGGAGGAAGGGTAGGGGCCAGTGGTTGTTTTCGTCGGGCTTACGGGTCGTCTGAAGCCATTTCCCGTGGTAGTAGGCGACATTGCGGCTGCTGCTCCCGTCTTCTTCGGACCTATCGTGGTGGGAAATCGCGTAGGGTTAATCTTATGGGCCTGCCTGCTCAAGGCTCCAATAGTTTGCAGCACTTGAGCGGGATCTTTGTGCTCGTACAAGTCGACAGTCAAGAAGCGATCGTGTGCCGGCATGTTCAGCGGCGGCAGCTCGCAAGCTCGCAGGAAGTGGCTGATGTTCTCCATCTGCACAAAGGGCATTGCGCTGGCCTTGTACTTGATGGCACCGGCATGGCCCTGCACGGCCAGATTGACCAGTTTGCACAGCGCAACGCCATCTTTGAGCGCGTCGAGCAGATCGCCTGCTGGTAGAGAATGTCCGAGGGTGGTCTCGATCCATTGTCGGGCTTCGTTGGCAGCCTGCGGGGTGTATCGCGACAGTCGCAGATTGCGCATGTCCTGGTCCAGCGATGTCACCGAAGCCATTGTCGTCGTCGTTCTTGTTGTTGTTGTCGTTGTTGCTGTTGGTGTCGATTTCCAGACAATAGGATACTCGTGTCTATGCTATGCTGTACGCATGACGGTTCTCAAGAGGAGGCGAATTGCAGTTGTTCCAAGTGCATCCGAGTCAGATGGATGTGACAAGGAAGTACGTGTACAGGTACATGTAGGTGCCTAATGTGTGTAGGTGGTCTAAGTTAGGGAGAAGGCCCAAGGCCGTCCAGCAGGTGCCCGACCATGACATGTATTAAGAGATGACGCAGCACCCGACAGCACCACCTACTACATGTACTGTACGGTACATTACCTCCTACATAACCCTGTCGCCGTCGTGGTCATCGTCGTCCCGCCCCGCCCCGCCTCGCTCTTCTCTCGCTCTGAGTCTGCTGGCCCCGCCGCTGTGCCTGTGGCCCTGTGCGTCTTTCAACGTGGCTCAGCCTCATACAACCAACCCGGGCAAAGTACATGTAGTGCGGGCTACGGAAGATACATGATACCGGCAACAAAGGAGTCTAGACAACCACAACAACAACAACACTATGCCGTTCGCGTTCGCATTATCATCACGTGTCTCGTCATGCCACCTGAGTTTTACATACCTGTAACCTGATATGTCATTATACCGCATTCACTACTACTAATGTCCCCCCGACTGTACTGTATCATGACTTCACCGCCTGCCAAGTGAGCGCAGAAGAGAAACAGCACAGAAGATTCCACCTGCGCCACTTGGGCCGCACCCTAGTTCGACTTCTCCCGTTAGTCCCTGCACGCAAAGTCCCAGTTCCAGTCTTGCCAGTCAGCGGACCACAAATCCACTCCAGTCGTTGGCCTGGCTCTGTTGTCACAGCTTGTTTCCCACTTCCAGTCTTCCTTCCACCCCCACCCAACACACACACACACACCACCACCCGCACTCTCGCACCTCTCGACCCGACACCTACGCACCGCCGGCCACACTCGCTATGGATTCGATGCAGAGACTCTCGACGTCTCTGCCGCGGAACCGCCGCGATGTGCCCAACGACCTGCTCACTGACTTCAAGGCGGCGGCAAGGTCGGTGACCGATCTGTATAGGATGGCCGTTACTTCGCAAAAGCAGGCACGGCATGCAGGCTACCAGGATGCCTTGGATGATTTGTTGCTCTTCTTGGATAAGGAGAACATGGGCCTCATGGACGGGGAGGGGTGGAGGGTGAGACAATGGGCCACTGAGCGCCTGGAGGGCGCTGGCATCGTCCCAGCACCTGCCACCACAGACGACGATGAGGAGGACAGATCGTCTGTAAAGGAGGAAGAGAAGGACGACACCAGGAGCTCGAGCCCAGAAATACAACGACGCCCAATTCCCCCCGGAGCTACGAGCGAAATTACTGTTGAAGACGATGCACCACTGCCGAGACGAGTCGTTTCAGAGCCACCACAAGAGACCACCACTACTGTCCACTCAGCAACACCGCACCATTCGCTTCCCCAGACAGACTTTACCTATCAGTCTACGCACGCATACCCATCTGGCAACCACGATAGAGACATGGAAATTGATGTCGGCAACAATCCTCTTGTACAGGCCTACACACCAACATCTGCACCATCAAGCACCGAAACCGTACGCCTAATACCACGTTCTTCACGCTCCAATCGTCGCTCCAACCACAACCGGCGAACGGGTAATGAGAATCGCGCTCCATTAAATTTCAATCTCGGATCTGCTTCTGGCACGAAACGAAAAATTCCTTTTCCAGACTTTTTTGACATCTCCGGCATCAACGACAATGGAGATAGAAGAGATGACGGTGGCCGAGGAGGTGCAGGGAAACGAAGGCATGTGTGAAGGTGTAGATATCATGATGGTGCATGCATTTTATCTTGTTGCAATTGAAGGACGAAATAGGATTTGATATTGTAGCGAGGGAGCGAGCGAGCAATACTGTTTTATGCATCTGTTGCTGGTAAACTTGTGGATGACAGGAGAGAATGAGAGGCGGCACCCTTTTGAGGATGATCAGATGCGATGAACGTCGAGGCATAGAGTGGAATGGAGTGCGGTGGAGTCTTTGACGTGTGTTATCATGAGATACCCCCCCTGGGATGTTATACGCAAAGACGGCGATACCCCAAGCAGAGTTCAATTCGACGACAAAGTATACTTAGTGGCATTGTAGATGCCGAGCCTTTACATGTAAGGGCAAGAAATCGATACATCAGCAAGATGACTACATAACTTTTCAGCTGCTGCAATCGAGATACAACATTCTTTCACTCACACCTCTTTCGAATTGAAAAAAAAAGACGTCTTGGCATTGCACAAGAATCAACAAAATGCCAAGATACCAATGTACCTAGGATATAAAGCAATCTCCTATCCCTCTTTCCCTTAACTCCTTCGATCTGTCGATCGATTAACCAACCAATAACATACTTAACAAGTCAACTCCCAATCCATTCAGCAAACAGATCTTTCATATCCCATCCCATTCTATGCCCCCTCGCCCATCACCCGTATGGAGGAAAATGAGGACATTCATCATCATCATCATCATCACCCGTACCAATCAATCAATCAACGACATGAATGCTGATAGGTAATGATTGCCAAACCACCCTTTCTTTACTCGGCGCACAAGATAACGCCACCATCATAGCATCCTCCCAAACCTGCATCCTCTGTGTACTATAATAGAAGTTAGTGAAAAAATTGCAGGGGAAAGAAAAGAATTGGAAAAAGAAAACCCTCAACTTACAAATTTCGAGTTTTCAAAGTTTCCACCTGCTTTTGAAGAGCAGCAGAAAGTCCCTAAAGGGTCATTCATTAGTATCAATTCATCAATTAATCTATCACACGCACAGACACAAACAAATGATTATGGGAAAGATTGTTAAACAGGAAAAAAAAGAAAAAGAAAAATGGGGGTATTCTCACATTTTCCCTTGGCTTCACAACCTCCGTTGCCAGTCCAGCCATAGTTGCAATACGTGACAGGCTTGGACCATCCGGTGATCAGACCTGCGCCTTTGACGGGTTGGGCATTGGGGGCCGCGAGGGAGGTGCTGGTGTGAAGGAGAAGGGTGGCGAGGGTGGTGGTGAAGATGGTGGACTTCATGATTGCAGGTGGTTGGTATTGATGTAATTCGTTCTTGAGAGATTTGATTTGGTGGGTCCTTCGGGAGTTGTCTGCTTGGAATGGGTGGTTGTGAATGAGATGTGGCTGTTTGTAGTCGTTCCTCTTGCTACTTATACATGTTCCTTCCCTACCTACTGTGGTGTCGCTATGCGATAGAGCGTCCGGGTATAAACAGACGAATGTTTCATTCGTTTACCTACTATTTCCCGTTCCTGTAGTCGCGGGATTGTAGTTGGTGTTTTCCTATCAAGGAGAAGTTTGGAGAGTCTCGGCATATTCGATTCGGCGAAGTCGTTTTAGAATAGGCGCTAAGCTGTTCAGACACCTCCACTTCACCTTTGTTACATATAAGCTAGTTCCTGACACTATGGTTCGCCGGACATGAGGATGAAAGATGATCAATGATGATCTGGGAGATCGACCCGGCGCTGGGAACTGATTTGTCCGCAGTGCATCAGCGTCCTCCTCTGGCCTGAGCTGGAGCCCAGCCAAGTCTGGGGGGTGGTTCACAACTTGTGTTCAGGGCCACTATACGCACTTTAGCATGCTCGCTAACCTGAAAGCATGGTATTTTGCAGCGGTGTATTCGCGAGGCTGTCCCGCCAATACAACCCAAGTCGAGTTATTGATATTGACAATTGTAGAGGCCGTCTGTTTCCCATGACTGCACTCTTGGCCGGCATATCTGCGGCGCCCACACGGTTCGAGCGGGCGGATGTAGCCTCCGACCCTTTGTACCTGTGAAGGTCATGTTTCCCTTCCGAGGAGTATCACTCGCTCCAGACTGACCCGATTTCTCTTCAGCCATATTATCTATACTGCGAGCAAGCGAAATTTGTACAAGCGGATTGCACTTCAGGCGTGGTGAGATCCTGTACAACTTCCAGGGTTGTAACAAATGTCGCCTCTTCCGCCCTTCGGACTCGTCCGCTGACGGAAGCAAGTATGCTGAGCACTTTCGCAAGTACTCGCCTCGCGAATTCGGACATCGAATCGTGTCGTTCTAACTAGCGAGGTTGTGGTTGTGGGCCCGCACGCCAGCATATTGGCGAAATCGCCTATTCCACAGATCACCCCGGGCTGAGCTACTAGTCTTGGTGCTTCAAAGATCCGGTTATCTTGAATGAAGAAAGCACGTGTCATCGTCTTCGCACCTCGAAGTGGGATGCTAGACTCCAGCAGCTTCTAACACTCATGCAACTCGTCCGTATAGGACATCCTATTGGCCATGGACCTGGAAGTTCTTCAAAATCAGCTAGTGCTCTCCAACTCCTACGCCTCGAGATGCTGTGGAGATAGTGATTATGGAGCAGTGAAGCTGCCCCTTGGCACCTGGAATTCCAATGATACCACGGCGCATTCGAATCCAGACCACATTCCCCTGCATTGCATTGCTACACTACAGTTGATGTCCGAGAGTCATCGACTCCCTTCTTCACACCGGCATAAGTGCAGCACATCTGAAGCTCTGGAACTCAGCCGGAAGTGTTAAGCATCGGAGAACACAAAAGCTGTCCACCCGTCGATGTTCAATATGACCTTAGCTGAATCCCGGCGCGCTTCAGTCTTCATGATACTGCTGATAGTATATAATGGAGACCTGCCACTCGTGCATATCCCAAGCAGTTGTTTGAGAGCATTATGTTTCAGCAGACGTCCTTCTGCCTCGATACCGACGCCACTGGATGATAATTCGCCCTCACCAGTCGCGAGGTCCACAAGAACCTTCGCCAGACTAGGCGTCGGCATAAGAAAGCTCTTCCATACCGTGTCAAGGATGCCACCGAGGCACAGGGGCAGCTGACCTGAAGGCTAGGACTTCTCGCAGCCAACTACATGTACTGCCCTCGAGAGTTGTTGGCAGCGGGTTTCGTGTTGCAAACATTGAGGTTCGCACTTTCGCTACCCAGCTTCAGGGCCGCCTTCTCGGCTTATCATTTGACGAGGCCAAGCATCATACCGCTTCCTTCTATATTCGCACCTTTTCCAGACGCGTAGACGGTATTCGTTTGCGATCCCAAACGTAACAGGGCATTTGCCGCCGACACTGGATAGTCGTAGGAGATGCGGCTCCTAATGCGTTGTGCCCAGACACATCCTGTCGCTCCTTTCAGTCATTCTAGGAGGCTGGTTGGACACTGCTCAAAGTCCTTGTGAATTATGAAATGTGCGTTGGGCTGCTGATTAGCAAGCTTGGCGGTTCGACGCGACAAGACCGAGCGTGAAGGGAAGTGATACATGTAGTGAAGTGAAGTGATGCATGCGGTGGCGACAAGTGGCAGCTGCGGTGATTAAGCACGTGCCTCCCATGGAATGACGCAGAACATCAGCGTTCGAAACCAACAGCGACGACTCACTTTCGGGCTCTCCACCAGCAAATACCACTACCTCTCTTAAATCTGCCTCTCACCCTCATATTCTCACCTCATACCACTCGACACCACCCCCGCGAACAACTTGCCCTTTCAACAACGTCCGTCCATTCGACAAACTCCCAACAGATCAAATCAGCCCCACCATCAGTACCATGTCGGACGACTGGGAGAGCACCACCAAGATTGGCAGCAAGGTCCGCGGACCCGGCACTGCTCAGCGCGAGGTTACCATCAAAGGCAAAAGCGCACTCAATGCAGCCCAGCGCAGCGGAGCTATCCTAGCCACCGAGAAGAAGTTCTCTACCGCAAACGTAAGCCTCACCATGCCCTCCCACTCGATCAAGCATATTCTAACGTCGCGCGCTCCACCAGGCCTCAGGGAACCCAGAGGGACAGCGACTGACCAAAGTCGACCGCGCCGATGGACCCGTCGCCACGAAGAAGGTTCCCGACGAAGTTGCCAAAGCTCTCCAACAAGCCCGCACACAGCTCAAGAACCAAAAAGGCACGACTATGACGCAGAAGGATCTCTCGAGTAAAGCCAACGTCGATGTCGCTGTTGTGGCTGCGTTGGAAAGGGTCGGAGCAGATTTCCCGCCTATGGATGCAGTGCTGAAGATCCAGAAGGCGGCAAATGTGAGGCTGACCGGGTCGAACATTGGACAGCCGATGTTGGGGCCGAAGAAGAAGTAGACTGGTCATGATGATCACAAAGGAAAAGCAGCAGAAAAAGACTCGAATAAAGTGGTGAAGGCGTGTTAGCATTTCTTCTTCGTGGAGGTGGAAGATATAAGACCTGTCGGTTGCATTCTCTCCTTCTGTCTGACTCGACATTAATGCGAGCAGATGGTCACGCGCGAAGAAGGGTGGCACATGGCACAATTGAATTAGCGAATAGCGGTCAGGCATGAGGATAACGAGACATGCCCAGACGGTCATGTATCATGAAGTACATTTCTACGACCTACTCCAGTCTCTTCGTTCCTGTTGGCTGATTGACCTGTGACGGTACGTTGCCACGTCGTACGGCAACATCTCTAGTACCAGGTAACTCTGGTAATTGGAAAGAGGCCCGCGGCATTCTCTTCTGCTTCCGAGATTTATACCTCTCTCAACACCTTTACGAATGCTCTCACTACGTGCCCTGAAATCCCACGGCGTGGTGACCAGCTCGCACACGGAGATCGTAAGCACTATATGCCGACGTGGGACTAGTCAGCGCGAGACACTTAGGCCACAACTGCAATGTTGAACAGTACCACCGTACCTATGTAATATATATATATATATATATGATCTCCTGTGTCTACTCCAGGCCAACGAACTCAGCCCATAGTACCATACTCGACTCTCCAAGTGGGGGGAGGGGAGGGGATCCACTATTTAATGGGTCGGTCGCATTGGCTGCTCAATCCAGTTCTACGCGTGTTTGTCGATGTGGATGCGCGTTCGGCAGAGGAGGGATGAAGGGAGAGTTTGTATCAATTCTGTACATTATATATTACCAGATACACTTCTTTTACATCATCTACTAAAATCCCTAGCTCCCTACTGTTATCGCTGTGCTCATTCGCTAGGGCTGAGAAGATGGACAAGTCGCGTTGGATCTTGGCTTCGGCCCTTAGCTACCACATGGCACCTATAGCCGTCCGGTAGACTTACTTCCGTAAGAGTGGATGCTGAGGTCGCAAAGACACCCCGATGCAACTGCTGAACTCATGCAGTAAAGAGTTGCTGCAACAAAATTCTTCCTGGACTTCGGTCAGACAAATGCAGGCCCATGTAAGCAGCCCTTATGCCGAGTTTTGGTCAGATCTATGGCTTTCTGTCTCTGCCTCGGAAAATCATGCCTGTCGTAACCGTGATGGAACCTCCCACTTTCGGAATCTGGTGAAGTCTCCTGACTTCATGGGCACTCTGGTACCATCCAACATGACAGTTTCGAGAATTCCATATTCGGCGCTGGACGGAACTATTTGGCTCGCAGCCCTGCCGATACCACGTTCGTGCCAACTTAGATCTTTCTTCCAAGCCTGTTCGAGCAGATCTGTAAGAGGATGCACAGGCTTGCACCTCCCCGCTTCTTCGAGATCGTCCTGGACTAGACGTTTCATTTCATGGACCCTTGCTTTTGACTCTGCAGACCCCTTTTCGAGTCCATGTTGGCAACCAAGCTCGAGAAGCCGGCGTTCGTCGTCACCCAACGTACCCGTAGTGTGAGGGGTCAGATCGCGGGATACACCTATTGCGAATTTGGCTGCCCAGGCTTTGAATACCAAAGACGGGTTAACTACGCCTGCGTTCATAGGCGAATACTTGTACAAGCTGCGGATCATTCGCTCTCGCATGTCGTAAGGAACCTGCCCAGCTACACAGGCGTAACGCCAGACCACTCTCAGCATGTTGTAGTACTTTCTGCGCCAGGCAATCATGAACAAAATCATGTAGGTAATTCGATCTGGCATTACAGCACCATCTTTGCCGACGTGAAACATCTTCAGTGTAGCTATGGCTGATCCCGCATCGAAGTCGTCGCTTGTCGAACTCAGGAAAGTGTTGAGTGTACCAGTCTCCAGCGGTCCGAGCCCCTCCCTCCGGAAGCGCCTTAGCAGCACCACAGCCTCGTCAGTCCGACCGAGACTGATCAGCACGCGAAGCATGCGATTCAGGACATCGATTCCCAGCCATTTGAAATCAGGCCGGTCGTATATGACATGGACTCGTGTGCTATAAGTCTGCAAGAAGCCGGCGGTGTCGCCACCCCTTTGAATATGCGCGAGGAGATGCTGTCGCACTTCGTTCCTGATGACCGCGACTAAGGCACTATTGTCGCGGAGCAGCCCTTTGTCGCGCATCAGTATCGGAATGGCATCTGCCTCAGCTGGCATGCGTCGACATATCAAGTTATGTATTGAGGCCCACGTCAATGATCCAGGCGCGATATCACGACGTCTCATCAACGCCAGCACCCGCTCGAAATGGTGGACATCGCCTGCCTCGGCAACTACAGACAGCATTGCATTGAAGCCGGTAATGCCAATTTCGCGATTTCCCTCATCCAAGCTCTGCATGATCTGGCGGAGTGCAAAAAAATTCTGATGCTTGGCTAGAAACTCGAATGAACGGCCTATGGACTCAGTCGTGCATAGATGAGAAGTGGCTGGATCCTTGAACAATGAGACAAGCGTATCCACGACAGTGTCCACTCGCCGCCTCGTCCGGTTACCGGTTTGTTGTGCGCGATCCTCCCTAGAAAGCACGCCCATGCGCATTGAGGTCAGATCATCAACATACGCGGTGAATTCTGTAGCATTCCGTAGTGACGGTAGATCAAGCTTGCATGATGAGCCTGGTTGCTGCACATTTCCCTTGGTACGGTCCCTACTCCAAACAGACCTGACAATTGCGCCTGACTGGAGACGTTTGTCTGCGTCGAAGTCCTTACTGCTTGATAAGTCCGCAGTGCTCTCGTCATCATAGGTCGCCCAGTGCTCAGGGTCTGTTGTGCCCCCCTCTCCGTCAGCGTGTAACGTCCTGTGAATATCGTGCCTCGTAAGACGTGCTCTGGTCTCCGTACTCTCGAGAGACGAGGCTTTTATGTAGCTGGGTAGCAATGACAAGGCTGAGTCATTCTGCGCATATGTTCCCTGCAAAGCGACGCCCGTGAAGGCCTTTGGACTTCCCTCGACAGCATACTCGGGCGCCATTTGGATGTGACATCCGGTTCGCTGCATGATTTCTAGGATAGCGAGCTCCGTGTTGGGCTCGAAAACAGCAGCGACGCCCTTAGGTAGCTTAGCGAATTCGACTATTCGTTTGTACCGAGAGTGCTTCGTGGGTGTAGCCTTGTACAGGTCTGCTAACATGCGCTTCCACAAATCGCCATCACGCTGCTTGTGCTGGACAGTGTATCTCCAGGCAGCTTTTGCCAGTTCTGCCTTGTGGCGGCGAAGCTGTCTGTGGAAGTAATTCGGCCCAAAGTCACTGGGAAGCTTGATGCCAAGCTCCTGAATGCTTTTGTCATCAGCGCCATCATCCACAGCAACTTCGTCCACAGCACCATTCTCGACCGCACCACCATCCACAGTGACAGCAGCATCGCTCCCAGCATGGATGGCCGAGCGTGTGAGGCAATCAGCATCGCCCTCGCTGGCAGCGGGAGCAGCAGCATCATTGGCGGGCGCTTCGAAGGGCAGGTATCTCGCAGTAGAGGTATAGGCTCGCGCCGTCATCCCACGGGCATTCTGACGTTGGTAAGTCGTGTGGAACGAGTCGCTGGGGAGCCCATGACCGTGACCGTGACCGCGAGCGCTCGACAGTGGGCGTACAACTCCAATGCTAGCTGATACATATGGCAAGGCGGCGCTGTAACGAAGCTGGTGGTGGCAGGAGTTCGCACATGATGCGGAGGAGAGCGAGAGCCTGAGTGCGGATGCGGGTGGTGAGTGTGGTGAGGGTGATGAGGTGGTGTGCTTGTCGATGTGTCCGATGCTCTTGATGATGTCTCGTAGTGGCCTTCTCAGGGCGCCTTTGCATTGCATCTAAATCCGGTGCATCGTTTGCCGCCGTCAAGAAGGTGGTCTGAGACTGGTGCTTCGTGTCTGGCGGAGGTAATCATCAGGATTGGAATGGCAGATCGAGAAACGATATTTCTCTCCCGCGGCCCGTCTTCCGCACGGGCTTATCCGAACTAGCTCCGAGAGATTTCCCTTCGACGCGTCCTTGCGTTGCGTTTCGCATCGCGTCTTCATGTCGCGTTTGCCAATCCTTGTGGAATATTACATGTATCATCGCAACCTCCCTCACATTGCTGTGTAATATACCACTACAAACACACTCCGCCCTCAGCACTGGACATCATATCCATGGCCACGGCTTCTTAAACACCCACTGCACTCCTACGCAGCAGTGTCGCAGCACCACCGCGGAATAAACGCGTATACAGCAGATACATACACCTCCCACCAGGACAATGGCACACTCGCCAGGACGAGAAGACGCGCTGGTCTCGACGCGTCCAGCCATTGCCAGACTGATGTTCCAAGAAAGCGATTCGCCCACGCCATCACCCGTCCGAAGTTCCGATTTCGACGTCTTTTCGCGACACGCGTCGAGCCAGGAGGACGGAAAGGCCATGGCGACCAGCTCTAGTCCTGCAGCCTCGGACGATGAGGAATCAGATGACGAGGTTCGAAAGCCCATGGGCCGGGCTGCCAGGCGGATGCTTGGTGCCGATGAGAGCCCAGTACGAGGCCTGGAGCAGAGACCCAGCATGTCACCTGGGAAAGTGCAGCAAAGTGCTTCGGGGGATTCTGAAGATGAGCTGTACACAGTCACGCCGAAACTGGACAGGCGCTTCCAAAGCCAGCCCCCTTTCGTGCCAGCAAGTGCCGCGCGGTCGACATTGTTCGTTAGTCCTGCCAGGACTGCACAGAACGACAGCGACGATGAACTACCTACCCGACCCACAGGAATGAAGTCGAAGCTGGCCGCCTTGGTCGCTGAGAAACGAGCTGAAAGATTGGAGAGGGAAGCCGAAGCCGAAGCAGAACGCAGGCTCACGTCGTCCGACTTGCCCGACGAGCTTGTCGAAGGACCCGAAGAGCCTGCCAACGCAGAGATCGACCGCATTCTGTCAGATGCCGCAAAGCCAACACGTAAGGCTAGTAAGAAGGCCTTGCTGGAAATGGACCGCGAGACGCAGCGACTGGCACGTCAGCAAGCACTGGCTCATCAGATGAAGACGAAGAAGACATTTTCCAAAAATGATCTGTTTGCAAGTTTCAACTTTCGACAAAATGTTGGCGCAGCTGCACAGCAAGCCCGAGATAGTTCGGGATCGTCTGCGCCAAACAGTGATGCTATCGAGGGTCCTGGGCGAGAGCCACCCAGTACTCCTCCATCAAGCCCACCCACTCCCCTGGACCGTCAGCGGGCATTGGTCGAGCTGGGCGCATTGAGTAAGATGAAACCAGTGCGAGAGGACAGTCTTCAAAGTCTTGCCGAGATTGAGGATGATGAGGAGTTGCCAGATCTGAGCAGTATCATGAACTCTTCTCGCAGGGCAAAGGCCGCCGAGCTTGAGTCTGCCTTGGCGCAGGTTGCGTCTTCGCCGGGTGTGCCAAAAAGAGGCCTCAGACTTGCAAGGCTTGGTAAGAAGGCCATGGCTCCTTCACAGGAGGATAGCAGCGATGACGACCTGGAGATTGTGCAGAGCATGCCTAAGCACTTGCGTGTGTTTGATAAAGCCAAGGGAAACATGAAAAAGCACAACACAGACTCAAGAGCTATCCACAGACTAAAGCATCTAGCGCATCTTGGTGGAGATGATGGCCAGACTGGCCGTCGCAAGCATGGCAAATCGCGGCCTTCCATCAATCCTAACGCACTGGAGGCCCAATTGCGCATGCGCGCCAAGGAGCAGGCGCGTGCACTGCAGCTGGAGCGCATCGCTGAGCTCAGAGCCAAAGGCATTGAAGTTCAGACCGCCGAAGAGCGGGAACGCGAGCAAGAAGCGTTTGAGAGCCTGCTGGAGAAGGCGAGGCTAGACGCTGTCGAGATCCGCAAGGCCGAGAAGGCTGCTGCAAAGGCCGAGAACGGTGGAGTCGACGTCAGCGCAGACGAGAGTGAAGATGAAGACTATGTGGACGTGTCTGGTAGTGAGGACGGCCTGGCCAATGACGAGAACGAAAGTAATGACATGGTCGATGACGCTGCGGAAGACGAGGAGGAAGGAGAAGAGAACGAGATGGACGAGGAGGAGTTGGAGGGTGAGGAATTGGGCGAGCGTGACGAGATACCGCCCCCGAATGGCTCTCAAGATGCGGCTGAAACGGAGGCAGTCGAGCCTACGCCCACCAGACCCGCCGAAGCCGTGGACCAGCTCGGCCCATCGCAGACGCCCGTCGTCGGGCGAAGATCTCGAAAGTCGCGACTAATCGTGGATGAGGAGGATGATGAAGATGCAAGTGATGCTCAGGGCTCGCACCATCTTCCGGTCACCGCGCACACTCCTGCGCAATCACAAATTGATGACCCATTTGCTGCGTTCAACTTTGGAGGAGCAGGCCCAGGAAGTTCGCTGATGAGTCCCACGCAAATGTTCAATGCCACCATGCAAACCCCATCGCAAGACATCCAGCAAGACTCGATGGATGTATTGAATCGCCTCGTCCCAACAAGCTCGTTGGTACGACCTTCACCCACATTCGCTGTTCAGCCACAATCTACTCAAAATTGGGACAGCCAACACAACAATATTCCCAGCAGTCAGTTGCCAGAGAGTCAGCAGGTTCAGCTTGCTTGGGAAACTCAGGCTCCGGAAACGCCTGTTCAAGGCACCCATCGAATCACATCCGCATCTGCGACAGCAACGCCTGGCTGGGAACCTTCTCAAGACCCTGGTCTCCCTAATGCGTGGCAAGCAATGCCGGATTTGACTCGGGAAGATAGCCTACAAACGCTTCCAGACAGAGACACGCAGTCCACTGAGCCTTTGCGAATCAGTGAGTCACCTGCAATGGTACCGAAGAGAACTCGTTTAGCACGCGGACGTCGTCCTGCAGTAGTCGAAAGCGATGACGATGACGCCGAGCGTATACAGCCTGGCAAGGACGAGAAAAAAGATGCATTCCGAGAAATGGCCCGTAAGCGCAAGGAAGCTCTGAGTGCTGAAGAGATGGCCGATGCTGAGCGTGAAGCCAAGCAAATGATGGATGAGCAGGCCGAGGAATCTGAAGACGAGTACACTGGCCTTGGAGGCGACGATTTCGTGGCGCCGGAGACAGAGGAGGATCGTGAAATGATTGACTCCAGCTTGATAGATGTCGATGAACGGCAGATCGCTGCCCACTACGCAGAGGAGCAGCGCATTGCTGATGAAGCCGATCATCAGAGGTTGTACAAAGATTTGATGACGGGAGCACTGCGAAGGAAGCAGGCGAACATGTTCGACCTTGATGAAGATGAAGACGACCTCGCGGCGCGTCGCCGGCAAATAAAACAGCGCGAAGAAGCTCGAAAGCGGAAGCTGCTGCTGCAAGACGAGAGTATTGCCAGCCTGGCAGAGGGTCGGCACAGCAAGGGCAAAGACGCTTTCTTGAAGGCGATTGCCGACGATGATGAGCGGGACGACGATGTCCTGGACCTGTCTGATATCGAGGACGACTCTCAAGTGCCTGACTCGCAGTCAGACAGTCAATACTCCCAGCAAACGTTGCCTCGCGCAGCTCCTTTGCGAGAAGCGAGCGGCAACAAGCGACGTATGGAAGAAGCGCCAGAAGAGCGACCTCCTGCCAAGCAACGTCGCACCCAGCCGTCCGCTTTCAGGGCACCGGTGTCCATGCTCGAGGTCCAGGAATCTGTCAGCTTTCTTCTCGAAGAGCCAAATATGCTTCTGGATGGTCCTTCAGCCGTCGATCTCAACTCCGACTCCGAGCACGACGATGACGTGGCTGAACAAGAAGAAGTTGATGAACATGAGGATGATATTGACGAAGAGCTTCGTGAAGAAGTTGCTCGCCAGAACGATGGCGGCTTCGCCCCCGATCGAGTCACCATGCCTCCTCCTCGATTCCCCGCGTCTCAGCGGCGGACCACGACAACGACAGTATCTGTCGTAGATCGCCTTAGCCTCAAACGTGCTAGCAGCGCATCTGAGCACACTGCAGCAGGATCACGTACAGCATGGGGATCGGGCTCTCAAGGAAGCGGCTTCCGAGCCCCTTCTCTCCTTCGCAGAGCAACCACAAACGGCGGTGCTTCTCGCGGCGCGAACGAGCGTGGCGTGAGCACGAGCAACGGCGTCTCTCGGCAGGATAGTGGTAGTAATAATACTGCCAGTGGAGTCAAAATGGGAGGGACCAAAAAGAGCTCACTGGCCTACCAAGCGAGAGACGCGGAGAGGAAAGCCATTGTGGAACAAAGTGCTCGACGTCGCGCAGACAATACTGCCAAGATTGCTCAGTTGCGGAGAAACGCTAGCAGCGGCTTCGGAAAGGGGCTCGGTGGCACGTTTGAGTGAAAGAAAAAAACAAAAAGGTAGACGGGAAGATTGACGGTCTCTTATCAAGGGAGAGTGCTGCAAGCTGCCTGCAGTTTTGTGGTTGAGATTGTTCATTCAGTAATGAACAGCTAGCTACCTACCTGGCTAAGTATATACATAGCGACCAACAGATATGATGGACGGCTGGAATTAATGAAAAAAAAAGCATTATTGACCGCGTCGTGTTGTATTCCCGCTTACTTCCTACTTGTTTGTATACCTCTCTCTTTCCACAATAAAAACTCAACCTACCTGCAATCACTCCTCAGTATCTCGATACAGGTATTCATTCCCCTATGTCGCCCGTGACGATGGCATATCGCCCGCCAGTGGACTCTGGGTACTAAGGTAAGGTAGGTAAGGTAGGTACTCATGGGCGCTCCTTCCCAGCAGGAGAAGACCCCGAACTTCTCAATCTATAAGGCGCAATCACGAGACAACCAGGGGGGAGGGGTATTATCTGTCTGAATGAAGCACACCTCACTACGAGATGGCATTATTGTATAGGTAACTAAACTTATATAGTAATTGAAAATGTCTAGGTAAGTACCTAGGTATTAGGTATTAGGTAATCAACAACATGGCAGAGAAACAAACTCACGGCAGCAAAGCAGGTAGATATACAGGTAAGATGCATACGCGTGCCCATTACTTTGGAGCGGGGAGGGGATTCTCTTTTTTTCCCCCTTCGGGCTTTCTTCAAAATCCTCAACAAGCCAGGTTCATGACGGATACCAACAACGCAAATGTGCAGAATCAGGATCGACGGCGACTTCGGGCTTTCTTTCTTCGAAGAAGTTCTCTCGTACATTCAAGAGACGGTCTGGTATTGCTATGCTTCCATGGTAATAATTCAGCAGCTCTGCTCAAAACATCTCGGTTTGCAGTACTTCTGTCGAGGCGTATTTCCAGAGATTGTGGCGGAGCACCGTTTTACTCATCGCTGGACATTGATAAGCCGAATGTATGCGCTTCCTTATCACGTCGCCGCTGGGCTTATAATGATAGTCGTCTTGGTCTTCACTCTCGGGATACTCGTCTTCGTCTTCGCTCTCGGAGTGCTCGTCTTCGTCTTCACTCTCGGGGTGTATAACCTCGACTTCCGACCAAGTGGTACTGTCGATGGGAACGCCTTCTGCTCGTAAAGTGAACTCGTATATAATGTCTACAAGCTCGGTTGGGAGACGATGGCTTACTGCCAGCACACAAGAGCGACGTGTCTCAGCATGGGCCTGGCGAAGCAGATGACTCAGGAGGCCAAAATTCTGTCTGTGTATACAACGTATTGGTGCCCTTGGGCAAGCCGTTGTGCTGCTGTTGTAGATTTCCCACAGCTCTCGCCAGGCGGCTGCAGTATTCCAATACACAAAGAGCTTTTGTTTCCCGGGTTGGCACTTCTTCGTCCACATCAGAGAGTCTCTCTCTAAGACCTGCTTTATCTCATTGGTCCTTGCCTCGGGTGGCATTTGACAATCGCGCCCCTTGATTTCGTCCTCAACCTTGAGGAATTCCCTTGACCAGACCAGGCAATGGTTCAAGAAGAAGTCGTCGACTTCGTCTGCCTCTCTTATGATTCTTTCCCTTTGAACTTGTGCTTCTTCGCCCTTCGGTAGCGGAATGGATGAATCCTGTTGTTGTGCCCGAAGAAAACACAAGAGTGCGAAGAAGGAACGCCGAGTTTCATCATCTTCCACTTTGAAGATTTGCGTAAAGCACATATAGATCTTACTCATCCAGTCGAAGTTGTGCCACCAATGCGTAAACTTTGCAACAACTGCAGTGATGATTTGCCGCAGATATTGCACGAAGTCGAGCATGCTATCTGCTGTGAAGCTGAAGAGAATAGCGGACAGTTGATTGCGGCTGAGGTCTAATGTCTGGCGTCAGCGTCTGGCAATGGACTTTGGAGTGAAACATACCGAGTATATTCCCACGTCGGTACCACTGGGGCCCAGATGAAACCGCACGCGGGAGCTCATAGTTCTCGATAGCGTCTAACTCCTCGTGCACGGAAAAGGTCATCTCAAAGACATGAGCCAGTGCCTGCTCCAGGCGTCGCTCATTGTTGACTATCTTAGCATGGAATTTTCGGAACTCCGTATTATCTTCAGAAGCGAAGGCCAGGAGCGTGTTGTAGCGTTCCTTTCTATCCCTCATCATTCCCATATAGCGTCCAACAAACGTGTGCACTGGATTATCCAAATCCTCGTCAGGGTGGAATGACGAGAGACGAGGGAGCTTGCTAGGGCCATGACTGCTGCTGTCACGACTGCGCTTGAGATCTGCCATGAGATCATGTGGTGGAATCTGTTGGAGTGAAGCTGTCGGGTCCTGAGGTTTGCTGATGTTTTTTCCCCTAGGAAGGTGTACACTGTACACCAAGACAAAACACCAAGACCAACAAATGGAGTGCCAGGCTGCCAGCGCGACACACGAAACTCTCGCGCTCGAACACGCCAAGCAATTGTGTAGCAATAATAGAAATGCTCCGCACCTACCTCGGTACCTCCTACTTCTCGTCTCTACACATGTCTATACGTGCCTAGGTACCTTACCTTACCTTACCTGTACCTACCATGCGCCTTAGGTATGCAGCAACGCGGCCGGTATATTTGCATTGGACGGGAAGCTGAACGAGAAATGCCAAGCAAGAAAGCCAGATCCACAAAAGACCAAGCAGGCAGCATAGACATGGATGGCAGTTCACTTCCGACAGGATGCGGCTAGCTTTGCACGCTGGCGACAGCTGCAAAACAAGTTAACTCACTGCACTCCCACCCAGGCTCGCCAGTCGTCGTGCTCTTACAATGCATGAAACGAAATGTCTTCCATGAAATCCAGCCACTTTGCAAGATCGAAAAGGCTCAAGTTCTTGGCGGAAGTATAGATCAGTAGGAGCTACGTCAGTTCCCCGGAGCCGGGGACAATCAACCTGTGCATCATAAAGCCAAATCCTGGACGCATTAATAGGTAATGAATGTACCTTACCTGACTTCCAACATGTTGTCACGTCAATTCTCTCGTCAGCCATGAAATCCCCCATTCCAGACTACCTCGAGAGAGTGCTCGACAATGCTCGTCCAGACGACTCCGGCGCTCCAGCGGGCTATATTGATGTTCTCGCCAAAGCCGATACCTCCAAGCTAGCTGTAGCCATTGCCATGGTCGATGGGAATGTGTACAGCGCAGGTGACGACGAAGTCGAGTTCTCGATACAGTCCATTTCCAAGGTACACAGCAGGACTGGTCGGCCGACCCTTTTCCCCAAATGTCTAACATCTCACTGGATTCAAGTTTACGACGGTGTCAAGTCAAGAGACAGGCTTCTCCAGATGGAGGGGTTATACTAGTCAGAGATACTTGCTTACGCTCGACCCATTGCTTTGTAGGCTTTCGTATACGCCCTCGCCATCGAAGATGCCGGTCTCGATGCGGTGCTGGCCAAGATTGGAGTCGAGCCCTCAGGCGATGCATTCAATGAGCTCTCTCTTCATGAAGGCTCCAATCGTCCAATGAATCCAATGATCAATGCTGGCGCTATCACCGCCCATTCTCTGGTTGTGGGTAAGTAGTAATAACGCAGGATCCCCCAATTTGCTCCCCAAGCTTGAGACTCTCGAAGACAAGCTTGAAAGCAAGCATATTAAAACAAATCCGTGGGTTCCAGATCTACTCACTCGCAACTGACTTGTTCATGTGTAGGACCTGATGCCACTGCGGAACAGCGAACAGATCGAATCTTGAAAGTCATGTCGAAGCTTGCAGGCAGAGAGCTGAAAGTGTGCGAAGAAGTGTACGAAGCTGAGATGAAAGTAAGTGCCAAGTTCGCATGTTCAGAAATGCGTGCTGATCTGATTCTCTGTAGGACTGGGATCGCAATATGGGTCTGGCCCATATGCTCAAAGCAGCTGGTATTTTCCGTTGCGATCCTCGCGAGGTAGTCAAAGGTTACATTCGTCAATGCTCGATCAACGTCACTGTTCGAGACCTGGCCCTGATGGCTGCGACGCTGAGTAATGCAGGCTACCATCCTGTGACCGGAGAAAAGATTTTTCCACATTACAGCGTGCGGCAGGTGTTGTCAGTCATGACGACTTGTGGTATGTACGATGCAGCGGGAGACTGGGTGTCGAACGTCGGCATTCCAGCCAAGAGTGGAGTGGCGGGCGGCATCCTCGGTGCACTCCCAGGCCAAGTCGGCCTAGCAGCTTTCTCTCCCAAGCTCGATGACAAAGGCAATAGTGTCCGGGGTGTTGCCATTTGTGAAAAACTATCACGAGATATGGGTTTACACATGATGGACGTCAGCCAAATTGCTCGCTCGACCGTAGAGACGACAATCACAACTCTCCAGACGGCTGATGACCATCATCCGAACTGTAAAGGGCGTGTTGCAATCTTTCACATGCGTGGAGCAGTCCGGTTTGCAGGATCAGAGATCTTGACGCGTGCGTTGACGAGGGAACTTGGGGAGGCAGATCCTGATGATCCTGGTTCGGGAGCGTATGCAGACGCTTGTGCAGTTGTGCTGTCCTTTCGTGATGTGTTTTCACTGAACAAGGTAGCGAGGCGGATTGTTCACGAAAATATCAGTCGTCTGCTCGTAGATGAGAGAAGTGTCGTCGTGATCGATCCAACAGGGGTGTTGCGGTGGGAACACGAGGGCAAAGAGAGACATCCAGAGGTTGTCCAGAATCAGGATCAGGCGCGAGAGTAAGTATTTCCCCCTTCTGCTCTACGAAGTCGGTGCCTAATGGTGCTTTTAGATTCATCGGCGGTGCAGGCTGCTCGGCATCAGTAGAGCAGAGTTGGTGATTGTGCTCGTCGTGGATGGGGTTCGACTAGCCGATATCGTTCGCAAAGTTGTCGCCTACCTGTGTAGTGGATTGTCTGAAGATCTGATGCCGCTCAGTTCTCGTTCTTTCCTGCAGCTGCCCCGTGTGAGTTGAGCAGGAACGTGATTACGTGAAGTGGAGCGGAGATGTGCAGGTGAGGTGTCACCGTGTCATGCTCGGTGGTAGGCCACATATCCCGATAAGGACAGCGCCAAACCCGATCAGAGTTTTCCCGTCTGTAGAGTGCAGTACCTTACGAAATATATTACATATACATAATACAACCGCATCAGTTCACCTATCCCAGTCATCATCACCTATACACATACAGAGTAGTAGTACCAAAAAGGAAATGCCTTCTAAACCCCAACAACCTCCCAAAAACAAAAACAAGGTCAAGGACACTCCCACTACTACAACTTCTACGAAACCTACCCCTCCAAACTGGCCCCCCCTCAAACCTCTTCTCCCCTCTTCTACCCTCTCCCTCACGCCTCTCCTCCCCAATTATCAAATCCTTACCATCTCCCACTTCTGGACGTCAACGCTCTGTAAAGCTTATATTTCTTTTCTGTCATCTTCTTCTTCCAACCTCACATTCACAACGACGCCTTCTAAGCCGAAAAAAGGGGAAGCGGTGCGCGTGAACGATCGGTTGCAAGTTGATGATGCGGGGTTTGCGGAGAGGTTGTGGTCGGGAACGGGGTTGAAGGGGCTCGTGATGGGGGATAATGGATTTGAGGGGGATGGGGATGAGGAGAAGGAGAAGGACCGGGGACTGTGGGGGGGAGAGGTGTTGGGATTGAGTTCGAATATTCGGGTATATCGATATGGGAAGGGACAATTCTTTGGGAGGCATTGTGAGTTTCATCTTTTGATTGATAACTGATTTATCTTTTTTAGGTACTTGATCTTTTGGTTTTCTCGTATCTTTTTAGGCTTTGGCTTTGTGGGGGGCCGTTTTTGCCTTTTTCCTTTTTTGCTTTTTTTCGTATCTTTGCCTTTTCTGCTTATACAGTTGTACTATGTCTTCTGTCTGCTTATTTCCTGATTCTCATCTAATCTATTTACAGATGATGAAAGTAATCACATCATGTTCCCATCCGATGACGCTCCGGATGCTGTTCCCGCCAAGACGACGTGGACATTTCTGCTCTATCTCACTTCGCCAGCGACGGGTTGTCAAGGTGGCGAAACGGTGTTCTATCCGGAAGCGGTGAGTAAGCGGGAAGCTGCACCTGCACCGGTGGTTGTCAACTTGGAAGTCGGAATGGCGTTGCTGCATCGACATGGAAAGGAATGTATGTTGCATGAGGGGAAAGAGGTGACGGAGGGCGAGAAATGGGTGATTCGAAGCGATGTTTGTGTCAAGCGTTGAGAGGGGGTTGTTTGTTTGTTTGTGAACCTGCACTCTTCAGACTACTGCGGTGCGGGCGAGGATGTGATGGGAAGTGCATCCAGGGATGTCTACGAGAAGACATGTCAGCTGCTGGAGAAGAGTTGCCGTTGGAGCAATGGAGAGAGAGCAAGGATCGGGTACTGCAGGTCATGTCCGACGCAGCAGCATTGGTGCAATGTGCTTACATTCGGTCAGCAGTAACATGGACGCAGCTACAACTGCTGCTCACAAGGCACGTTCGAAATAGATTGTCGCCATTTCGCATCTGCTTCGGCGGTGATTGTGTAGAGACACCGGTAGATGTAATACCTGAGGTATCATTTCCGGTCCCCTACCTGAGGTACTCTATCCGCCATAATGCCGAAGTCCGGAGATAGCAAACCATCCTTCTATAGCAGGGCTGCATCCTTTAAAGTTCTATAACTTCTCTTGATGACAGGGAGCCTGGAGGTAGGTTAGTAGAATTTCAGTTACTGAGGCGCCGACAGACAGGTCACAGACTTACAGCACTGACCCTAGGTACCTGACCTACTGAGCAGTGGAGTGAGCTTTTCATATCGCATCATGGCCCAGGGCATGCGCTAAAAGCTAGGGAGACACGCCAAGACGGGGTATTGCTGTTGGCCTTGCTTCCAAGGTTAATTCGTGCCGATTCAACTCTCATCTCCTTCTGATTGATTCATCACAACATCCCTCATTCTATGATTCTACAGACTGGGCGCGGCGCCAGATGGATACGATAGGTACACCGCATCGCTGCTCTGCATCCTGGTCTGCTGTATAGGTGTGTATCAGGACACGCAAAATCGCATGGTCCGTATGGTCACTTCGCCCTACTCTCATACCATGCCGGCCATGCCATGCCATGCATCACGAAAAGCTTAAAATGGCACCTTATCCACTACGTCTCGACGCGCTGATGGGACTGGTCGCGTCACATTTATCGGGGCGCTGCATCTCCCTATGGACAAGTTTCGGGAGTGCATGTTCATAGGCTGCGTATGGATAGGCGGTGGTAGTGGTAGGAGCCTAGAGGAGGTCTTGGCTTTTGTAGGAGGGGACGGGGAAGACGGTTGGAAATACTTAATACACCCACAATTTCCAAAAAGGACACCGCTGGCCGCCATCCATGTGCCCCGTGCCGCGGTGGTGGTTGAGGCTACTTCAAGCATTTAGGCGAAGCTAGGGATCCACAGCAAACACTGCCGATAAGTTTTTTTTCTACGGTAATGAGGTCATGTTGTGGACTTGTGGTCATGGTGATTGCAGCGCTTCCACATGCAAATACCTATCCCACCGTAAACGCCGTCTTGTCTCCGCGCCCGTCTCGCAAATCAACAGCGGGCCCGCGGCATCTAACAGCATCGCAAAGCCTATCCTGCCTCATCGGGAATCATGGCGGCCTCTAGTGTAGCACCTGTCGCACCAGCCCGCAGCCAACGTCGCTCTCCTGCGCGACTCCATACAATATTGCTGTGGCCCCCCGTCATTTTCACTCTTATTCGCCCCAGGTCCACCTGCTGCTTGGTCAGCTAGCTTAACTGCCATCACTCCACGCGTTCGGCTTCAAAATTCGCGTGGCGACCGCTGGTCTGACACACACACACACACTCTCTCTCTCTCCCTCTCTCATTGTCAACATCAGTGCCGACGACCAACCGCAACCTCAATCACATCCGCATACACCGCACCTTTGAACGCCGCCTAGTGTGACCGGGGCCCTGGTAGACGACGCACGATTCACTTCGTCCAGGATGTGGGGATCTGGGGTCGACGAGCGCAAGCTCAACACCTCGTCCCATTCGCTAAACCAATGGCATCGGGGCGACCCTCACAGCGACTCCGACCGCGCCCATACACCTCTTCACCCCACGGAAGAAGTCGAAGATGGCACTCGTGGCCAGGATGGAACTTGGGGCGAATGTAAGGCTTGCATGCCGTATCATGTCTGATGATGTCGCCAAATAGCTGACCGATCTTTGCAGCCGACGTGGGCGGTTGGACCACAGAAAGCGCCATGGCAGACTATGAGAACCTGCGGAGGAATCTCACGACCATGGAGCGCACACGGTCCAAGGAGGCTGCCCAAGACGGCAATGCCTTGACCAGGACGACCACGGCACAAAGCAAGAGGAGCCAGGGCGGTCGTCGGCGAGCGTCGCTGCTTACCATGTCCACACAAGCAGATCACACAGCGACACGCCAACCCACGAGGGAAGAAGCGGAAGCAGAAGTCGAAGCTGGTCCTGACGACGACGACGACGAGGAAGAACGAGAAGAGTTTGAACTCGAAAAGTTCATGCGAGACGGCCATTTCGAACGTCGAGAGGATGGCAAACCACAGAAGAAAGTGGGTGTCATCTACAAAGATTTGACCGTCAAGGGTGTTGGATCGACTGCTTCATTCGTCAGGACCTTGCCGGATGCTATACTGGGCACATTTGGTCCAGATTTGTGGCACATCATCACTCGCTTCGTACCAGCTCTAGGCCGCCGAAGCGGCGAGACCAGGACTTTGCTGCATGGTTTCAGTGGATGCGTTCGAGACGGAGAAATGCTGCTGGTTCTTGGTCGTCCAGGCGCTGGCTGCACCACTTTTCTCAAAGCTATCAGCAATAACCGCGAGCCGTATGCTGAAGTGACGGGAGAAGTGACGTATGGCGGCATATCGGCGGACAAGCAGAAGAAGATGTATCGTGGTGAGGTGAATTACAATCCCGAAGATGATATCCATTTTGCCTCCCTCAACGTGTGGCAAACCTTCACCTTCGCACTGTACACCAAGACAAAGAAGAAAGCGCAGGAGGATATCCCTGTTATTGCCAATGCCCTGATGCGTATGTTCGGCATCAGCCACACGAAATACACTCTCGTTGGTGATGAATACACGCGAGGAGTCAGTGGTGGTGAACGAAAACGTGTATCGATCGCCGAGACTCTCGCATCGAAGAGCACAGTCACCTGTTGGGACAACAGCACCCGTGGTCTCGACGCCAGCACAGCACTGGACTACGCACGATCTCTGCGCATTATGACCGACGTCACGAACCGAACAACACTTGTGACCCTCTACCAGGCGGGAGAAGGAATCTACGATGTCATGGACAAAGTCCTTGTGATTGACCAAGGCCATGAGATCTATATGGGACCTGCCTCTGACGCGAAGCAGTACTTCATCGATCTCGGCTACCACTGTCCCGAGCGTCAGACGACAGCCGATTTCTTGACTGCTGTGACCGATCCCGTGGAGCGCCAATTCCGCGAGGGATATGAAGCCAAAGCGCCCAAGACGCCCGAAGAGCTTGAAAAGGCATTCCGAGCGTCACCAGCGTACCAACGTGTCCTGGAGGACATGCGCGACTACGAAGCCTATCTGAAGGAGAGCGGTTATGCAGATGCCGAGCGCTTCGAGAATGCTGTTCAAAGTAAGTCTGGTCTTCTCCTTGTGGTACTAGTGTGTCATCAGAACTAACAATGCGATAGCTGGCAAGTCGAAGAATGTCCGCAAGAAGAGTCCATACACCGTGAGCTTCCCACGACAGGTAACGGCATGTGTCAAGCGTGAGTTCTGGCTGCTCTGGGGAGACAAAACCACACTCTACACCAAGGTTTTCATCATCATTTCCAATGGTCTGATTGTCGGATCTCTCTTCTATGGCCAGCCAGAAAACACCGAAGGTGCATTCAGTCGTGGCGGTGCTTTGTTCTTCTCCATCCTCTTCCTTGGATGGCTGCAGCTCACGGAACTTATGAAGGCCGTTTCGGGACGTGCGGTCGTGGCTCGGCACAAGGACTACGCATATTATCGCCCCAGCGCTGTTTCCATCGCACGTGTGGTTGCCGATCTACCTGTGATTTTCGTGCAAGTGGTCCTATTCGGAATTATCATGTACTTCATGACAAACCTTACGGTCACGGCCAGCAGGTTCTTCATCTACCTGCTGTTCGTCTACGTTACGACCATCATGCTTACGGCCCTCTATCGACTCTTCGCCTCGGTCTCACCGGAGATCGACACCGCAGTCCGTTTCTCTGGAATCGCCCTCAACTTGCTCGTGATCTACACCGGATATGTGATACCCAAGACTCAGCTACTGTCCAAGTACATCTGGTTCGGATGGATGTATTGGATTAATCCCATCGCGTATTCCTTCGAGGCAGTGCTCTCCAACGAATTTGCGGGCAGAACGATGCAGTGCGCACCTGAACAGCTTGTACCTCAAGGTTCTGGAATCGATCCCGCATACCAAGGCTGTCCTATCGCGGGAGCTCAAATTGGCTCGACCGAAGTCTCTGGGTCGGACTACATTGGCACGCAGTACAACTATTCTCGGTCCCATCTGTGGCGTAACTTTGGGGTTGTCATCGCTTTCACTGTCCTGTACATTCTGCTTGCCGTGATCGCTACCGAGCTGTTCGACTTCTCTGCCGGCGGTGGCGGTGCTCTGGCATTCAAGAAGTCGAAACGCGCAAAGAACCAGGTCAAGGAAGCAGCTCCAGCCGACGAGGAGAAGGCTGGTATCGCCGAAGATAGCTCCAGCTCTACCAAGAAGGAAGCTGGCATGGGAGAGTCTGGTGACTCTGACAAGGAGAACGAGGCGCTCGAGCAGATCACCAAGTCAGAGAGCATCTTCACTTGGCGAGATGTTGAGTACACTGTCCCATACTTGGGTGGTGAAAAGAAGCTCTTGAACAAGGTCAATGGCTATGCCAAACCGGGTGTCATGGTCGCATTGATGGGAGCAAGTGGAGCCGGCAAGACGACTTTGCTGAACACACTTGCTCAGCGTCAGTCGATGGGAGTCGTGTCTGGCGAGATGTTCGTTGACGGGCGTGAGCTTGACGGCGCATTTCAGCGCAACACCGGCTTCTGTCTTCAAGGAGACCTTCACGACGGCACAGCCACGATCCGCGAAGCACTGGAGTTCTCTGCCATCTTGCGACAAGACGCGAGCGTGCCGCGCTCCGAGAAGATTGCGTATGTGGACAAGATCATCGATTTGCTCGAATTAAACGACCTACAAGATGCCATCATCAGCAGTCTTGGTGTTGAGCAGAGAAAGCGCCTGACAATTGGTGTTGAGTTGGCTGCCAAGCCTTCGCTGCTCCTCTTCCTGGACGAGCCAACGTCTGGACTCGATTCTCAGAGCGCCTACTCCATTGTTCGATTCTTGAAGAAGCTGGCTCACGCCGGTCAGGCAATCGTGTGCACCATCCATCAGCCGTCTTCTGTGCTCATTCAGCAATTCGACATGATTCTCGCTCTCAACCCAGGTGGCAACACTTTCTACTTCGGTCCCGTAGGGGAAAACGGCAAGGACGTGATCAAGTACTTCAGCGAGCGAGGCGTCGACTGTCCACCCAGCAAGAACGTTGCCGAATTTATCCTCGAGACTGCAGCCCGACCCGTGCAGGGCAAGGATGGCAAAAAGATCAACTGGAACCAGGAATGGCGAAACAGCCAGCAAGCCAAGGATGTCATCCAGGAGATTGAAGGACTCAAACTGAGCCGCAGCAAGACCCAGCCAGAAGGCAAGCGCAAGGAGCAAGAAAAGGAGTACGCCGCTCCGGTTGGAGTCCAATGCACTGAACTCCTGAAGCGAACCTTCAAGCAATACTGGAGAGATCCATCTTATCTCTACGGTGAGTCAAGTGACAGTTTGAAGACTTCCCGTATCTTTGATGTCTCAAGAAGCACGCACTCTGTTGAGCTGCGGAGCTTGACACAGACATTGTCCCATCACCTCCCCATTAGGAGCTACACTTGCTGACCTTTTGATTTCTAACTTTCAGGCAAGCTCTTCGTCTCAGTAGTCATCGGCATCTTCAACGGCTTCACCTTCTGGCAGCTTGGCAACACGATTCAGGACATGCAGAACCGCATGTTCACGGCATTCTTGATCTTGACTTTGCCTCCCACGATTGTCAACGCTGTCGTGCCGAAGTTCTTCACCAATATGGCTTTGTGGCAGGCCCGAGAGTATCCATCCAGGATTTATGGCTGGTTCGCGTTTTGCACTGCGCAAGTGGTCGCAGAGATCCCGGCTGCAATCATTGGTGCTGTGGTGTACTGGGTACTGTGGTACTTTGCCACAGGTTTGCCGACAGAAGCTTCTGTTTCTGGCTATGTCTTCCTCATGGCAAGTTCTATGCGCACTACTTGTACTCGGTTCATGACTAACAGATCTCGCAGACCATGCTCTTCTTCCTCTTCCAGGCTAGCTGGGGTCAGTGGATCTGTGCCTTTGCACCCTCGTTCACTGTCATTTCGAACGTCATGCCATTCTTCTTCGTCATGTTCTCGCTGTTTAACGGTGTGGTGCGACCGTATTCCATGATACCCGTCTTTTGGCGATACTGGATGTACTGGTAAGTCAATCCAATGTCCCCGCCGAACAGTAGGCGCTAACAGAGACATCAGGGTCAACCCATCTACCTGGTGGATCAGCGGTGTCCTTGCGGCGACCCTTCACAACATTCCAGTGCAATGTGCCGAATCCGAGACTGCCATGTTCAATCCTCCACCCGGTCAGACCTGCTCGCAATATGCGGGATCTTTCGCCCAATCTGCCGGTGGATATCTCTTGAATGGAGATGCCACGTCAACGTGCATGTACTGCCCATACTCTTCTGGAGACCAATACCTGTCGACTTTGAACATTCACGCCTCGCAGAAATGGAGAGACTTTGGCATCTTTTTGGTATTCGTCTTCACCAACTGGTTCCTGTAAGTTTTATATCCTATTGCCCTTTTTTACATGAAAGGGTAATGTAACAATCGCTAACATTTTCACCCTAGCGTCTACTTCTTCATTTGGTCTGTACGTGTCAAGGGCTGGTCATTTGGTATGGGATACTTGTTCGGCGGCCTTGGCAAGCTCGTTTCATTAATCACGAAGCCTTTTGCCCGCATCTTCGACAAGAAGAAGAAGAACAAGGAATCCCAGGAATAGAAAGAGACTCAGCAATTACGTTTTTAGGGACGTGACTTTAGCAAGGCGTTAACTCTAGACCGGTACCACAGTACCACTATAGAACAAGAGCTGAATAGTCTACCAGAGCTTACAATTACAGCTAGTTTTTTTCTTTTTCATTGATGATATGCTGCACTCCCTCCTGCCAAGACAACAGCGTTCGTGCACTGTAAAGCTGAGATCATCTTATCTATCTAGGTACCTTGTCTACTCTTACACCACCAAGAAACGGTTCCTGTTGTTTTGGTTTTCCTTTCTGGTGACACAACATATACCTACCTGGCTGCTGTTCGCATGCCGCTGGAGGGTAGGGTGACACGACAGCATACGGCAGCGGCAAGCAACACGGGAAGCCAGCGGGTCGTGAAGTTCATGAACATCATCATCATCATCGGATCGGATAGCTGCTTCGGGGCCTGGTTCTGGCGTCTGTATCTACAGGTAGTCAGGTACCTAGGTAGTTTGTTGTTTTTCGGTAAGGTAGTAGCTATGTAACTAGAAGTTTGAGTAGTTCAAGGGAAGAGATGGTATTGGTTTTTTCTTTTCTTTTCTTGTTAATGTGGTTTAATAAAGGTAGGTGGGTTTGAGTATATGTTTGTGTGTATTGTTACTACTACCTACTAGATGTGGATTTTTGTTCTTGTTCGTTCTGACTGTATGGGCATGGTATGGGCGTGGTATGGCATGGGCATGGTAAAGCAGGATGGATGGGATGGTATGGGATGGTATGGGATGGTATGAAGACGCGATACGTCCATGGGTGTGTGCTCGGACGGCTCTTTGCAGATGGGGAAATTTGGAGACACCGACAGACAGAACATCCAAACAACACTTCTTTTTTTTCCTATCTGAACTTTGCGTCTTCTTCTCGTGAAGATACAGCCGAGTCTCTTTCGAGATAGCAAGCAAGCAGGCAAAGCAAAGCAAGCAATCAAGGAGATGATGATGATGATGATGGATAATTGATGATTGATGGTGGACAAAAACGGAGACAATCAATTGACAGCAATTATGTAGCTTTCTTTGTACGCTTGTTGGAATGGCTGGGCAGAATCTACCCACCTACAGTACTTACCGTAGTTTGTTACCACCAGATTCCCAAGCGCTGCGAGAACCCGGACAGGCATACTGCTGCCACATGGCTGGATGCCCTGTCCGGTTGTCATGATGTATGTAGTGGTCCTCCTCCATACCTGATGCTTGCTCCATGGGTACTTTGGTATAACTGCAAATCTTCTCTTTTCTGAGGATGTACAATGTTTCACTTACATCTCTCAAGTCAAAGGTTTGCTCTCTGAGTAAATGAAGAGAACCTCGTAACTCCGGATCGTGCCAACTGCCGCACGAACGAACGAACATGTGGCGAGTGTGTCGGAACGTGCATCCTGCTTTGATAGACGGGACCCGCCGCTCCCATATACACTTGAGACAACCACCACGAGCCAGGGTATTGATCCCCCCGGTGGACATGCCCCCCAACCAACCACGCGGGAGAGGCTGAATACTATCCACCTCACTCTTCGGGTATCGCGCCATAGAGCCTTCACTGCAAGTGGTCTGTTCCGCTTCAGACAAGACAACCTCAGGCTCGAGCGCCTCAGAACCAGCCTCGAGGGATAGGGATGTCGTTTGCTCAATCAATATCGCTCCTTAGCAACTCCCACTTGTAGTTGACGAGGCTGGTCCCTTAATTCTTCTCCTCGTGTATTCCCCCATTCTCTCATCTTGTTGTCGTCGCAACAGCACCGACGCTGATAGTGCTCGCGGTGTATACGGCTGCGTCGTCTTTTAAAGGACTCTCCCACCACCTGCACAAACGACGGCGTGCATGACCTCTGCATAGGCCAGTGCAGAAGCCCATCTGAGACCTATGCATTGTCCCTCACCGCAAACTTGACCTGAGATTCTTTTGTGTGCATGTGTGTGTCTGTATGTGTGAATGGCCCGGCCTGGCTCGTACGAGAAAGAGCAAATAGATGGAGGCTTCGATCGATCCCTTGTTACATGTATCTCGCGCGCGCGGCAAACTGTACAGTCAACCAACCACCCTCTCTCCAATCCCCTTGTTAACGGCTTGCCTCTGGACTTCTTTGACGTGCCATCGAGAGCGAGACATAGTGGGCCGTGTTGAGATTCCCGTCAGCCAATGTAACCCCGAAGCTTGTGTTCCAAGGATCTGGCATATCGTCCGCATATCTGATGTACTCACCATAGAAAGCCTTCGTCCTCGCCCTTGGGAATTGCTTCACCGCTCGTGAGCTACACCGACACACACTTCTTTCGCCTGTCGTTCGATTGTTTCCCTCAGTTGTCCTGCCACCTCCCCCTTCCACCGCCTCACTATGGCGAACAGTTACCACCACCATATGCCTTCGCCTTCACCAGAAGAGTCATCTCGAGGTGGACAGTTCTCATATCATCACCACCACCAACGTCAACCAGCTGCTACGATGTTGAAGATACACTCGCTCCTCAATCCCACCTCCGACTACAGATACCCGGGTCACCACACGAACACACCTCCACCGACTCCCGCGTACACTACGCACGGCTACTCCCAAGCCGGAACACCTCAGCCGGAAACACCCAACACTCCATCACCTTCGAAACGCCAAAAGCTCATCAAGGACGCAGCGGTGTTTCTTCGAGGCGGTGCCATCAAAGGCAACATCAACTATCCGCCCTTCGAGTGCACTGAAGACAGTCTGTGTCTGGACTCGTATCAGCGTCAAGAACTCGCCCGGGAGCATGAACGCTTTCAGATCTTTCCGTGCGGCCGCGGCGATGAGGGGCTGATCTCAGACTACGTCCGACACATACCCTACTCGAGCGAGAAGAAAAGCTTCTTGAACAAGACGGGACGAGATGCTTTTGATGGTAAGTAAGCAGGACATGAACTGTTTGTGAGGATACAGGGCATAATGTTGACAACATTCTGATATGGGGCAGTATTCCAATACACGTTCAACGTACCTTGGGATCCTACCAACCGTACTCACGTCGTCATGTGGGATTACCAGATCGGCCTCGTGAGAATCACTCCATTCTTCAAAGCTTGCGATTACTCCAAAGTGGGTGGTGCCTTCCTTCGATATGACCTTACCTAGGTACCTATATGAACTGACCGGAAGCACAGACGATTCCCGCCAAGGCCCTCAATACCAACCCGGGCCTGAAGGAGCTGGCACACTCCATCACTGGCGGTGCTCTTGCTGCGCAAGGCTATTGGATGCCATATGCGTGTGCTCGAGCCGTCTGTCTGACCTTCTGCTATCCCATCCGATGGGCTCTGACGCCCATCTTTGGCGCTTCATTCATCAAGGAGTGCTTGAGACGAGACGACCCCGGCTTTGGCCGCTTCAAGATTGATCCCGAAGTCGTCCGATGTGCCTCTCTGGAAGCAGAGGGCTGGCGGCCAGACAACTACTATGAAGGTCATATGCCAACCATCGGCCCGTCGTCGTATGGCCAGGCGATGCCACGCAGCCAACCTGCAGTCTCTCTTCCACCGCCACGGCATCGAGCAGGTCCTTCGCAATTCCGCATGGACTCTCCTTTTGGCTTGGAAGCTGATCATGCTATGGATCAGAGCTACACTTACGGCTCACCAGACAGAGTATCCCCAGCGCTCTCACCCAAGTCCAGCACACTTCAACAAGATTACGAGACTCCAGGCTGGACAAGTATCAACCAAGGACAGAGTCTTGGCAGCGTGCCACTGCCACCACATCCTGAGTCTGTAATACCACCAACATCCTCCTCCCTGATGGACGAGCCACGTTACACTCCAAGGACCACATGGCGGGCAGCAGAAGTGTCCCCGGAATCGGCCGTCCCAGCTCAGCGGCACCAGAGACAGGACAGCAGGCATGGAGCAAAGCGACGGCACAGTGATGTCTCTCAATCATCAGACGGTCTTCCGGATGAGGAGCCAGAGGCTGTCCTGAGCACGTCGAGCGAGAGTGACGAGGCCGACATCTCTCTATCGCCACCTTCAAAGCGCGCTTCCGAGGCTGAGCACGCGCCGCGAACACGCGTCACCCGCAGCAGCAAGCGTACAAAGGCAGGGAAGGTCGCGAGCAAGAAATTCACACCCGCCGACGCTCGAGCGGCGCGGTGGTTGCTCAATTTGAGTCAGAGAGACTCTCACTTGGCGGAGACCCAGATGCCGTTGCCCCGACATAATCGCCAGTCGGAAGAGAAATAAGATCTAGGTTGTACTGGATCAATGTATACTATACTACGGATATGAATTACTTGGACGACTTGAATGACTTACGCTGTGAACAACTGGTTGATCCTCTTGCCATGATGAAGACAGGACATGCACGTGAATAGTACCCGGGCATGTGAATGTGGCGTGCAGACCTGTTGCCCAGTTGCCCTGGGGTCCTGAAAGCCAATGCGGATTTCGTGAAGTGGGAAAGTTGGACGCAAGTCAACACCGGAATAACATTTGCGTAGTGACCAGGAGACGGTGCTCCCAAATGCTTTTCACTACTACGTTCCACAGCAGATTGAGCTGGACTCTCGATACCTCCTACCAGCACCCGTGTAAGCTGTGGTTCTACCCAATCCAGCAATGAATCCGTGGCGTGCCGGTAGAAAACGAGTACCTCCTAGTCAGGCAAACTGAGGACTTGAGAGAGCGTGAGAATATTTCCTCAGAAAAGGCCGCAAACTCCTGGCGCTGCAGTTACACCTGCCTCCTATGTGCCGCCCACGGGATGGAGCGCCGGTCAGTATTTACCTAGCTAGTACCTTAGTGGTTAGGTAAGGTAAGGTAGTCCTGAGCAGTGCATGTACAATTGTACATTGTAGGTGGTATCTCACCACTGGTGACTGACTGCACTACCTCTACTTCGGGGGATTTCTTTGACAGCCTTTCCCATCACACTACAAGGGCGTCCAGTCATGTCCATGCTGGTCAGTCGCAACCGTGTTGTACCTCCGGAAAAGTACCGTAGGAGGTATGCGCAGTGTCGCAGCATGCAACCGGCAGCATTTCCATCGATCACCACCTGGAGGATATAGCGCACGCCGCACAGGATGCCGCGCTCATTTCGAACGGGCGCCGAGCCTCCGTTCCTCTCGAGTCTCGAACTTCTGGTCCCGGTCCCCTGAGCGTCTGCGTGACGTTCTCAGAAACGCGCGGCTGTGCTGTGCTGCCAAGACCTTGGACAGATGAACGCGGCAGGGAGGGACGGGACGGGACGTGATCCAGAGGCACCAGGCACCTGCGCGCAGAACGACGCGCACATTCCGGAATGTGAAGCTTTCACTACGCGGCCTTTTGAAGTGCATCTGATGCATGCATACCTGTATACACAATCATCGTTATCTACCTGTACTAATCAGGTATCTACTTTATACTGGGTCACCTCGCCAAAAGAGCCGTTGAACGTTCGGATTTATTCGTGGTGGATAACAAGATCCCTGCAGGAAATTACTTGACGCCATCAATGTGCCAGCGTGGCTGAAATGGCGCCAAACTTTCCTGTACCTATGTCCACACTAGCATCCTTCCCAACAAGGTACATATAGGAGAGCCGTGTCGCCCGCCAGCTGGACCTCCGCTATTGAATATACCACCTCTCCGCCTCTTCCGCCCGCATCCTTATCCTTCCACTCCCATCTGCACCGCCGCCTCTCCATCAGCGACTTTGATGGCCGTCATCGAGTTTGAGACCGAGAAGGTCGCGGTGGGGGAGGACGGGCCGCGTACACCCCAGGAGCCGTTTCGTGACCTCCGTTCGAGCACAGAATCAAGCGCATCTTCTTCGACAGAGGATTCCATCACGAGGCTGAAGGAATCCCGAGACCTCGAGTCACAGTCTCCCCAGGCGACTCCAGTGGCCGAGCACTATGTGTCCGTTCGTTCAAAACTGGTGTTCCTGGCAGCCTACTTCTTTCTCAACCTATTCTTAACTCTGTCGAATAAGTCTGTGCTGGGCACGGTATGCTTCTAGAAGAAGAGCCTCTCCAAGAACAATCTGCTGACGGCATGACAGGCAAAGTTTCCGTGGCTCCTGACTGCAGTGCACTGTTCTGCGACTTCGATCGGATGTTTCGCCATGCTCGGCCTCGGCGCTCTCAAGCTGTCTACGCTCGGAACGCGTGAGCATTGGACCTTGGTCGCCTTCTCGTTTCTTTTCACCATCAATATCGCCATCTCGAACGTTTCCTTGTCGATGGTGTCGGTGCCGTTTCATCAAATCGTGCGGTCGACGACACCCGTTATCACGATCCTTATTTATCGATTTGCATACGCCAGGACCTACGCAAGCCAGACCTATCTTACCATGATTCCGCTCATCTCCGGCGTGGCTCTGGCAACTGTTGGCGATTACTATGCGACTCTTGCCGGTTTCACAATGACCTTGCTCGGAGTGTTTTTGGTACGCGTTAACATTGCTGGCAAGACGGCAATCGAGACTGACTTTTCTTCGCAGGCATCGGTAAAGACCGTAGCTACGAACAGGCTTATGACCGGCTCTCTCAAACTTTCTGCGCTCGAAGTGCTACTACGAATGTCCCCGTTGGCGGCTATTCAGTGCGTGTTCTACGGCTATCTCACTGGAGAAGCAGACCAGTTCCGGATAGCCTTCGCTGAAGGCCAGTTCTCGGGCACTTTCGGCGCTGCGCTGCTCGTCAACGCAATGACCGCATTCCTGCTGAATATCGTGGGATTCCAAGCGAACAAAATGGCCGGAGCGCTCACAATCACCGTTTGCGGCAACGTGAAGCAGGCGCTGACGATATTGTTGGGCATTGTGTTATTCCATGTGCAGGTGGGAATGCTGAATGCAGTAGGCATGCTTATTACAATAGCCGGCGCAGCTTGGTATAGCCAAGTGGAATTGTCATCGCGAGCGAAACGGTAGCGCGCGGCAGTTGACCATCTTTTGCATAGCATTTAGCGCGAAGATACCCCAGCAAATCGAGTAACCCTCCAGTACATCATGGTTCCTATATTATTCTGCCTTTCTCATTATGCTTCTCGAACTATGCAGACACCGACAATGCTGGACGTTTGAAGTCGGCATAGAGAGAGAGAGATACTACCTCCTACAAGAGGGAAGAATTGCAACAATCTGCGCCCCAATCCAGCTCGGCTGTAACCGAGTACATCCATGATGACTGTGAAATGCATCCTGCGTCGCTACTGTATCCTCCCAGTACATAGCATGCTGTTTCACGTCCAAAGTCAAGGTTGTGAGAATACATGTCAGATACTACTGGTGCTTCCAAGTCGATTCGGCATGATCGAGTAGACGGGACTGACTGAGGAGTGGATCGTGTGACCCAAATGGCGAGCTACGAATGTAGCTGCGCTTAGTTGTGATGGAATCGGGCTCAAGCGATGGACGAATTTATGCATAGGTCGGTTTTGACAATGTAGAGGAGCGCTCGTATTTCTCGCGATTCTCTTCAAGGGACTGGAAGTGAAAGGTGCCCGGGGCCCGGGTAGAAAGATGCAGTGGAGAATTGGAGACGATCCGCAGCTTAGTCATCAAACCTTCAAAGAATTCTGGTCCCCCAAGAAAAAAACTGTGATATTTTGCCAAAGAGAAAAGAGCCCCCAACCCACTCTTGATCCAACATGGCCCAGGAAAGCGCAGCAGCAGAAAAGAAGCAGCCGAAATCTTTCGAGGCGCTGACGCCTGAACTTTCGCAATGGATTCTGGACTTTACGAGAGGGATGGGTTTTGCCCGAACGACTCCCGTCCAGGCCATGGCGATACCACTTCTTCTGGGCAACAAAGATTTGGTTGTGGAGGCTGTCACGGGAAGCGGAAAGACGCTCAGTTTTCTGATTCCGTTAGTCGAGCGCATTCTGAAGGCTGAGGAGCCGAACAAAAAGGGTCATGTGCGATCTATTGTGGTGGCGCCCACGAAGGAACTGGCGAGTCAAATCTATGATGTTCTCATCGGTCTGTTGGATTTTCACAAGCCTTCTGCGGCTTTTCTGAGGCAGGCGGCGAAGCCCGAGCGGGATAGTGAAGATGAAGATATGGACGGCATCGACGACGACGAGGTCGATGATGAGGTTCCGCCGGGACCATATGCTGTGCCGCAGCTTCTGGTGGGTGGTATGAATAAGTTGGCGGAAGACCTGGCGACGTTTGCTCAGCTGGGCCCGAATATCCTGGTGGGGACACCGAAGCGACTGGTCGAGGTGCTGCATTCGTCGAAAGTGGTCGTGAAACGACACTGGTTCGATTTGCTCGTCCTTGACGAGGCAGATCGTCTGCTCGATCCCAATTTTCAACCGGATCTGCAGCGTATTCTCGACATTGTACCCAAGGAGAGACGAACGGGACTGTTTAGCGCATCCGTCTCGGAGGCAGTCGATGAGCTGGTCCGAGTCGGTATGCGCTATCCTTTCAAAATCAGCGCGAAAGTGCGAAGCAAAACTGGCGCGCTGGATAAGCGTACACCGGAAAGTCTGAAGCTGTATCACTTGATCACGAAGCCTTCACTGCGAATACCACATCTGAAGCTTATACTACAGCAAAGTCACGCCGAGAAATCGATCATCTATGTATCTACACGTGCAGGCGTAGACTATTGGAATCACATCCTGCAAGCACTGCTCGGCATGCCAGTGTATCCCCTTCACGGCGATCACAAAGCTGCCATTCGGATGAAGAATTTGCAGCGATTCCGGGATGCGACGTCCTCGGCAATACTCCTCACTACGGATGTGCTCGCGCGAGGGATTGATATACCCGACATAGATCTGGTCGTACAACTGGATCCGCCGAAACAGCCCAAGGACTTCATCCACCGATGCGGACGTTCCGGTAGAGCAGGTAAACGAGGCATGGCTGTCACGTTCTTGAGCGAAGGCGGAGAAGAAGATTACGTGAAGTACTTGAGTCTGCAGGGCACGCCGCTCGAGCCATATCCTGATGCTCCGACATTGACAGCCAGCGATGCCAGAGAAGCCACGAATGCTATCCGTAACGTGCTACAACAAAAGCGAGAGCTCCACGATCGGTCGCAGAAGGCCTTTGTCAGCTGGATACAGGCGTACAGCAAAACTCTGCCCACAGATATCTTCGGTGTGCGAAAATTGGACTGGGCTGAGACAGGCAGAGCGTGGGGACTATTACGCTGGCCCAAGATGCCGGAGTTAAAGCGCCACTTCCCCGAGGCTGTGGAAGACAGAAAATACAGTCTCGAACTGCCAACCGACTTTGAACTCAATGCAGTCGCGTATGCAGACAAAGTGCACGAAGCACAACGTCTTGCAGACAACGCCGCTCGAGCGCGTGGCGAGAAGCCGCAATTATCGTCTCAGTTGAGAGGTAAGCTTGCCGAGCAGAAGCAGCGGAAAGAGCGCGCATGGACAAAGCAGAAAGGGGCCAAAGTGGTGAAGGAAGAGCGACGGGAACGGAAAGAGGTGCGAAGGAAGGCGGAAAGCCATGCCAAGATGAGTGATGCCGACAAGGCGAAGGAGAGAGAATTGGAAGACTTGATCAGTAAAGTCCGGGCGCAGAATGCCGAAGCGGGAGATGACTTTGAGGGTTTTGATGATTGAAGCACTTACTGGTCTCCTGTAGTTTCTACCATTGCACGAGTTTGCTACTTCCGTCAGTGACCCCGTCATCTTCGGTCATGTCCGCCCAATACATGTACGCTTGCAGTGATCGACGATGTGTACCAATCGATCACAGACCCACACCGAAGATGTGAAGTGCCGTATGCGAGGCCTTCCGTGGATAATCTAAGGTACTTTTCCACATGGCCGGGCTGTTGTGTTGTTGGTTGCCAGGGCATCACGATGATCACATGATGATTATAGCCTGGCGCGGCGCAAAAACGTCTTCTTTCCCCGATTCGATTATGCGACCTTTGCGAAAGTGCCTTAACGTGCCTCAATGCTGCATGTCAGTCTAACCTTAATGGAATATTCATGGCTGGGGAAGCTTGGAACTAGCGCGCGGATCGACCCATCCGCCCTGGCCTTTGAATGGTGTCTGCAACTGAGACGTTCCTTCCACTCCGATTGACTTGAGCAGCTTCTCTTTCCATCTCACCTCTACATCCTCACACATTCACCCAATTTCACCACTTTTCGCAACGTCACGTCAATTTTTTTGTTGCGGAATCAGCTCACGCGACCATCTTCGCCTACACTGCATCAGCTTGCGACCACATTCTTCTTCACCACCGCCACCACCGCCACCACCACCACGTTCGCAACCTCGTTGACGTTCCTCGACCCTACGATCAGCTCACAACTCAATTCGCAAGAGCTCTCGACCTCACTTCGATATTCACCACACCAACAATACCATATCCACAGTCGCCATCATAGGTGTATCTCAGGCTCTCGTGGAGCTGGTGCACAGGTTACAGCAGGATAAGCAGCAACTGATGTTGATTGATACTGACCACATAGCCACCGACATGTCTTCGAACAGTTTTTTCGGCAACTCTCCCACGGTTGTGCTACCGTCTATGCCATCGAACCAGTACTTCGCCAATGGTCACTACGCCGAACAGCACAACAGTAATGCACACATGCTCAACGGAATCTCTCCTAACGCCATCACGCCCAATGGCATCGTGGACGCCAGCGCACTCCAATCAAATGTCACAACTCCAGGCTCGATCGCAGGTCGCAAGCGCTCTCGCGGTGACATTTTCTCTCCAGAAGACGGAGAGGAGCTGTTTGAAGACGGCTCGCGTTTCACTCCCACTGCCGACGAGTCCATTAAGCCGCGAGGCAAGCCGGTCTATGGGCCGGGTATGACGGTTCTCTATCCTGACGACCCAGGCTACCAGGCCTGTGCCGAATCGCAATCCGGAACCTGGAAAGAAGAGCAAGATGCTCGACGACCATTCGCACTCGCGCACACCAAGCGACCCAGTGTGACTTCGCGCAAGTCGCAGCGCATGGACTCCAAAGCAATCGGACCGGATGACCTCGCACAGCTCGTCCTTCCTTCTACCATTCGCGAAGCCACCACCGAGCCGCTCATTGACGAGGTTACCCGGCGTCTGGGTATCAGTTGGACTCGTATGGACTCTACAGAAGTGCGCCAGATCAATCAGAGATCGTACTCCAAGTGGATATCCAATCACTATCCTCAGCTCCGAGACGTGGCCATATGGTTCGAGAACAGCGCTCTCGACATCTACCTCGTCTCATGCCTCAATGCCTACAACGGACAGCACGAGTATTACATCTTCTCCGAGGATCTGACAGAGGCTCGCCTAGTCACAACCGATCCCAGTCAGCTCATCCCACGCCTTCAGATGCTGCCAGCGCTACACCTAGCGGCTCCCGCCGGCTTCCTCAGAGCGGAGACTGATCCGATCACTGCTGCTCAGAACGAAGCTACTGCTGCAATGGTGGCAGCACACAGTCCGGTGAATGGATGTGCCGCACATGCCATGGAGCTGGATTGATAGTACTGAAGAGGTCCTTTGCTTTGCTTTTCAATTACTGTACTTTATCTTTAAAAAATGGAATAAATCAAAAGAAGGCGTCTCTGGAAACGTCGAGTCCGGCGACTGGTTTAACGAGAAATGGACTTGCGCTCGAGCGCTGGAGTTGAGGTTGCTTTGCTATGGTTTGCGTAGCGCTCGATGACCCATGGAGGCTCGTTCGGGTTTGATTCTATGGGTCTGTTGTATTGCTGCTGCTGCTGCTGCTAGACGTATTACATAGCTCTCTCAGACTCATGAATTTTGAAATGCATCATGAACATTCTCTTCTCAATATGCGACAGCAATGTGAGCCTTTGATACTGTTGTACATGGCAGCAGAAGACCAGGTTGTCTTTTCAATGATGTTTTAGTGGCGCATTTGAAAGGCTTTGGTCCCATGTTCAGTTTGGCCGAGCTCGAGACACCTCCAGGCCCTCCAGACTAGCACAGCACCAGCACAACGACACCACCACTTCCACCCTCATCTCAGTCGCATAGTCCCCTCCCTCAACACCGCAAATATGGCCGAGGGAATGTTCTACGTGAGTCACAACTGCACGCGCGACGACTTTGGCTGACCGCGGCGTCCGTGAGACAGAATGCGACCAACGGCTACGTCGAAGGCGTGGTGCGTGGCTACCGAAACGCACTGCTCACGAACCAGAACTACGGCAACTTGACCCAATGCGAGAATATCGACGGTAGGCGTGGCGAAGGTAGCAGAACGGGCGGGAGGACATCAAGATGGCTAAGGATGTGGAAACAGACGTCAAGCTGCAACTCGGACCTGCGTACGGCGACTACCTCGCCTCCCTCCCCCCAAACCCATCCACATCCGCTCTCGCCGACAAGACGCTCGACAAGCTCGTCGCCGAGTTCCGCTATGTCCAGGCGCAGGCCACAGGGAGTCTCGCCAAGTTCATGGAATACTTGACTTATGCCTACATGATCGACAATGTGGCGCTCCTCATCACCGGCACACTGCACGAACGCGACACGAAAGAGCTGCTGGAGCGCTGTCATCCGCTCGGCTGGTTCGAGACCATGCCCGTACTCTGCGTCGCGACAAACATCGAGGAGCTCTACAACTCCGTCCTGATCGAGACTCCGCTGGCGCCGTACTTCAAGGGCAGCATCAGTCACCAGGATTTAGACGAGCTGAACATTGAGATTATTCGCAATACGCTCTACAAGAATTACCTGGAAGACTTCTATCGATTTGTGAATGAGGAGGCTGGAATCAGTGGGACGCCTACAGCATCTGTGATGAGCGAAATATTGGAATTCGAGGCAGATCGCAGGTCCATCAACATCACCATTAACTCATTTGGCACAGAGCTGTCGAAGCAGGACAGGAGAAAGCTGTATCCCAACTTTGGAAGACTGCACCCTGAAGGAACCTTGATGCTGAGCAGAGCGGACGATGTGGAGGGCGTGCGAATAGCAGTCGACGGTGTTCACGACTACCGAACTATGCTGGACCAGACTGGCATGGGAGGCAACTCTTTGGGTAACCAGTCCGGCGGCATTGGTGGAGACGAGGGCAAGAGTCTGGAAGATTTGTTCTACCAGAAGGAGATGGAAATCGCAAAACTGGCCTTCACATATCAGTTCACGCACGCGGTTGTGTACGCGTGGGTCAAGCTGAGGGAGCAGGTAAGCCGACGACACTTTCTCTTTCGGAAGTATCGCATCATTCCAGTGAGATCAGAGCTAACGCTGGTGACAGGAAATCCGAAATATCACATGGATATCAGAATGCATTGCGCAGAACCAAAAGGACCGAGTCAATAATTACATCAGCGTGTTTTGAGCATAGCAAGCGATACTAGCTCGCGTGCTCGGAGCCTAGGAGTCGGGATGGATATCGTAGCATAAGGTAGAAGGATGCACATTAACAGAAATGTATCAACATCTTGCAGCAACGAGCCAGCCATTCCCATGTGACGATGACTTCTAAGAACGCGTGGGATATGCACAGCGATCGATACTACCTTACCTGTACCTTTCGAGACATAGTACATGACATTTAGTGATCAACTCTTGGTCGGCATTACTTCCTAGGTGGTAGTACCTTACCGAACAGGCGGCCTGCAGTTGCCTTGTGGGTGAGAGATGATTGTACGGTGACGAGGTGAACAGTAAGGTAGTGCCTACCCCCGGAATAGAGTTCTGAGAGCTAGAAGCCCGAACTAGAAATTCCAGTCGTGACCTCCATTCATTCGCACTTTGTTCTTCCTTCTTCACCACCCAACACTGCCACCAAAACACCTCCTCACTGGCAATCATGTCTCGCACAAAATACAGAGGCGGAGCGCGAGCACGAGGGCGTGCACGTGGTGGAGGCGGCGGGGGAGGTGGTGGTGGATCGAGAAACCAATTTCAGGACAACCGAGTCTCATTTGATAAAATCGAAAAGACCAACGAGAAATTCGAACGATTCTACAACACCATTGCCCTCGTGCCCGAAGGCCCCGAGCGCACCGCATTCTGGACACACTTACGCAAAGAATTGCCGAATTCGTGGCGCTTCACGGGATCGAAGGGACATGCTCTCTCGGTCAGAGACAATTTGGTCACTCGCTTCTTTCCCGTTCTGAGGGGAATTAAGCATGAAGGCAGGCCAGTGGATTTGCCAGAGCCCATTGGTTGGTATCCCAATGGGTTGGCATATTCCATGACTACACCGAAGAATGTCGTGAGGAAATATGAGCCCTTCAAGGACTTTCAGAGGTTCTTGGTCAGCGAGACTGGCGTGGGCAACATCAGTCGTCAAGAGGAGGTCAGCATGATTCCGCCGCTCTTGTTGGATGTCGAGCCACACCACACCGTGCTTGATCTGTGCGCTGCACCGGGCAGTAAGAGTGCGCAATTGGTAGAGCTATTGCATGCGGGTGAGGAGGATAGGGTTGCAAAAGCGATTGAGCAGGTCAAGCGTGGAGAGGTGAATGGAGAGGCCAGTGAAGATCACGGCCGTGCCACAGGCATTCTCATGGCCAATGATGTGAACTACCAACGCGCGCAAATGTTGGTGCATCAGGTCAAGCGCCTCAACTCGCCCAATCTGATTGTCACTAATCACGATGCGACCATGTTCCCTTCCATCGCGATGCCGTCGGGCAAGGATGGCTCAGGGAACAAGACGGGTAAGTGGCTCAAGTTTGACCGCATCCTGGCAGATGTCCCATGCAGTGGAGATGGTACATGCAGAAAGAACCCAGGCATTTGGAAAGACTGGACACCACAGAACGGTCTTGGACTATACATCACCCAAGTGAGGATCCTGACGAGAGCGTTGCAAATGCTAAAGGTGGGTGGCAGAGTCGTCTACAGTACCTGCAGTTTGAACCCAGTCGAGAACGAGGCGGTCATTGCATCCGCCATCGAGAGGTGCGGTGGATCTTCCAATATCAGACTTGTCGACTCGTCAGACAGATTACCCGAGCTTAAGCGAACACCCGGTCTGAAGGACTGGAGTATCATGAATCGCAATGGCACAATCTATGAGTCCTGGGCTGAAGCGGCGGGATTCGAGCAAGAGGGTAGTAAGATTGTTCCCGGCATGTTCCCTCCTGAAGCCGAAGAGGACATTCCACTCGAGAACTGCTGGCGTGTGTACCCACACCAGCAGAACACGGGCGGGTTCTTCATTGCTGCTCTTGAGAAATTGAGCGAAGTCCGTGCTAAGCCAGAAGACGAGAGCAAATCGCAGAACAGAAACTGGACATTCAACAAAGATGCCGTCCCTGAGAAGACTGCTTTCACCGAAACGATGGCAGAGATTGAGAAGGGACATCTCGACGAACCAAAACGTGTTGATGACGTGCCTACTGTCACTGCAGCCCCTCTGCAAAACAGCTCCACTGGAGACGCCCCTACTGTTTCCGGTGCGAAACGAGCAGCACCAGAAGAGTCTCCAGAGTCTCCAGCAAAGAAACAGCGGATCGGTGAGGCGGCGGCAGCTCCAGATACTGCCATGGCCGAGAATGGCCACAAGGTTGGTGTGACAGGCGAGGTCAAAGATGCAGTCCAAGAAGCGCCTTTCGAGAAGACTGTCCCTCCAGAATCTGCGCATCAGTCGAAGCGACGAGGTGCCGAGGCCAACGAGGAGGCTTTCAAATATCTCGACTCACAACACCCGGAACTGGTAGGTATTTACAACTTTTACGAACTTCACTCCGCATTCCCGCGCGATCGATTCTTGGTCCGAAATCCTGCTGGAGACCCGGTCAAGGGCATTTACTATACTGCAGAGTTGATCAAACAGATACTCGTGTCGAACGAGAATCGCGGGATGAAGTTTGTCCACGCTGGCGTCAAGATGTTTATGAAGCAGGATGCCCAGGGTCAAGACATTTGCAGATGGAGAATCCAAACCGAAGGGCTTCCCATCATCGAAGGCTGGGTTGGAGAAGGTCGAGTGGTGACATTGAAGAAGCGCAGCACGCTGAGAAAGCTCCTCGTGGAAATGTTTCCCAAGGTCGCCACTGACAAGCATGAAGACGGCACCGAGACAGGGGGTTGGAAGGAGTTGGGAGAAGTCGGCGAGGCGCTCAATGCTTTGGGCGGAGGCTGTTGCGTTCTCAGAGTCGAGGCAACTCCTGATGCAGGCGAGGATGAGTTCAAGGAGGGCTTGACGCTACCGCTCTGGAGGAGTAGAGCCAGTGTGAATCTCATGCTGCCCAAGGAGGATCGCAGGGCAATGCTTCTGCGCATCTACAACGAAGATGTCGAGCTGATCAACCACTCGGATCCTAAGCAGAATGGTGGAAAGGACTTCAAGGGCGAGGCCCAGTCCGAGCAGGAGAAGAAGAAGGAAGAAGCAGAAGTCCAGCAAGAGCCACAAGGGAGTGTATCGGGTCAGGCTGATGCGGAAGAGGTACAAGAGCGCATCAAGAAGGCAGATGATGAGGATGATGATGAGGCAATGGGAGGTGTAGCAGTCGATCAAGTTACAGGACTGCCAGCTACGGACTTGGGCGCTATTGCTCTTGAGCAGGACGCAATGACTGGTACCGACCAGATTGAGACACAGCGTCTCGCAGTCATGGAAGACGAGGACAGGAAGGTCGCTGAGGCGATGCCGGAGAGAGCGGGCGATGCAAATGCTGACACGTCGAACACGACTGTGTAAGAAAAGCAAGGCAGCTGACTGTGTCTGTGACGCGGTGTTCTTGGCCATTATCTGTGTGCCAGCATATATCTCCTACATGGTAGACTGCAGTTCACACACGAAAAAAGTATGTAGAATAGGAGGTAGCACGTAGCAGTCATTCCATGCCACATTGATGTTTATGACCTGCACGGTAGTAGGTAGGCAAGGTACATGTAGTTGGGGAATGGGGATGATAGTTGCAGTCTGCATATAGGAAGCTGACGGGCACAGCGGCCACAGCCACTCTTTGACAAAAAAAGGACGACGACCGATAATAGTTCCTATCAAGGGTGCAGGTGAGAGACTAGGGGTTTACAGTGGGTAAGTTCTTGATAGGCACTCCCCCGCGTCTAGATCTAACACCTCAGGTAGGAGGTAGCGTCTGCTGTAACAAAATGGAACAATTCCGCATCGAAACTTGCGCCCAAGTCTTGTTGCACTTCGTTTTAGGCACAATTGAATCTTGTTTGAATCTTCTTCAACAAGGTTGTTCTTCTTCTTCTTCTTCACAAGGTTGTTCTTCTTTTCCAGCCGCCCGTATATAGATAGGTAGATAAGGTACCGAGGCATCTACAGTATCTCATCCTGACAGCCAAGGGTCCAAGACCTCTCTTTTTCTTCCTACCTGGTAGTTAGAGGCTCCGACTCATTCTAGGGCTGGGCTGGCCGAGGCTGGGCTGGCCTGAGTCGATCAATCATGCTTTCTCTCTCTCTAGAGGAGGAGGATGGGGAGGATGGAAGTGAGACTTAGTGAGTACGAAGAGGGCACTGGGCAGGAGTGGATTAATCTATCGGATCTTGCCTGAAGGCTGATTTACCTATCATTTATGCCTGATTGCAAGCTGAATGATATGCCGAGCGCTAGTCTAGGTACACTTAGTACACTACTGTACACGCCCCCCCCCCCGTCCCCCTCTTCAATCCTGCTTGCCTGCCTGTCTGCCTGCCTGTCTGCAGAGCTACCCACTCACCCACCTACCCACCAATTTATTCATCTACTCATATCTCTCTCATTGCCAGAGTAGAGAGGTCTAAGTTAGATATCTAGGTAGGTAGGCGGAGGAGAGCGACATTTGGTCCCTGCTTGCTTGCTTTTTTTTTTCTCTTTTTGTTCGTCTGGGGGGATAGAGAGAGAGGCTTTTTTCGTTCTGACGGCTTTTAGGATGAACAACCTGGAAATCCTTCTTATGGTGATACGAGCCTTTTTTCCCCCATCAGCACATCACTGTCATCACTGTCATCATCGTCATCATCATCATCATCATCACACTGGCGCACGCCGTGTGAGATGTCCACTAATTCTTGTGTGTGTGTAATTGTGTATGTTTGTGAATTTCTCACCACTACGATAATGTAAAGTAGTAGACCAGTAGGTAGGAGGTAGACCGTAGGAGGTAGTAGATGGGAAAATCTTCTGCAGGCTAATAAGGTAGAGGGAATCGCCATCGGCCATCCCGCTGCCACGCGGCGGACGAGGGAGTGAGGGGGGGCACGTCGCCTACTAAGTTAAAGTGTAAGGGCCGTAAGGTACATGTACTCTGTAACTGTACCTGTGCACTACTGGAGATTCTAGGAAGTACTAACTTCTTCCAGCCGACACCTTTTTTCTCTTATCGCTCTGCCCTTGTCTGGACTCTGGAAGGATCGCGCGCGTGCGAATGAGAGAGAATGAGGAAGAGTGAGAGAGTGAGAGAGTGAGGAGTGAGGAGTGAGTGTGTGAGAGAGTGAGTGTGGCGCATCCGCATCCGCATCCACCATCCACACACTGCATACAGACAGCCTGGAGGTCAGGTAGGTCAGTATCGCTGCTGTCCGATCATGTGTCATCCTTCTTCTGCTCCTTCTCCTTCCTCCTCCTCCTCCTCCTCCTCCTCCTCTTCTTCTTCTCTCTTCTTTCTTCTTCTTCTTTCTTCTCGAATATATTCCCTTATTTAACCATTATTAAAAATACACCACTTTTCTTTGGGGGGAGAGAGGCAGAGGCAAATCTCTCTCTCACTCACTCTCCCACTCTCTCTCGTCCTTTGTTGCCCCCCCTCCACTGCCGCTGCCGCTGCTGCGCCTCTTGGCCCCCTCTTGAAAAAACAGAGGTGCCTTGCGCGCGATTGAATTTCCCTTCTTGCCCATGATGATCCGTAGGCGATTCCCGACATCTCTCGCGCCTTGGGATTCGCTGCGGCAATCAACTTCTACTACGAGCCCGGAATCACACCACCGGGACTGAGGAGACCTCGGGTTTTTCTCACTCTCACTCTCACCCTCTCCCTCTCTCCCGACCAGCAGCAGACCACCGTATCATCTGTGTTCTTTACTCTCCTCTTCTGCTCATACGCTCTTCTGGTGCTCGCCCTTCGCGGGCTGAGCCTGGGAAAATAATGTCTCTACAGCAGCGAGCTTTGTGGGGCACCGCGCCTCCGGAGCCTCGGAGGTAGGTAATCGAACATGAAGACTTTCCTGACATGTTGGGCTGGATTGTTGACTAGATTCATGTGCTAGTGTCTCTGCCAACTGGCCCACGGTTCTGTTCTCATGGTACGGATGGAGTTTTTTCCTCAAAAGAGGGTTCTTTTTTCTTTTCTAAAAAGAAAAAAAGAACAGCGATGCGTGTACACGAGAGAAAAAGTCATGTATGCTAATATGAAAGTGTGAGAATAATACAGGTGGTGCACTTGCTTCGCGGCCTTCATCATCGTGACGAGAGTTCTGGGCCGAAAAGTCCGAAGCAACAAGCTCTTTCGGGAAGATTGGACGATGCTAGCTTCGATTGTGCCTCTGTTCATTCGAATGATCTTGATTCACTTCGTTCTGACATATGGCACCAACAATGTCGAAACTGTGGGACAGCAGTTCACCGAGCGGCAATTACATCTGCGGAAGATCGGATCGATGCTCGTCTTACCTGCGAGGATCTTTTACGCGCTCTACATTTGGGTCTCCAAGTACACCATTTCCGAGTTTCTCAAGCGTATCACCGGCCGGATCTGGCGGAAACGATATGAATGGGTCCTGCAATGCATCCGGGTGTTTCTGGTGCTGACCTTCATTGCGGTCGTGATTGCGACCTTGAGTGAGTGTACACCGTTCGAACACTATTGGCAGGTCGAGCCGGACCCAGGGCCGCATTGCAGACAGGGCTTCGTGCAACTCCTCGTGATGGGATCGTGCGATGTGGTGACGGATATTCTTCTCGTGGCGTTTCCCATCCCCGTGGTTCTCAGCTCCGGTCAAACGTGGAAACGAAAGCTGCAAATGATTGCCCTCTTTGGCTTCTCGATTCTGATGATCGGCATCACTGCGACTCGCATGCCCAAGGTCATCATCCACGGAGGCAGACAGCAGTATCGGTCGGTGTGGGCATCCGGCGAGATCCTCGCTTCGGCGTTTGTCTCGAACGCGGTCATTCTCGGGTCATTCCTGCGGGACAAGGGCGAGAAGAAGAATAAGTTCCGCAAATACAGTGTCACGGAAAGTATCGAGCGGGCCGCCGTCAAGAGGCCGAAGTTGACACGATTGCAATCCAATGAGAGCGACGAGGAACTGTTCTATGCTCTGGGCTGCAGACCTCCTGAGCATTTACGATCCCCACCCAACTACTCTGCTCGACCTGCACCTCCTGCACTTTCGGCATGTGAGACGGCAGCAAACGGTACGCTCCATGAGCGAGCGGACACCTCCCTCGGGGCGCTCATTGATGGGGACGAGAGCGACGAGGACAATGACGGAGACGTGTCGCCTGCACAGATGAGACTCGCGCAAGTATTGCCCTCCCCCGCACCTTCGACGGCGCCTGGATCTCACGACGTCGACGATCAATCCTGGGCCAGCAGATCGAGAAAGGCCAGCAACACGAGCTCGGCGGGACCAGGAATTTCTGCATACGACTTTGCACACGGACCTGACAGTTTCGATGGACACGCTCGGTCTGCCTCTGCATTCTTGCGCAATGTCGGCGGCCGCTTCCACGTGCGCGACCATGCACACGACAATCGAGATCGTGGCTCATCGCCCCATCACCATCACCGACACGCTCACCGCATGCCGACTGCAGCATCGGCCCCGATTGGGGTGTTGGGTCCTATGCTCGAAAGACACGAGACGGATGTGACGCTGCAGGATGCGGGAGGACTGTTAATGTCCAGTCCGTTCAGCGCGAATCCACCAGAATTGCACGCGCCGGCATGGTCCAGCCCTGCCCGACGAGTTCGAGTTGATGCGGAAGACATTGAGCTGGAAGACATTGGCGGACTCCTATCCGACGACCGAGAAGCCAGTGCTGCGGCGTTGCGTCGAGTGATGGAACGTCGAGAATCTCGACAGGACGGAGGGAGTGCTGCCGGCCCATCTCAGCAGCAGCAGCAGCCGGGCGGATTTGATGACATGGTATTGCACGATCTAGGAGGGCTGATCGGCGGCGGCAGGTGAAGATGAGGTTTTTGTTGGGCGGATTGGTTGGTTGGTTGGTTGGCATTGTTGACTTGTTGTGGTTTGAGATACCCCCGCGCGTTACCTTTTTGTAAAGAAGACTTCATTATGATGATGATGATCATTATTATTATTACTATTACTATTACTATTGTCCATATATTACAATCCCTTCTTGGTCTCTCTTTTTGCATAACCTATGCATAGGTAGGTAAGGTAAGATTGGGTACATTACCTACCTCCTCCTAAGGTCACAAAAGGGTCTTCTTCCTCTGCCTCAGGCCAAAAACAACACAGTCTCCGACTGATAGCTTGATACCTGCAGGATCTACAGTACTTTAGTGAGTTCTAGTAGCTACCTACATAAGCTAGCCTACCTTACTGCTCTAATCTTATCTTTTCTTTTCTTTTTTTGCAAATGCGATCGAGTAAGAAACGATTTCCCCGTATTCCCTGCCCTATATAGTACAAGCATGTAAGCAAGTAAGCAAGTACATGTAGGTCTAGGTAGGTAAGCAAGTAAGCCAAGGGGATATATAGGGCAAAGCATACGCTCGAGAGAGAGAGAGAGACAGACCGAGGTATTTTCAGCTGTAGTAGTAGTAGTAGTAGTAGTGATAGTGGTAGTACTTGTGTACTATGTAGTTTAGTTACCGTACCTAGGTAGATACTAGGTAGATAGATACCTCAAGGCATGTAGTCTGAGTCCGGATTTCGGAGGTTTGCATCCCGTCTTTTTCCTCTTACCGACTTGCTACTAGACTACTACGAGGCAAGGTGTGGTACTAGTCACTGAGGTGTGGATTGGACTTTTGGATTTTCAAAAAATGATACAATATAGAGAGGATGGACTTTCGCATCTCGCCGACGACATGAGGTTGCCGTGTGTGCCTTCCATGACTTTTGGCTGCCCCTCGTGACTTGCCTGACTCGACCGACCGCCCCGACCGACGATGCCGCTGTCTGGCTCTGGCTCTGGATCTGGTTCTGGCTCTGGTTCTGGTGTTGCTGCTGCTGCCGGTAATCATAATATCAAGAAGAGGCCACTCACCCCGGACGACGCTGTCTCCACCACCTCCTCCTCCGCCGCTGCCAATACCACCGCTGCCACCTCCACCTCCACCTCCTCCACCAACACCAATACCACCACCGCCACCGCCACCGGCGCGTCGACGACTAATTTTCGAAATGTCTCGGCGTGCAATCGGTGTCGGAATCGCAAGGTAAGTCCCGATCCCCGCCCCCCCGACCTACGGTATACATGTATCTATGCATCATCATCCATTAACGGTGCATGAACAACTGTGGCACATGCTTGTTTCTCTGCGGCTGATGATGTATGGATGGCTGCGTGTAGAATCGATGCGATCAAAAACTGCCCAAGTGCACCAACTGCGAAAAAGTCAACGTGAGATGCGTCGGCTTCGATCCCGTCAGCAAGCGTGAGATTCCTCGAAGCTATGTCTATTATCTCGAAACCAGAGTCCACAATCTCGAGGCTCTCCTCAATACCCATGCCATTCCCTACCCGCCCCCAAGCCAGGACTTCGCCATTAGCGATACCATCAAACCGGGCATCAATGTTCCCTTTCCCGTGCAAGAAGACGCCACTCCACACGTGTCTTCTGAGCCCGCCCAAGTCCAGCCCGCCCAGTCGACTCTCGATCCCGCGCTGAGGGATCAGGAAGAGGGCGAACGGCTGGAGAAGCTGGTCAACGATGTCGGCATGGTCTCCGTGCAGGGCGCGGGTGATGCACGCCTGCTGGGCTCTGCCACCTCGGGCATCTCTTTTGCCCGTGTGGTCTTCGCTGCTGTGAAGAGGTCGGTGAACCAAACGCCCACGCCTGCCGAGCACGCAGGCGCGAAACCGGCCACTAAGCTGTCTGCTTCCGAGACTGCGGGCGGCGCGACCACGATGCGAGATTCATTCTTTGGCCTCCATACTAAGCCAACCATCAAGCCAGCTCCCTTTCCAGACAGGGAACTGGGTCTCCGCCTGACTGAACTCTACTTTGAGCACGCGAACCCACAGATACCCGTGCTCCATCGAGGAGAGTTCATGATTCTCTTCGATCGCGTCTATGCCGCAGATGCGAAGAAGAGAACTCCTCGAGAGCTGTACATATTGAACATCGTCTTTGCCATTGGATCCGGTATCATCGTGGACACATCGATCCATGAACCGCCCGTGGCCGCCACCGACTCGACCACGGACTCCGGACCACCGAATAAGAAGAGACAGAGGGTCGCAAATCACCAACACCAGCCCGAGGAATATCACAGCTCTGCCATTATCCATCTCGAAAGTTTCCTGGGCTCTGCCTCTGCGGGTGAGGGAGTGGGCGGTGGTCTCGAGGAGCTACAGGCCGTCTTACTGCTGGCAGGGCTGGCTCTGCTGCGGCCTGTGGCACCAGGACTGTGGTACATCATCGGCGTGGCGGTACGTCTGAGTATTGATTTGGGCCTGCACATCGAAGACATTGATCATGATCTCGACAACAGAGCGACGCATCCGGATGTCGATCTTTCCAACGATGGCTTAGGTCGCAAGCAGTGGACTCGAGACCTGCGTCGGAGACTCTGGTGGTGCGTCTTCAACCTCGACAGGCTGGTGTCGTCATGTGTGGGACGACCAGTGTCTGTCAGTGAGGCAGTCGTCACGACGGAATTCCCAAGTATGCTGGACGACAAATACATCACACCGGCGGGCTTTTTCAAGCCCCCCAACTATGTGGAGCGCCCGAGCTACAAACTCGTCACGCGCCATTATATTCGGCTGAGACTGCTGCAATCCGAGATCCTCCAAGTGTTGCAGCAGCGCCAAGCAGACCAAGCGCGCAGACTGGGTGCGAACAGTGGCAACGATTTTATCTTGACGGGACTCGAGTCGCCCTTCCTCCGGCCTTTCCACTCCTTCCGAGATTGGCGTGCCAATGTCGACCGGAGACTGCTCGACTGGAAAGAGACATCACCCCCGCAGTACGACACTGGCGTCGGCTTCAATCCGTTGTTTCTGGACTTGAATTATTGGCAAACGGTCATCATGCTGTACAGACAGTCTTTGTCGGTGCCCGAGCAGCTTGCAAACGAGCTGAGTCCTGCGACGGGAGACGATGTACAGAGCCCCGGCAACGTGAACTTCGAGCACGAAGAAGACAAGCAGATGGTCTTTCTCAAGGTTGCGGAGGCAGGACAGATGGTATTGCGGATATACCGACAACTTCACCGGCTGAAGCTGGTCAACTATACCTTCTTGGCAACCCATCATTTGTTCATCAGTGGTAAGTGGGGCGGCTGCAGCAGCAACAGTGAGGCTGTGAGAGGGAGAGAGGGAGAGGCTGCTTGTGCTGACACCGTCAGGGATATCATTCCTCTACGCCATTTGGCACTCCACACTAGTGCGATCACAAATGACGATCGACGACGTGGATTTTACCGTCTTGGCCGCCACTTCTGTCCTAGGCGACCTCATACCCATGTGCCCTCCGGCAGAGGCATGTCGAGATTCATTTGTGCGCATGAGCAAGGCCACGATATCCATGGTGATGAGCACCACAGGATTTGGAAATCGCTCCACTCTGGGCACACAGGGGCTCAACAGTTCGGAAGGATACTTGGGAGGAGGGTTCCTCGAAGCGAACCGAGTCAAGCAGGAAGCACAACAGACCTTGTCCAATCCCACCAGTCGGCGGCAACTGCCCAAATTCGACATGAATCTCAGAGAGCTGTTCTCTGAAGAAGAAATCGCGAGCCGCCCACTCCATCACCAGGCTAAACTACAGGGATTCTTACGACACATCCCCCCGCAGCAGCCTGCGATTTCTCCACAGCCCCCCACCACTACCAGTCCACGAAACAGTGATACTGCATCGCAATCTTCACAGATGCAGGCGCGCCCACCAGGGGGTTCACCTGGCGGTGGCGGCGCACCATTCCCACAACCGCCTCCTGGCCCACCCACTACTGCCTATCGACCCTTTACCGCGGACACGCTCTCGGGTGCCAGCTCGACGGAACAGGACTACTCGCTTGACCATCTGGATTTCCTCGGCGACTTCCCCAGCACAGATGCCAGCAGTTCCCACAATCATTTCTGGGGTCATGCAAGCGATGGCGCCGATCTCGGATTTGGGAACGGTGGTGGATTTGACGCCAGTGGAGCATGGGAGGCATCGGGAGAAGTGTTTGATACCTTTTTCTTTGGAAATGTATGATTCATCCAAGGCTATTTTATTCTTACCCAAGCCTCTCTCTCTCTCTCTGTGTGTGTGACGACCGAGTTCTGTCTGCTTGATCTCTCTGTTATATATATATAGCTAAGGGTAGGGTGAGGCGGGATAGCATATACATTAGGTACTTACCTACATAGGTATCCGCCTACCAGACCCAGGTTCAGGTTCAGGTTCAGGTTCAGTACTGTAGTAGTACCCAGGTAGTACCAAACTTAGGTACATGTACAGTAGGTAGGTATATACATGTACCTACCTAACTAGGTAGTTTCTATTCCTGTCCCCTCTTCTGCAATATATACCATTTACCGCCCTAAGCGATGGGAAAAAAAAAAGAATTATACGAGAAATTCGAAACTAATAAGGTACCTAACCTACCAAGCTAATATGTACCTGTAGTCTCCTAGTTTGGTATTTGCATGTACCTACCTACAGGCTACCTCCATGTGTACCGTACTTACTTGCCTAAGGTATTGTACCTACATATATCTACCCAAGTCTGGTAACTACATGTACATGTGGGTCTGTCTAGCTTCGTATACAAGCGAGGTATGTATGTATGTAGGTATGTTCCTGGTATGTATATCGAATAAGGAATGGGAAATGACTATCTGCATGTTACATGTTACATGTACATGTACCTTACCTATATCGATATAGACCTGAACAGTTGGAGGAGGAGGAGGAGGAAGAGAGAATAAAACGCCGATTTGTTTTGTTCAATCGATGGATTGATAAAGGGAAGGAAGGGAGGGAGGAAGGAAAGAGGAAAAGGAAGGAAAGAGGAAAAGGAAGGAAAGGAAGGAAGAGAAGGAAGGGAGGAAAGAAAGGAGAGCATGGAAAGGAAAGTACCTAGGAAGGAAAGAAAGAAAGAAAGAAAAGACGAAAGGAACGAGTAGAATACATCTGTGTGGGTGGGTATTGCATGATTAAATTATGCTCATGAGCATTTCACTCGGAATTTTGAAAATGCCACCTCCCTGTTCCTCCTCCTTCTTAACCACTTTCCTGTGCTTCCTCCCTCCTCCTCCTCCAATGCTGTTTTCGTGCCGTATCATGCCAGAGAAAAAGAAAGAGCCCGCTCTCTGGAGCTATTTACTTACAAAGGGTATCATAGAGCGCCTGGTCCCATGCCGAGAGTGAAAGGTTCACCAAAAAGCCCAATACCGAAATACAATCCTCCGAAAAAGAAAGAAAAAGAGTTCCAATTCTCCATCCAAAAGTAACACCCATTTCCAATCCAACCCTTTTTCCAAGTCGGTGGCACCCATGCCCCTGTGTTGATGCTCAATGTAGGTAATATCAAGTCGCTCAAAAATCCTCCAAAAGAGTCGTTTATTAACAAAAATAGTAGATTTGCGTCAAGCATGTGAGTGAGTGAGTGAGTGTGTGTGTGTGTGTGTGTGTGTGTGAGAGAGTGTGTGTGCGAGCGCGAATCAATCGAGCTGGCGCGCCTATGTGCTGCTGTGGGAGCGGCCGTGAAGATTTCGTCGAACATCGAGGGAGAATCGATCCAGGAGGGGCGAATTGGGTGCACCAAACAGGTCCTCGTCCTCGGCAACAGCCATACCGGATCCGTATTCCGCGGACCCAGCAATGTCTGACGCGGTGGGCGGCGGTGCGAGGACCACCTTCTCCGACTCAAAGGTACGTCGTCTCTCCTCAACCATGAACAGGCTGATGGTGACACCCATGGTGGCGACAAGAACGTTGACCCACCAGGGCAGAACGAGTGTGCCTATCGAGAGCCCAGCCGACTGGAGAAGACCAGACACGGTGGGACCAAAGGCTCGACACGCGCTAGCAGCTGATGCAGCGGCACCGTTCAATGATCCAAGGACTTTTGCAGATGGCGCTGCGTTGGCCAGCATGATGCTGCTGGATGGGAAAGCGAATGCCTGTGCGGTCACTTTCCAGACCAGGGCCATGTATATGCATGGTAGCTTGAGCGAGTCGGGAACCAGCGAAATGTACGGCACCAGCAGGTAGAGAAAAGGATAGGTGAAAACCACACTGCGGTAGGTCCAGAGGCTGCCCAGTTTGCGATTGACAATGGGAAAGACCAGGATCGTGGCAAGCATCTGTATGATGCCTTGTATGGACAAAATCCCTCCGATTGTCTTGGTGGAGAGCTCGAAACCTCCCGTGAACTTGAATGGCAGTTGAGGCGGGGTATCGGATTTGGGCATACTGAGCAGGACCGGAAGGAGTTGCTCTGCGGAAATGGTGTGACTGTGACTGGCATTAGCTGCAATCATCCTGCAAATATACGTGTGCACTCGGACATACTATGCCAGAATGCCATATCCGGCAATATTCAACATTACTTGTTTCGTGAACGCGTTGGAAATGGCGAATTTCGTCTTTTGCTGTTCCTCGCGAAGGGCCTCTTCGACATCTCGTTGCGCATTCAGTTCGTCGTCGTCGTTGAGAGAAGTGCGAGGCGATCCATCGATAGAGCGATATGCTGGGGGCGGAAGCCCTGCCAGGTTGGTCGGGGCGAGTTCGGGAGACGAGGCGGCGCTGCTGTAATCCGGGGGCAGGTCATCGACCAACACCATCGTCTCTTCGGACATGTCGTTCTTGCAGGTCGAGAGCCATGCAACTGGCTTGCGCTGCACCTTTGCAATGATCCAGTTGCCGATCTCGATCCCACAATCTCTGCGATGCTTGTGATCTTCATGCGTCTCTTGCAGAAACAACACTCCAACCACCATGCTGAACACCACGACTCCAGTACACACCAGATTCGTGAGGAGATACGGGAACGCGGCGAAGATGGAACCTTCATGGAAGGCACCAGGATAATTCTTCACCGGATCGGCCAAGGAACCTCCTAGGGCAGCTCCTACCATGGCACCCAGACACCACACAGTGGGCATGATGGCATATGCACGGGCTTGGTGGGCTTCCACTTTCACAACCTCGTTGACCGTCGTCTGCAACACCCCAATGTTTCCATTCAGAGCGCCGCCCACAGCGCGAGCGAACAATGCGAGTGGGAGATTGCGCGCAAAGCCGAACATCAGCATGCTGATACCGGTGCCAGCCAGTCCAGTCAGCAGGATGGGCTTGCGTCCGAGCCGATCACTCAGACTCCCCCAGAAACCGGCGCCCACGCATTCTGCAGCGGCGAAGACGGATGTAACGAGACCAGCGTAGAGAGCGGTTCGAGTGTGATCGTCGGTAACGTCGAACGATTCGATCATGTAATAGATGTATGGGAAGATGGACATGAAGGCAATGGGCTCGCATATCCGACATATTCCTAGTACACAATGTCAGCGACGGGGGGTCGATGATCGATCATGGACGTTATGAAGAGGGAGCGAAGCATGCATACATACCCAATACTGCGAGCTGCTTGTAGGGGAACGCCTTGGAGACCGGAGAGGTAGTGCTGTAGCCGGGAGAGGAAGACATGGCGAAGAAGGGTGCACTGCAAGTGCCTTAGGCGTAGATGGCGGTTGTGCCAAGCGGATGCCAGGCGCAGGAGTAGAATGCTCAGGTGGACAAGCAGGCAGGTAGGTTAAGCCAGGCAGGTAGGTAAGGTAGGTACAGTAGCTAGGTCGGTACCTTAGGTAGCTAGGTAGGGTAGGTGGGTAGGTGGGTGAGTGGGCAGGCAGGCAGGCGGGTAGACGAAGGCGCAGGGCGGTATATGTCTAATAGGTGTCTGGTGGCGGAAGCGGTCAAGGACACTCGGTGAATGATGATGAGTGATGTGATCCCCGGGAAGCTCGCATCAAATAGAGTGGGCTCGTAACGCAGGAACGGCACAGCTTGTCGCACCGAAGAAAGAAGACTTGGTTTGCCTGCAGGCGAGCAAGCGTGCGTGGGTGTGTGGGTGCGTGTGTGTGTGCGTGCGTGTGAACGAGGACCCGGACAGGAAAGAAGCAGACAGAACAGGACAAGACGAGACGAGACGAATCGAAACGAAACGAAGCGGAACGAGACAGGATAGGATAGGACAGGTCGGACAGGATGGGATAGGATAGGAGGGAATGGGATGGGGTGAAATGGGATGAAATGGGATGGAATGGGAATGGGAATAGGATATTCGATAGGGATAGGGATAGGGATAGGGATAGGATAGGACGAAGAGAATGATGGAAGGTCTCACTTGCTTGGGGGCAATCGATAAGGCCAGGCCGATGCTGCTGTTCCATTATTTTTCAGCGCGTACCTTAATTCGTGCGGCACGAGAGGACAAACAGAGTCACAGTCGTTCATCTTGCGAGATCCAAGGCGCACGGAGGGACCAGGGCAGCCCCTGAAGCCGCCAGAGCTTGCGGATGCACCTGCTTGGGAGCCGGTTTGGGCCCCGGGATCGACGGCGCGTGGGTGCCATGGCCACACAAGACCATCGTCAGACTGGGACATCATATACAGTGTCAAATGGCACCGAGCGTCGAGCGACACGCGCAGCGTAGCGCAGCGAAAGTTACGTGGAGAGGGAAGAGCTAAAACAGCTGTGCTGTGCCGCGATCATGCAGTGTACAAGGCTCAGCCCCTAGCGGATCGCTCAGCGGCACGGCGCCTGCTGGCACCAGTTCCGGCACCGGGGCTCTGGGAATCTTAGCCATCGCCTGTCATTCGCTGCGAGCCTCGCGGGGAAGACGGATGAGGCGAAACCTGCCTCAGTAGTGCGTCCGGCAGTCAGCCTGCCGGCAGCAGCAGCCACGGTGGACGGAGCGGCGGCGTGCAGAAGGTGTATGCTGAGCTAACCACCCATGATTCGTCCCGTCGTTCTAGGTAACTGTACGTACCTCCTACAGTACTCGCGTTCCCATCCATTATAGGTACCTGGACAATGTATATTCTGGATTTCTGATGATGATGCTGAATATGATGCGGTGCCTGCTGTGCCGCTGCAACGTCTGCCCAAATAACGATGTCTAGGCCCTTCAGCCTTATGCGGCACGGTCTGCGTCGCGCTTGCTTGGTGCATGTCAGCACCTCAGAATCGCATATACAGGTACGTTTGTCTCGTCGTCTCATCACCGCCATGACGCGTTGCCTGCCATCACCAGTGATAGTGTAGGTACATACATGTACGGGCGCGTGTGTGAATGCTGGCACCAGCTGCTACATCCACACGCAAGCCGTGTGACAGCGGAGTGTGCGACCGAACGAGTCAAAACATTGGCACAACACTGCGACAGTAACCGTCAGCTCAAAGAGAAAAGCATAAATGGCGGTGTAAAAAATCTCGTCGAATCCCCTGAGAGAGAGCAGAAACAAGTGCATGGGGGTGATGGCCCTGGATAGGTCACCGACAAGAAGGTCTGCAGCTGTATCGAGCAGAACAGCCGGCTAGTCTGTACCAGTCTACCAGACCGGCTTCGTGGTAACACCTCCCGAGGCCCTAGCGCCATACCCTCCAGCAATGCGATATGATCACCCCTCCCCGTCGCCCTCTTCCTCCTCCGCCGCCGCCGCCTCCGTGGCCTCGTCGCACTGTCGCACAATCGAGCCGCAGGAGGCTGCTCCAAGAGTCGTGTCACTCGTGTGAGCGGTTGGCTTGCCATGGCGGGCATGACATGGTTCTTTGCGGCCCTGCTACCGCGCTATCGGCACCCAAGCTACCTTGACTCGGCTCCTGGAAAATCGGTCACAGTTTGGCTGTCTGAGAGAGAGGGGTCGGCAGGACCACGCGAAAGTGAGCCGACGAGCCTAATACTAGCGCCTGCCCCCGACAGCGGGCAGGCTTGCTTGCAAATCAGGTACAGGCATCGTGATTGGAGCATAGCCGCGAGCGCGTTTCGAGAGCTTCTCCTGATGAATCGCTGGTGCGGGACTGGACAAGACAGGATATCTTTTTGGGCCGCTGCATGTTTCTCACTAATGTATGGATGTGGTAGGTTCGGTTCCTGGAGAGATACCAAACGTCATGGTATCGTCGCACGCTGCATAGCAATTGGCTTCCCGATTACCGTTGTGCAGCCTGTGCAATCACATCTCGAGCGCTTGTGCTGTTATCCGAGAGGACCACTCTGGTGTCACGAATCTGGCAGGGATGACTCTGCAACGGCGATGTGCACGACAGCAGATGGGGTCGTTCATGGGAAATTATGCACGATGCAGACAGCCAGGGCTGCGGAAATCAAAAATGCAACTGATGTCACACACCAAGGCGCAGAATTAATTGCTTTGGCGAGGATATAAATCCACACCTCCATCACGCGATCGGTCAGTTTTCAGCTGAGCTTCCTCTTCCCATGGCCCGATGCAGTACTGATGATGATGGATGACGGTCATCAGTCCGTTGGACAACATGTTCGGAGTCACGGACCGACATAGCTGCTGCTGCTGTTCCTTCTGCTACCAATGGCAATATCACTACCACTACGAAATGTGACGGTGCCAACGCATATTCCAGCCGGCCGCCGGCACCCGCATACCTGAGATGGGGTTGCCATTTCGTCGTCGGACAGAGCGCCGGCCGCGGACCTAGCCCCTTGGACAAGGTCCGATGAAATGCCGCCAGATTCACTACCTCCCTCTCTTGTTGTTGGAACAGGTACAGGCCATCCAAACACACCTCGCTTCACACTTTTTACGTCAGCTGGACACTTTTCGTACCAGGAAGAGCAACTCTCTTTCGCGAGACGACCACTAGCGTTCTGGTTGTTGTCCTGGGGGGAGCTCTGCAGAGCTGCCAGAGCACAACAACAATAATAATAATAGGATGTACGAGTGTGTGACAGCAGCTGTGCTTGGTCATCATCACATTTTCGGTGACTTTTTTTGCCACTATCACTAGCAGCGCGTGTGCACTGTGGGGGGTCGCAGACCAGAGATTGCAACTCATCAAAATTACTGGTCACAACTTCACACACACGCGCGACACATGATCAATTCATCACCTTTCTTCCGCTGCCCAGGTCTTGTTAGCAAGGTGAGGCGGTGTGAGGTGGCTGCAAAGGACAGGCAGCACATCGGCCACACATGTAGGCGCGCTGACATGGCCAAATCTGTAATTACTATTCGTGAATCGCGCGCCGCTGTTCATTTTCGCAAAATTGGTCGCAGGGGGTGGCAGCAGCAAGGCGGGCCCGGAATACGAGCCTGGAGCACAACTGCCTTCACGAATATTCTAATATAACATTATCCACCAGCTGCCGCCTGCAGGCCAGGCTGCCCTCGGGGCCACGATAGATTGTTCAGCCAGCTAGCGCGCGCACATTCTTCAGATCGTGGCTGTTGGTGGACACATCGTTCTGGATCTGTCGCAAGGGCATTATTAGGGCACCTCCAATGCTGCAGTCCCAGTGCGGTGTTGCGGCTAAACCTGGTATAGGATTTTGGTGGGGTAGGCGGAAATTCGCGTGTGTGTATCCTCCTCCTCATTCGGCCATACCACACTACCTCCCAAGGTACTTGATGACCAACAGCATCACCACCATGTCTCTCACGTCGCCCGCCTTGACGCGACAGAAGCTCTGCGTCGATTTGTACGCATATCGCGATCCTGCCTCGGTGCACATTCCACAGCTGATGGTGGCAACAGCGGCAGTCTGAAGCACGCCTGCCCGAAAGGCATCTACGTGGCACCAGTCCCCGAGGAGCCGCTTCTATGGACGGGTGTGCTCTTCGTGCGCAAAGGTGAGAAAGAAGGCAATTGAATGAAGGCCCTTATGCAAGCCTGCATCCTCATGCCCGGCCTACAGGTCCCTACGCCAACGCCGTGCTACGATTCCAGATGGTGTTTCCGGACGACTATCCGCAGCGGCCGCCCGTGGTCGTGTTCCTGAGCGACCTTTTTCATCCGCTCGTGACACCGCTCACCGCTTACACGTACTCTACCAGGGATGCCGGTGCTGATACACAGAGCGCTATAGATGAGCAGCGCTTGCCACCGGGCGGGCTCAGTCTCCGCCACGGCTTTCCTGAGTGGTTTGATAAGACTGATGGTGAACCGGCGAACAGTGTGACTGCATCAGACGGCGGCGACTCTGCAACTACGCAGCATGCGCCTAGTGCTACCACGCAAGGCACATCGAGCACATGCGACCATGAGCGGTGGCCACATGTCGTTGAGTTGTGCCAATACATGCGCATCGTGTTCGACACAGAGGATGTGCTGGACACGATCCCATTGACTGCCGCTGCTAACGCCGGCGCGTGGCATGCCTGGAAAAGTTTTCGTGATAAAGGCGCAGGCAGAGCTGCCCCAGTGCCAGGCGACGTCCGTCAATCTGGCCAGGAGCGAAGTCTATCCCCACGCCAACAGCCTGGTGGTGCCCGCCGACCCGGCGAATGGAACTGGCAAGGTGTATGGGAGGATAGAGTAAAGAGAAGTGTGCAAAGTACCTTGTCTGAGCCAGTACTTTTTGGCGGTGACAGCAAAGATGTGGTATGAGATATCGTCGCCAGCTTTTTGAGCAGTCGACTGACCATCATACAGATCAGCTTCCAGAAGCTCGAAGTAGTTGCGATCAACGAGCTCTTCCAGCAACTCCAGACGTAATGGGTGTCCCTGCAGTGGGAGTAGGAACCGTGGTGTAATAGTTGTTGTTGAAGGTAGGAGGCGAACATATCGCCGCAGCAGCTGCTCGATATGCGTCACGCCTGCTATGAGATTGCACCATGCTGGTACCGTACTTTCATACACGAGTTGCGCATGCACACAGACATGTAATTCATCTACCACAGGCTCCAAGCACAACGATCTGGTGAGCATGGCGACCAAGGAGGTGAGATTCCTGCTGGCATGCGCCAGGCTCTCAAGCTGACATTAGTCAAGAATCTGCCGCCCAGGACTGAAGGATACCTTCCTCGTGATGATGACAAATCAACACCTCCTGGCAACGTTCCCGCAACTCTGGGAATCAGGCATTGGCAGCGAGCTGGATATACGTCGCCCCCATTTGGATTGCTATCACCTAACAGCAAGCCATCGCTAGCCCGGCAACGAGACCACTCAGCATGTCGAAGAACAGACTCGCCACTCAAAGTGCGCAAAACTCGCGAGAACCTCAAGCAATCCAGCATCTATGGAGATGTACCTCCACCGTGCATGCATGTTCCGATGCTTGATCCTGGCGATACTGTTCTACCACCGACCCTCAGCTTCACGAGTGCAACCACAATCGACAGCAAGTGTGATTGTACCGTTGGCAGCAGCCATGATACGGGAACCGAATTGACTGGATCGACTCTGCATCCGGCCAGTCCGCATAAGGCAGACCAGTTGCCGCTTCCTCTTTCACCGCCACCACAGATCCTCGGCATGCCACTCCGACACAAATCCGTCAGCCGACGGATGCTATCTCGAGTCAAGGAAGGCATTTCTCATCGCTCCCGGAGCTCCCACGCAACCAAGTCGCCCGATGCCGAGAGCCTCATCAAAAGACGGCTTTCTGGTAAACAGAAAATTATCGATGATGAGCAAAGGCGCATGCGGAGCTTCGAAATCAGTAGACACAGTAGCATTGGCAGTGAGGCCGATGCTGCAGGCGATGCTTCTGGTTCTCAACGTTCTTTCACTGACTCCAGTATCACTACCGACGACCTAATGGCTACTGGCGTTACGCTGACTCCGCCATCGGCCATCAGGAAAGGCTCTGGACAAAGGTCCATGCATTTGCTGTCACCAACTCCGGGCAAGCAGTCTCCGTATGGTGGACCAACTCCAAAGGCGAGTGCGAGGGAATCGTTGGTATTCCAACCTCGAAACCAGCCCATGCTACAGGCTTGCCTACCATATATCGATATGAAAGTCTCTCTGGAAAGAGAGGCTGTCGACGTTGGAGTCTCCAAGGATATTTGGATCGCCGTGGAAGCTGTTGTACGCAGCCGCATAGTCCAAGCTTCTGCCAGAAATGAGTCCCCTACCGTGCTGAATCGGCACTCGATCGATGCCGTCGTCGTCGTGTGCCGAGACACACTGGCGAAAGCTGCTGGCCTGGTTCAGCAGTGTGTTGTTGAGCTTTGCTGTCGTCTCGATGTTGCTGATGATCGTCTTGCACTTTTGGTTACAACGTCACGACAGATCGACACCTCTACGATCAGCTGCATATGCACCGAGATTCACTCCCTCCAAGCGCCCAAGACTTCAGCCCTTCTAGAGAGACTGGGTCTGGCAGCCTCTAAATCGCGAAACAGTCTGCCTGATGTGGATGAGGAATACCCTATACAACTAGCATTGAAGTCTATCGCCACACAGGCCAACAGCCAGGAACCTGTACATGCATTCGTACTGTCGGACAGGCCAGCACACGTGGCGCAGGCTATCGAGCAGTCGATGAATTGGCCAGCTCATCTGATGAAAATCGGGCTGTGTGCACCCGAGCGTTTGGTGCCGCCTGACCGCAGTCATCACAGTTGGCTACTGGAAATCAGAGGTGAAGGAGACATCTGTACAACTACTCTCGACAACTTATTCAGAGATATTCGGCACGGGTATTGCGTAGGTGGCATCCCAAGTTTGCGCCTTTGCTACAAAGCCATGGACCGGTCCCGAATTGTAGAAGTCGTTGGAGAGAAGGCCACGAAGGATTTGAGGCTGGGCCAACGCTGTTCACTTTTCGTAAAAGTGTGCATTCCCAAGATTGATGCAGTCGTAACTACGAAAACGGAAAGCGATCAGGACTCATTACTTGCCGAACTAGAAAGCATTGTTGGCACCCTTGAAAGTAACTTTCTCCATGTAGAAGCACGCTACCGCCACACCGTACTCCCAACGGACAACGTCGTGACCGTCCGCCATATCTGCAGCATACGGCGGCCAAAGACAGACTCTCGCTGGAGCCTCATCACATCGGCTGTGGCGGGGCTGTCCTCTGAACACGTGAATATTCAGCTTGCGCGCTTTTTGGCCCTTCACTACGCGCCCTCCAAAGCTTTGCAAGCCATCATCCGTTGGAATCTGGATGGTCCGCATGCTGTGCAGCAGCTGTGCACAGCACTGCGGGCACAAGTTGCCTCGACTACTCGCTCAGAAGCAGAACCCGGATGTGCAGCTCCAAGCCCTGCTGTCATCGTCACCGACACCACACAGCTTGCTACAAGCGCATCACCTATACCACATCATGTTACAAGGACCACTTCAGCTGCAACACTCTCTCCAGTGCAAGTGCAACGTGGTAATGAGTTGCCTCACTCTGCGTCCACTTCAGCGATGATTGCCACGCGCATCATTTCAGCTCCGAAGGGCACGACTGCTATCAGCACATATGGCCCAAGAACGGACGATAGTCGCGAGGGTACACCGAGTGATTCCCAAGACACTGCGCATCAGCTGTGGCAGCACTTGCGCCGCGACTCGTTGTCTACAAAGCAGATTTTGGCACTCTCGACCGAGAAGATGGAGGAGATCGAGGACGAAGAGCTCAAAACTCTTCATGACCAGGCTTTGGCTAACAAACGCAGCGTTGGAGCTGAGACACTGAATGCGTGGAAGTGGGAGGAGGACAATATTCAGTCTCGGGCAGCACCATGGCTGTGACGAGACGCGCACCCTTGATTTCTGCAGACCATTTCGCAGTTTTGGGTAGGCGGACTCTCGCTCGGCTGATGACACGCACAACAACATATCATCCTCGAGCATCACGCGTGTGCAGGTAGTAGGGCATTATGGTAGCATGTCAATGATATAGTACGAATACATGCAAATGTTACATATGGAATCAAACAGGGACTTCCTTTGATGAATACTCCCCTTCACCCACCCACCTAGGGCACTCACGCATTCAGATACATGCTACATCACACGGAAACAGTAAAGAGTAAAAGTAGGTAGTGCGAGATATCCAAGAGCCCGGTTGGGTAGATATCTGATGTAGAGGTAGATGTAGATATGGTATTATGGTATCATGATATATGACATGGGTACATGTGGGACCAAATACCTACTAAAGTCGTCGTGTTACATGTGTAGGTATGTAACGTCAGTAATGTCATATGTACATACTAAGATCTCTGTACGAGGATGAATAATGAATGGATGGATACCTGGTACATAAGGTAAGGTAGGTATACAAACACAAATGTCACGGTATGGTTACACGCGTGCATGTATTTTCTTTTTCCGTATAGTACTGCTTTCTTGCAGGAAGGAGGAACATGATCAAATTAGGCAGGGTTTCTTGAGTGTTGGGAGCGGGAGTAACGGTCGATGATGTGCTTGCTGGTTACCTTACTGGTGCTCGGGGAGGAGAGAGGTAGGTAGGTAGTTGTTACATGTGATATCGTTGCGTTTTACAGTTTTCTGTACTTGAGAGGTACATGTACATGTATATACCTAGGGTAGGACACACAAGTGGCCGGTCATACGGGCAGAGCTGGTTGTTCTGTATCACTCACACTCCGTCACCTTTCGACAGCCGCTCATCTCGGTTGGAAGGAGCACGACAGGAGACAGGTGATGTTGGCGGTGTCACTCGCTGGGTTCCCGTCATTTGGGACCGATAGTGCTGATGCCCCCAACCTGACTCGACTGAACAGCACAGCACAGCACAGCTTGGAAGCAGTAAAGCTGAGGGCAGCGAGGATTTGCTCTAACATTCCTACACTCTCATGCCCCTCCATTATTTCGCTCGATGCATTTCATGCCGCCAGGCATATACGCTCGAAGTACTTCGGGCACAACTACCGCTCCTTTCTCTTCATCCCAATGATTCTCCAGTATGCAAGCTAGAACTCTCGGAATAGCCATTGCGGTCCCGTTGACTGTGTGCGGCCACAGCAGCCGTCCCGTTGCACCTTTCAATCGCGTCCCCAGTCGTCTGGTTTGGTAGTCAGTGCAGATGGATGCAGATGTAAGCTCTCCATAGCCATCATTGATCGACGATCTTGAAGGAAAGAAAGCTTCAATATCAACCTTCCTTGTAGCGCTCGCACCAAGATCTGTACTAGGCATCTCCAGCACTTTTCCATATAGGCCGAGTGATGTGAGGATTTCCGTTTGGATCTCGAGCATTTCTGCAAAGATTTCTTCGGCTTGAGGAGTCTCCACATCTCCGAAGCGATCTGCCTCATGGTCAGATGGCGGGAGAGTCCAAGCGAACATTTCGACTTTGGTGAATTCGTGCACACGGTACAATCCTTTCGTGTCTACACCTCGAGCGCCAGCCTCTGCGCGATAACAGCGAGAAGGACCTATAACTTTGAGAGGCATATCTTCTGCGCGCAATGTCCTGTTGGCCTGTGAGCCAGCGAAGGGGATCTCCGCGGTGCCCGCCAGGACGAGGGAAGGCCGATCGTCGTTCTTGTTCTGCACGTGCTGCTGCTCAATGTTGTAGATTTGTGTCTCGCCATGCTGGTCTCTCGGCATGAACCCACATGCGCTGGCGATGTGGGAGTAGACTAGGCTAGGTGGTGTCATGACCTTCCAGCCGCGCTTCATGGCGACTGAGAGAGCATATTGAATCAGAGCTTGCTCAAGCAGAGCGGCCTCATTCTGGAGAAAGTACCAGCCCCATCCGCTCGTTGTCGCGCTGGCTTCGAAGTCGAGGAGATCGAGCTCCTTACCGATGTCCACATGGCTCTTCCCACTCGTGTTGGTCGACAATCTCTCGCCGATCGTGGCTCTGAGTTGCGGCTCATCTCCCACCGGCGTGTCCAGCGAGCTCAGATTGGGCAACTCCCATGCCAGCCGTTGCATCTCTTCGTGCATGGCCTTCTCGTCTGCCTCAAAGCCGGAGAGCTTCGCCTTCAGCGCTTTCGCCTCTTCTAGCAATGCCGTCTTTCCCTCATCGTCGCCTCCATTCGCGGCATGTCGACTCAGTTCTTTGCCTATCACATTGCTTCTCCGCCGCGACTCATTTAGTTCGGATTGCTGTTTCGTCAACCTCTCGTGCAGTTCCAATGTACGCCAGCCATTCTTCGCAAATGGGCCATAGTTGCGATCGATGCAGTTTTGCTCGTACAATCCCGGGTTGTTGCGAATGTGCTTGACGTCGAGGATGGGTCTCGGTGCAAAAGATGGTCGCGTGTAATGTCGCTTGCCAGCAGCGTCGCGTATAGTCTGACGAAGCAGCCCGTGGCGACAGCGCCTGCAGACGAATGGTATAGACATTGGCCGCAATGGATGTGTGAGTCTGGAGGGAAATCCGCCTTACCGTCGGCTCCACTTGCCTTGGACGAGAATGACAAGAACGCGAACATGACACGAAAAAGTATGATCGAGACTTAGATACCGCTGAATGCTCTACTTGCTCCATACATGTATCCTCTACAGCGCCTTCCCATTGACGAGCCAGAACGCCTTCTCCATCATGACGAAAATCATCCTGGGTATCGTGTGCCGCATGCGATGAACAGCGGCGAGCGACCAAACATAACCCCTATCCTATGCAGTTCTCTCGGTCCCTCAATCTCGTGTCAGTCGTCGCCATTCCTCTCTCTCACCGTCTGCAGCCGTGTTATACATATTGACATTCATTTTCCTATCCTTCTGCGCAGGCACGGTATCACTATCTTCGCTTGAAATTCTGCTTAGGATGATCGCTGACTAAAGAACCAGCTGCTGCGCTTGTTGCCGCCATTGTCGGAAGCTGCCTGCTGCAGACCAGCGTACGTGGGTGCAAGACTGGGTCCGTCGCCTCCGCCACCGCCTCCGCGAAGAGGCTTGGCTATTCGGCCAAAAGGAGTGTTACTAAATTGGGAGGGTGCGGGCGAGTTGGGGAGACCTCGAGTGGAGCCAGACTTCGCAGCTTCGAGGCGTTCCTTGACAGCCATGAGTTGCGATTCAAACCTGCAAGAGTCAGTAACGTATTCCACATGTTCTTTTCAATAAAGGTAACGCACTTGTGGTTAGCGAGCATGAGCTTCTCCTGGCTCTCCTGAACAAGGCCCTCGAGACCTCTTATGCGCTCGCCACGAGCCACCAGCTTGCGCTCGGCAATGGCAACTTCCTTCTTGAGCTGCGTGTTCTGCTCGACCAGCTGTCTCTGCACGATTGTGAGTTGCTCCAAGTTTCGCTCAAGGAACGCGAGCTTCTTCTGTTGCGCCTTGGAATTACTGCTTCGTAGGATCGAGTTGTACTGCTCACGAGTACTATCCAAGCTGATCTCCAGCTCCACAACACGTTCACATCGATTCTGCAAGTCGCGCATGAGTGACTTTTTGATGGCATCAAAGTCCGCGAGTTGCTTGCCCAGAGTGCCTCCGTTAGCACCATTCACAGCTTGCTTCCTCAGCGCTTCCACTTCGTTGCGCAGACGCGCGTTCTCCTCTTTCTGACGGGAGAGCATCTCGTGTGTCTCAGCAGACTGAGTGCCCCCATTCTGTTGCTCGGACAATGACTCGGAGAACTTCTGCTTGAGCTCTTCGACATCCGCTGCCGATAAGTGGCGCTCAAGCAATTCTTGCTGCTCCTGGCGCAATTGAGATAGCTTCTGCTCTAGAAGAGCGACCTGCGAGTTGTCCGAATGACTGCTGGCGCTGATGTCTGCTTGTCGCACTTGTCCTTGAACCTCAAGTAATCGGTCCTTGAGGTTAGAGAGCTCATCTGGAGCCACAGCTTCGCCATTGTCGGCAATCTCCAGCAGACTTTGTACCTGCTGTACCATCTCTCCGATTTGCATCTCGTTGTGCGACATCAGTCCCTCTCCAAGATCGAATGTAGCCATCATCTGAGCCATGCGTTCCTTCTTGAGCCTTTCCTTCTCGTCCAGTAATGCCGATGATTCTTTTGCCGACATTCGTGCATCCAATAGCTCAGACTTGAGTCCGTCCAGTTCTGCGGTGAGCTCCGAGTTGGCGTCTCGCAGCGAATCCATTGTAATACTAGCCTCCTTCGTCTCGAAATCAATTCTTTCAATTTCTCTCTTCAAAGACTCGGTCTCGCCCGAGAGCTTCTCGTTATTACGCTGAAGGTCTAGTTGAGTGGACCGGCTCTCTTTAAGCTGCTCCTGCGCTGCGCGTGCGGCCTGTTGAGCAGCCTCAAGCTCCCGCTCTTTCTCTGCAAGCTGGTCTTGGAGGTCGTTCTCGCGTTTCAAGAACTCCTCCCGCTCATCTTTATCAAGCACCAGGCTTGGCGTTCCGACCCGCTCAATATCAAGTCGGCTTTCCGATCTGGGTGTGCCAACGCCATCCTGACTTTTCAGTCTGCTAGTAGGAGTCTGCGAGCGAGGAGGAACGTCTGCTGCAATTTGGAAGCCAGCGCTCAGCGCGGGTATCCAGCGCTCTTTTGGTACAGCTTCGCCTTTGCGCCATTGTCCAACTTCACTCTCCAACGATTGGATATATGCAGTGAATGTTGAAACTTGTGTCTGTGTCTTCTTGAGCATTGCTTTGAGCTGAGCAGGTGAGAGCTCCTCGTTGATCTTGGCCTTTTGCTTGATAGTCTTTGCGCGCTCACCAAAGCGCATTGTACCAATTGTCTCTGCGTCGTTGTATGACATTGGCGAGGCGTTAATAATGAGCGTTGTCCGCGAATTGCCACCCAGAGACTCTTGAAGAATTCTCGTGAGCTTACTGTCTCGATAAGGAATGTGCTGACTCTTGCCTTCCGCCAGGGCATTAATGACCATACCCAGTGCAGAGAGCGACTTATTGATTTTCTTGGCCTCCTCCAAGGTCTGACCGCTTGCGCCTGTCTTGCCCACCTTTTCTGAACCCGCCAAATCTACCAGATACAGGCGTCCAGAGCGTGCAGATCCAGTCTCGACATTCTTTTGTGTCACCTCAATCACGAAGATGGAGTGCGATCGCGAGGACTCCTGATTCATGTTGGTGGATGCCACCGCGCGAGCCTGGCCACCTCTCTCCAAGACCTCGTATACCTCGTCCACTGACCCCACGTAGAACTCATGCAGTCCCTTGACGTATATACCTTTTTGCTTATCCTCGTGTACCGGCAAGTTGTCATTATGCGGCACCAGAAGATCTCGAATCTTCTCCATGTAGATTTCCATGTAACTGGTCTTGACAGTGAACTCAATGGTGCTGTCACTCTGCATGATCTTGGTGAAGATCTGCTCCACGATACGTGGTATAATACCCTTCGAGTCAGGATCGTGCAAGTTTCCTGCTCCCATCATGGTGTAGGTCTTTCCAGAACCAGTCTGGCCGTATGCGAAGACAGTGCCGTTATAGCCTGCGAGCACATCGTCCACGGTACTCTTGATGGAGTAGTCGAAAATCTCATGCTGAGCTGTGCCGACGGGGAATACACGATCGAAGGTATAGGTGGGCTTGCTGGCCTCCTGAGAATCGATGGTCACCGAGTCTTCACTGGGGAATTCGACGATCGAGACGGCTTGGTTGCTCTGCTCGACTTTGTTGGCGGGTCTGAAGCGAGCGACCACCTTGATCGTGTTGGAAGCCGTGGCCATGCTGGGCAGCCTCTCGGAAGTCAATGCGCTTATGCGCGCTCCTCCGTCCGTCGCGTCTTCGCAATGAGATGATGGCCAAATAAGGGATAGTTGTCAAGTTCGCGACCCGTTGTCGTGCCCCTCAAGTCCACCTGCTGCTGCTGCCGCCCCCCACGTGTTGTCCGCCAGCTGGGGGAGGACTTACCAATAGAGATGCTCGGAGCGCGTGATCGTTGCGAGGACCCCAGTGTTCGGATGGCCGAGGGTGTTGGTCGACGTGAGGGCGTTGGTGGTGGTGGTGGCGGTAGTAGTGGTGGTAGTAGTGGTGGTGGTGGTCTGCTCCGAGGCAGGTGCTGTCGTCGAAGGAGAGAAAGCAACACGGACACCTAGTGCCAGTTTGAAGTCTCAGGGCGTGTTTCGTTCTCGGAGGTCAACAAGATATTCGCCGACGCCTTCTCCAACGTGCCTGTGCCGCAGGACCAGGACTCGAACATTCGCGCACGTTCACGAGATAGTCGCTATTGATTTCTGCCTTGGAGTTTCAACGAGGCGGTGGTCAGAATTGCATGAAGGCGTTGAGTGCTTCATGGACGGATTGTTCCCGTCGTGGGCGACGAGGAAGCCTGACTGGGGAGAAACAACCATCGCAGACCCTAGCAACAAGCCCGCATGAACGAAACGCGTCGAAAACGCCACCAAGGCACGATATGAATAGCGATCACATGTGATGGCAACTGAGCCCTCTTGGACGTAATTTCGTTATACAATAATGCGCGCTTTTTTATGCTGCTCACAGCTCATCTGCATCCACCATCTGTATCACCATCCCACTCGCTGCGCCGCCACCGTTACAGATGGCTGCACAACCGTACTCACCCTTCTTCAGTTGATGCAGAAGTGTGACCAATATCCGCGACCCTGAGCTTCCGAGGGCGTGGCCGAGAGAAATTGCACCTCCACGGGGGTTGACATTGGCAGATCCAAGACCGAGAATCTGAGAGCAAGTTAGCACTGGTCGGCATACTCTGGCAGCGGGTTTTCATCAAACCACTCACCTTGGCATTAGCCTTGATCACGGCAGCAAAGGCCTCGTTGAACTCCCACACCTTGACCTGCTCTTTCGTGATACCAGCTCGCTCGAGCACAATTGGGACGACTTTGGCAGGTGCCACTGGGAAATCAATAGGATCCACAGCAGCATCTGCATATGCTACAATCCTCGCAAGCACTCTCTTTCCCTTTCCGTACTGTTTTGCCAACGCCTTATTAGTGACGATCAATGCAGAAGCACCATCGTTCATACTCGAGCTGTTCGCTGCAGTCACGGTTCCCTTCCCACTTCGATCAAACGCAGGCTTCAATGTGGCTACCTTGTCCACCTTCAATCTGCCATAGCCCTCATCTTCCGAAATCACAGTATCGCCCTTCTTTCCTTTAACAGTAACAGGCACAACCTCCTCCTTGAAGTGTCCTGCTTTCCAAGCCTCGCCCGCTCTCTTGAAGCTTTCAATGGCAAACTCATCCTGTTGTTCTCTGCTGATTTCATACTTCTTTGCCGTGCTTTCTGCACAGTTCCCCATATGAATCTGGTTGTACACATCCCACAGTCCATCCTTGATCAACCCATCCTCAGCGGTAACGTTCCCAAAGGCCGGTAATTGCGGTCCTCTCGGTGTATAGTAAGGCACTCTTGACATGTTCTCCATACCACCTGCCACGACCGCCTCCTCTTGTCCGAGCTCAATCTGCTGTGCGGCTATCGCAACAGCCTTCATACCGGAAGCACAGACTTTGTTAATTGTGGTCGCTTCTACCGACGAAGAAAGTCCAGCGAAGATAGTGGCTTGCCGGGCTGGAGCTTGTCCCACAGAAGCTTGCATCACGTTGCCCATGTATACGGATGTGATCTTCTCAGCGGGGACATCGGATCGCTTCAGAGCTTCCTTGATGGCTGTGGCGCCCAATTCGGGAGCAGAGACGGATGAAAAGGAGCCATTGAAGAGGGCCGTGGGCGTCCTGACTGCAGCGAGAATATAAGCGTCCTGGATCTCCTTGGGCTTCCTCGTGGATGCGCTGAAGTGTCGTTCAACCGCTTGGAGACGTTGTTGCGGCGAGGACATTGTGAATGATCGACTGGAGAGGGTAGGGAGGGACCGGCGAAGGAGAGGCGAGGACATCATTGTGGAAATAAGGAAATGTCCTGCTTGATCTAAGGTACCTAGGCAATTCGCAAGATCAACACAGACAAATAAAAGCAGAAAAGGCTGCTGCTGCGAAGGTTGTGAGCTATACTGGACTGGCTAGTTACGGGTCAAGGAACGACGTGCAGACCGAGGTTAAGACGGAAGGCCAAAGTGGCCAATTCTCATAAACGTACCTCACCTCATGAATCTACTGCATACAGCACCTTTCTTTGATTCTACACCTTACCGTCGCCGCATACGGCACCTTACCTTACCGTCGCCGTCGTCGCCGCATGCGGCGTATAGCTTTGTTACTGCTACCGCTTTGTCGCTATAAGTCACTTATTAAGTCGTCGCCGCCGCCGCTGCCGTCGCTATTAAAGTACGAACTATATATATATTTCTACTACTACTACTACTACTACTACTACTACTACCGCAACTATACTCTACTAAGCTAAGTAAGAGTGCGCTCGCTATAGTACTTGTTAGCGTACGCTAACTAAGCCTAGTATTATCGTAAACGTAACGCTCGCGCTCGAGATACTATAAGAAGGTAACGATACTATAACTGCGTTCGAAGCGCTACAAGCCTTCAAAGCGCGCTATAACGAGGACGACGACTTAGATCCGGTAGATTAGATAGACGGTTAGATAAACGGTTAGATAGACGGTTAGACAGACGGTTAGATAGAGCCTCTAACGCCGGATCTAACGGTAGATCCGACGCCGGATAAGAGTAATAAGATAGATAATACAATAGATAATAATACTAAGTATAACCTTCGGCTAGCGGCGCTGTCCTCGGTAGCGCTATCCTCGGCGCTTATTATAACTTATTGCTAATACTCTCTCTCTCTCTATAGTAGTACCCCGCCCGTTAATCCCTACCCTCGCCGCCCTACGACTACTAACGCCGCCGATTTCTAGTTTTGCGCTGCCGAGAAGTAGTAGGGCTAGCTTAACGAGGCGAACGGCGAGGATACTAAGAAGAAGAAGGTTATAAAGAATAACCTATAGAAATTCGACTAGGCCGGCCGAATTATAGAGACTTATAAGGGGATTAATACGCTAGATCCGTATTATTACTATACTCGTCCGGGCCTATCCGTTCCGTATAAGGTAGACTGGGTAAATAGTAAGATATATACTTATTATAAGCGATACGCAAAGGTAGGGTATAATGCCGGTTAGCCTATAGAAGATATAGATAGCAGTAAGCTAGTACGTCTTACTCGGCGAGTCGCCGCTATCGAGGTACGAGTAGATAGCTTAGACAGGTACGCGCGTAGTTGGATTAGCTTCTTTAAGAGCAGATTTAATTAGGTTAGCGGTAAGATATATGCCCTCGCTACTCGCTTGTAGCCTAAGAGAGGTATTGCGCTGCCGACTATATTAGATTAGGCGTCTACTAGTAGTAATAGTACTAGTAGTAATAGTACTATTAGTAATACGATAGTCTAGTAAGCTATATATTAAATAGAATAATTGAATTAAGTAGTAATTGAACCGTCTAATATTGCCTCCCCCCCCCCCCCCCTCCGGGTACGTCGCTGTTAAAGCTATACTGTCTATATATAGTTAAGTACCTTTAGCGCCTATCTACCTATAAGTACGGCTGCGAGCGCTAGTAAGTTAACCCCTCCGAGCCTTTGCTGCCGCTACCGCCCTTCTTATTATAGTACTAATCTTCTCTCCGTCGCTATCTACTGCTAGCGTTACGCCGGACCTACCCCCTTCTTATATCGTCGTATTATCGCCGTTATCCGAGAGGTCCTATACCTCTAGCGGCTGCCTCGTATTAATTACTAAGTATATCTACCCTAATCCCTTCTCTTTCTTAATAAAAAGCTCGTCTAAGTCGTACTTAATACTCTCGATTAGTACGGTAGGCTCGCGTATTATAGGTAAGTATAACTCGAGGAGGGGCTCGTTAATTATAGTACTTCCCCTATCCTTACGCTTTAGATTCTTCGGCTTTAGCGACAGTAGATACTTTCTTAACTAGATAACGATAGTAACCTTATATAAGCGAGCGGTCGTTCGGGGCCCTAGTATCTAGAATATAGCTATAGCGTCCGCGACGATAGGTGTTCTCGTTGCTTTCTATAACATCTTAAGGGGTTTGCCGTCCTTATCGAAGCTAGTTGCTAGTATTATACTTTTAAAGTCGGGGATTTTATAGATTAGCTATACCGGAAGGTCGTCGGGGTCGATACGCCTAAGTAGAAAGTCTACGAGGCTAGTATTATCGTCCTCGGCCTCGGCGAGGCGGTTAGAGTTAGTAAAGTTATTAGGTACTATTAGTACGAGCTCTGCCGCCTATAGTTCCTACTTTGCGGCCTTCGCCTTCTTGTCTAGTTTAAGTACCTAGCGCTAGGTATAGACCCTATAGGTATACGTAAAGTAGACGGTTAGCGACCTCTAGGCTACGGCTAACGTCGTCGTCGTCGTCGTCGGGGTCGACGCCGGCGCGGACTATTGACGGTAGGTAACTAGTCTAGTACCGGTATAGGGAGCGACTACGGCAGCGGCTCTCTATCGGTAATACGTATTAGTACTAGTACGCTCGTTATTCGCGTACTAGGGGATTATATCGAATGTCTAGAAACCCTAGCTTATTAGGCGACTTATTAAATCTCGCCGTTAGAAAAGCTACTTACCCTTACTAGTAGAGCCGGTACTAATACTATTAGTATAGGCTAGGCTAACGGAGCCGGTATATTCGACGCAGTTAGTATAGGCCGAAGGCGTATCTCGAGTACGGTTAATAGCTCTCGTATAAATCGCTCTATTAGACCGTCCGGATTCAGCTGTTTATATTAGCTATAATAAGTAAACTTGCCGAACGTCGTCTTATAGTAGATCTATATCTAAACTAGACAGTACTTAGCCTATAACTTAGGTAGCTACGACTATAATATAGATATAGCTACGATAGGGATTATAAAGTATATAGTAAGAGAGGGAGGAAGTATAAGTAATATAGCGAGTATACGAATGGTTTTACCTCGTCGCCGCTTATAGCTAGGCTCGCCGAAGAAAAGCTAATAGAATTTTTACTTACCCCGGCCCCCGCCCCCGCCTCTTGCCCCGCGGCCCCTCTACCCTTATATAAACTCGAAATCGACTATACTATAGTCCTAGTTTACATTCGGTATACTATATAGCGTATAGACGAATACTTCCTATCTCTTACGTTAGGGGATCCAATTCCGTATAGCTAGTAGCTTCTTAAGCTTACTAAGAATAGGTAGTTGCCTAGAGGTAATATGCTTACTAATCAATATTCGTAGTATAATATATACTAACTCGTACGTACGATCGCCGGTCAATTGGTTAAAGGACGCTCTACTAATAGGTAGAGAGAGACTATAGCTTGTAAGCAGATTGACCTTGTACTACTTATATGTCTCGTTAGGCAGAAAAGCCTCTAAATCTACCTAGAATCAATAAGCACCTAGAATTAATAAGCAGCATAGCGAGCGGGGGTAAGGGTAAGGCACTTACTAAACTCTTCTAGACTCTGTTCGAGTGTCTCGATAATAGCCTCTAGTATACGTACCCTCTACGACGCCGTACTATATAGCTCTAGGTAGTAATATAGTATATACGGAATACCCGGAATTAAGTATAGACGGTTCGATTGCTTCCGGATCTTATATATATTCTATATATAGGCGAATTCTACTACTACGGTACGTATGATTTCTATATATACCGCTAGGAAGGCTAGGCGATCTAAGAGCGAGTTAGGGTTATATAAATCTCTCGTATTAAGAGAGTAGAAGTATCCTCTCTATCTATTAAGTGCTTTAGCCTACTAATTCTACTATGCCTCGATACGCTAGTTTATCTTACTCGTCCTATATCGGTAGCACTCGTTAAAAGTAAGCTCTAGTAACGTCGGCAGACCGCGGCTCTATAGTGACTTATTCTCTATATCGTACGTAGTACGACGAACTATATAATACGCGTCCGCGGCTAAGAGAGTCTCGCCTCCGCGGTCCGAGCGCAGAATTAATAGAGCGACGCCCCTATAGCGTAGAGTAGCTATATACTAAGCGAGTACTAATACTACGGACCTGCCTATAATTCTAACGTAGAGCTACTATATATAGCGAGAGTAAACGTCGATAGCACCGTAGATCTAAATACCCTAGTACTCGAACTTATAGTAAGTATCTATTAAAAGCGCGTATATTAGCCCGGGTATAATAATAGTACTATAGTACTCTCTAGCTCTATTGCGGCGGCGCTGTACCCTATCGGGGTTAAGCAGTTAGTATATACGGTAGATACGGTCTCTACGCGAATAAATAAGTTAGCCTACGAGCGGCTATAAGTATAATGTATATAGAGTAGTATACCTCCTAATTAGGTTAGTCTTCGAGCGTAGGTATATATAGAGGTTCCTATAGCCGTACGTCTTAACTAACGACTTAGCTAGCTCGTTAGAGAGTATAGTAGCGATCTCTACTTCCGCTTCCGCTTGTCGTTCCTAGGGTACCTATTTGATAAATCCTAGCTCTTTCCGTATACGCCGATAGGTACGCTTTCTAATATTCTAGCCGTTAATATATAGAATCTAGTAGGCCTCCTTATCGGTAAGACGTAGGTAGTAGTACGTATAAGCGATTCGGAGGTATAGGGCCTTAGTATTACTTAATTCAAGTCGGGTTCGTACTAGCGTATACGTTCTAGTAAGCCTCTATAAACTTAGCCGCCGTCGTAACGTACTAAGCTCGATACGGACGCTGAACATAGTAAAGAGATCCTTACGGATAGACTAGTAGGTATACCTATTAGTGTACAACTTAGTAATAAACTCGCGGAACTGCTCGTAATCTAGTACTTAACTACCGCGAGCTCTAATAGTTCTACTACGATAGCGAGGCATAAGCGCGAGCAATAGTAAGGTAGGCGGCGGAGGCGGTAGAAGGGGCGGAGGCGGCGGAGGGGTAGTAGACTATCGAGGTATATAGACTACGACGTATATTGCGGCAGCAGCGGCAGCGGTAACGTAGACTATAAGCGACGGTAAGGTAATCAATAAGGTATATATAGCGACGGCGACGGTGACGGCGACGGCGACGGCGACGGTAAGGTAAGGTGCCGTATACGGCGACGGTGAGGTGTAGAATCAAAGAAAGGTGCTGTATGTAGTAGATTCATAAGGTAAGGTACGTTCATGAGAATTGGCCACTTTGGCCTTCCGTCGGTTAACGCCGCGATCAGCGTGAGAGTTTGCCCACCCACCTCACTTCCGTTCCCAAACACCACCGGATGCAATGGCTCTAAGATGGACAAGCCTCTGCTGCCAGCGCCACGCAATTCTTACAGACCAGCGGCCAGAATCAAGAGACGAAGCTCTATGTTGACGGCATGTGGCGACAGCTTGTTGCGCCTGCTGATCCTATCATTTCACGCCTCCGTTCCCCCTTCGCCCGCAGCCTCTGGATGCATTGCGTGATCATATACAATACTTCTGATCATGTGACATGCTGCAAGTCGCTTTAGCTCACTTGGGAGAGCGCCAGACTGAAGTTCACTACAGTCGTTCCCACTCTGTGCGGTATCTGGAGGTACTGTGTTCGATCCACAGAAGCGACATGTTTCTTTTGCTTTTTGGCGACGTTGGATGGTGTCAGCCCTCAGCAGCTGGAATGAAGATGATTTCCAAGGCCATCCATCATCCATCATACCTTGCTACTATTCTGAGGAAAATGGGTCTCTGCGTCATGCTTGTTGCCCTATCGTAAGCGGGGCGGCGAGACTTGTAGTTTTGCATCATCCTCCAAAGCACTAGGAGGTACAGGTATTTATGAGGACGAGTGTGAGGTGCATTCTGTGAGCACCTGCTAAAATGGCTCCAGATCGTTCCATCAAGCTCGGCGTCCTGGTCCCGTCCTCAAACACAGCCCTTGAGCCTCTTACCACTGCCATTATAACTTCGATACCGAACGTTTCCGTCCACTATTCACGATTTCCAGTCACCCAGATCGCTTTGACCGACGATGCTCTCTCACAGTTCGATGACGGCAAGATCATCGATGCTGCAAAATTACTGGCAGATGCGAAAGTAGATGTGATCGGGTGGAGTGGCACGAGTGCTGGCTGGCTCGGCTTCGAAGCAGATGACAGACTATGCGAGAAGATTGAGGAAGCTACAGGAATCAGGGCAACGACAAGTGTTATTGGCTTGACCAAGCTCTTGGATCAGGTGGCAGCTGAGCAGGGTGTCAAGCCACGGTTTGGGCTCGTCACGCCGTACCTGGATGATGTCCAACAGAAGATTACAGAGACATTCGGTAAAGCGGGCTACGAGATCGTCGCCGAGTCGCATCTCAAAAGGAGGGTGAACGTAGAGTTTGCCAGCATCACAGAAGACGAACTTGACAAGCAGGTCGAAGAAGTGCACTCGAAGATGCAAGATGAGCCTGTCAAGATTATTTCGACCTTCTGCACGAATCTGCGAGCTGCTCAGAGGGCCGCTCATTGGGAGGAGAAGTATCCTGGTCTGATTGTGGCAGATACGGTGTCTACTGTCGTCTGGGACATGCTAGCCATGGTTGGTGTAGACATGAGTGGATTGCACACTTGGGGTGCCATATTCTCCAAGACATCAGCCGGCCATGTTACTCTCCCTCTCAAGCGCGTGGATAATGCATCTTCGACAAAGGATATGGTTGCGAAGGGCAGAGCCAAACTTGATGCGATCAATAACAAATCGACATGATCGAGCCTATATACGTATAAGTGTCCTTGCTCAAACTGCAATAGATACGACAGGACATTGGCATTCGTACAAGAGTATTCATCACAACCCCAGGCCTCAAGATCATTGCCCAGTCTTCGGAGTTAGCAGATATATCTCCAGCTGTAGCGCTATCCCAAACAGCTCTTCTTAGCTTCAACAATGATGTAACAAGTGGGCAATTGGAACAACTACATGTACCTCCCCTATGTATGTACGTGTACTTCCATCTTCAATGTGCGTACATTGAAATCAATCAGCTCTCACACACAAACAATACCAAACAAACACAACACCTCAACCAACCAACCAACCATGGGTCTCATAGTCCACCACCTCGGCCACTCCCAAAGCGACCGCGTCGTCTTCCTCTGCGAAGAGCTCAAAATCCCCTATGAACTAAAAAAATACAACCGCTCCCCAATCTTCTCTCCCCCCGAACTCCAAAACCTCCATCCCATCGGCGCAGCCCCCGTCATCCAAGACGACGACGGCAAAGTCCTCCTCGCCGAATCCGAAGCCTGCATCGAATACATCAGCAACATCTACGGCCAAGGCCGTCTCTTCATCCCTCCCGGCGCAAAAAACTACGCAGATTTCCTCTTCTACTACCACCTCACCAACGGCACCTTACAGCCCGCCATCGGCCGCGTCATGGCCCTCCGCACAGCCGGTCTCTCGGAAGAAAATCCCATGTTAATCCGCTATCTCGAAAAAGTACATCAAGTCCTCTCTGTACTCGACCGCCGCGTCTCTGAAAAACCGTGGTTGGCGGGCGAAGAATTTTCTGTGGCGGATGTTATGGTGATTTTTGCGTTGACGACGTTTCGAGAATTTGTGGCGATTGATTTGAGTCGTTATCAGGATTTGTTGGAGTATGTGAGGAGGATGGTGCAGAGGCCGGCGTATCGGAGGTATTTGGAAAAGGCGGATCCGGATATTGAGATTGAGAGGTTTGTGAATGGGCCTCCGCCGCCGTTGCATCCGGCTTTGCAGGCGATGATGATGAAGAGGAAGTAAGGTCACTTTGGCGCTTTTTTTTCTGCTTTCTTCGCTTGCTGAGTGAGGGTGGAGGTGAGTAAGGAGAGTCAGTCGTCGGGTGTGTAGAGCTTGTGGCTGGGCATTGCTGATGGAGAGATTTTTTCTTTTTTAGTCGAACGAGGAAACCATCTGAGAAGAAGCTGTAAAGTAGGAAGAGGCGGTATAAGGAAGGAAAGTTTTTTTTGGACACTGAAACCAAATCAGGTATGAACCTCACGGTTACACCCACGATGAGCATCATAGAGAATGTCCTATGCGGATACAATTCGTGAACAATCATCCCGCCTTAGTTTAATCTATTGCTCAGGCTCTCCCCTTTGAGATACTGGTGGATGATTTCGGCCTGTTCTTCATACCACCTATTCATTGTGCCCTCATTGACATATGCCATATCTATCACATTGGTCAGCACTTATTACCACTTCAACCCAACCCATTGACATGTACATACGTGGACTGAAAACCGTCGAACTCTTACTCCACTCGCCAACTCTTCTCCAAACACTTTCCGGACCAAGCGGCTCCTCCCAGAACACATCCGACGCAAAACCCGCAATGCTCCCAGCCGTGAGCGTCTCAATCAAGGCATGTTCATCAATTAACCCCCCTCTCGACGTATTCAACAGCACAGCCCTCTTCTTCATCATCTCCAACTCCTTCTTCCCCACAACGCCCCTCGTCCGCTCCGAAAGCACAACATGCAAACTCACCACATCCGCCCCTCCAAACAACTCTTCTTTCCCCACCGCTTGAAAACTTCCCTTTTCCAACCCCGCCGCAACAGCCTGTTCATCCGCCCTCTCCTGCGTCAAATTCGTACTCCACGCCAAGACTTCCATTCCAAAACTCTGCAAGGCGATTTTTCCAAACGCAACTCCCAATTTCCCTAATCCTACAAGTCCTAATTTCTTGCCGGGGAGAGTCATGATGGTGCCTTGTTGCCACGCTGCTGCTGCTGGAGACGAAGATCGAGTGGAGGAGGAGTCTTGTTGTTGTTGTTGTTGTTGTTGTTGTTGTTGTTGTTGTTGGAGAAGATTGTGGTGCTCCACGATTCTGGACATGAGACTTAATAGTAATGCCCACGAGTGTTGAATTACTGTTGTGTGACCTGTTGGAGGAGGGGCTTCGTAGGTTTTGTACTTGTCATCATCATCATCATCATCACCATGACCAGAGACTCGCTCGCCTTTGGCTCCAGTGACAATGATGCCATATTGAGTGGCAGCGGGAAGATCAATACCATTATTGCGCATTCCCGTGGTAAGGAGTAATTTCAGATTAGGAAGCTGGGAGAGGAGTGAAGCCGGGAAAGCGGTACGTTCTCGCATGGAGGAAATGATTTCTGTAGTGTCATGTTAATTCTTTTCTTTGGTTTTCGTGTTCCTCCCATAAGAAAGAAAAGTGTGTAGGTTGGAGTTTTTACCATAGGGTTCCAAACGGCGGATGAGAGCTTGCAGATCATCCTCCTTTGTTGGGTTGAGAGTCTGGTCCCAGTAGGAGACTTTGATGTCTTTGATGGGATCGACATGCTTGGGACTGATTTGAGCATAGTCGTCTAGGACCTGTGGGAGGGCGTGGAAGGTAAGCAGGTTTCTCTGGAAAGTCGACGGGACTTGAGTAACTCCAGCGCGAGCATCACCGTATGAGACGCTGATTCCGGACTTTCAGCTCTCGAGCGGTTGCCTTTACTTACTGCTACTCTCTTGACAGTCTGGCTTGCGGACATGGTGGTATAAGGTAGAGGTAGTTCTACGATCTTGTGGAAGCAGAGGCTGTGAGGTTCTCGAGACACGCGATGGCATCAAGCTCAATATCCCGATATGGACTTTTTCTTCTTTTATTCTGCAGAGAGATATGTGAAGCCCAACTGCCGAGTGGTTATGCTATAGAGACCGCTTCCAATAGGTCAGGTATGCATTGATGAGAGCTCGTGAAGCTCGAGGATAGAATAGTGGGGCCATGATCCGATATCGGCCACCACTCGTATCCCAGTCCATCCAACAATACAATTATACAAACACAGAACAAGATATCCCTAGTCGTCTCATGTCTCATGCTCCCTCTGACTGGCGTCAGCAATCTCTCGCTTCACCTGCAACAGCCGTTCATGCATGTGCAATAGCCTCTCCTTGTCCGCCGGCGGCAGTCTCTCGCCTCTCCTCTGGATCGCTTCCAGCTCATCAAATAGCTTCACATATGCAGGGTACCATTCATCTCGGAACTTCCGGGCCAGGTTCACGCCTTGCGCGAAACTCATGCGACCACCAGCGCTTGGAGATGTAATGAAATTGGGACGATCATGGTCCGAGTTGCTGCTTCCTGCGCTGATGGAGTTCTGTGAATGGGAGGAGCTCGACTCCGTCTTGCGGTGTTTAGTGGTGGCGATGCCGTCTTCATCCTGGGGAGTGTCCATGGCCTTTCGCTTGATGCCGTTCTCATGCTTGTGCTTGGGGCCACTGGCAGTAGATGACACGTCTCTTCCCGTGCCAGCATTGCCGTTCATCGACGCCGAGTGTCGAGCGTGACTGTTCGTAGCTGACTTGCCCAGACCCACGCCCGGCTTGTCGCTGTTCGATGATGAGTTGCTTGTGATGGTATCGTGCCGTCTTCGTATGCCGTCAGCGTTGGATATGCCGAGTCCCTTGGGAGTGTCTGCGCCAGGCCGACCTCGTTGCATGGAGACGTCGGAGGCCACGCGGGGCCGGGCAGCGCCCAGCGGTGAAGGGGCAGTCGGGCGGTGATTCGGCTTGGCGGGATTGGGGCTCAGCTGGCTTCGCTGTTGCGGAGCAGGTGCGTGGAGGCCATTGGGAGTGCGCTTGCCAGGCGGCGCGGGCTTCGATCGAGCGGCGGCAGCGGCGGCCGCGCTGGATCTTGCCGCGGGCGTGCCTGCCTTGGATGGCTTTGCCACCACCGGGTTGGTCGCCGCTGCTCGGGAGGCTGCCGATTTCAACGGGACGCGTTTGTCCGGGACATCGGCACTGCTGGTCGATGCGGATGCGGACGCGGATGCTGCCATGGCTTTCGGTTTGGGTTTCGGCTTGGCAGCTGCGTTGGTGACGGGAGCGCGTTTGGTCGCTGCTGCTGCTTTCGCCGGCTGTGTAGTAGTACTGCTGCTCACGTCGCCGCCGCCGCCAGCTTCATCCTCACTTGAGCTCTGCACCAGCTCTGCCGACTTGATCTTCGGGTTGTTCTTGGCCGTCGTGGCTGCCGCCGTCCGCGCTCGTTTCACCGGCCGGCTTTCCTTGTCACTGTCTGCTTTGGCTGCTTCTCGTTCTTTGCGCTTCTTGTCTTTGGCGTCTTCAATCGCTCGCTGTTTCGGGTTCTTGGCCAGCTTCTTCATCAAGTCACTCTTTGCTGATGCTACTTTGGGCGTTCCAGCGCCCAAGCGAGGCGTACCAGCCACACTGCTGCCCCCAGTTCTGTCGTCGCCATCGCCGGCCAGCATCGGGCTCGCTCCCACATTCGTAGGGGCGCCAATATGGAGCTTCGACAGGTATTCTCCCTTGTTCCTTCTGTCCTCTGGCAGCAGCATTTGCCAAATCTTCTCTTCTTTTCCAATTCTCTGTCTGTCGTACGCTCTTACTGCGTTGTCTATAGCGGCCTGTCGCTCCTCTGGTGTGCTGTACCCGAAGCTGTACACATCTAGCTCTTTGAATGCTCTGTCCGTCAGCCCCATCTTCTTTCCTTCCGCCGGCTTTCCTATCTTTGACAAAATCTCCTCGACGTCTGCTTTCGGTATGTGTGTTCTCTGCGTGATTTCTTCCGGGACCAATGGCTCGATGGCAAGAAGGTGTATCAGCGGTTTCCTCATTGCCTTCAGTCGTAGTGCGGGGTCGTTCGAGGGCACTGAGGTCAGCGCAGCACCCGGTCGCGGCGTGTCGGACGCGCTGAGCGATGGGCTCGCATGCTGCGAGCCGGACAGGCCGCGTCGATGTGCATACTTCTGGTCTCGATTGGCCTCGAACCGGTTCTTGGGCGTGCCGATTAACGAATTCGTGACAGTCACCGACTTTGCAGCCTTCTCCTGGTGGTATGATGCGAGACTGTTCTGCAGAGCTGCCAATGCTGCATCGGCTCCTAAGCTCTGCTTCCTTGTGGGCACCTTCAGCTCCGCCCGCAGTCCTACAGCGCCCGCGAATGTCAGATCGGTCAATGAGCCCGTCGCAGCGGAGAATAATTCGTGCTTGAAGGCCTCTGGAGATATGGTCAAGTCGATCGACCGCGTTCCGAGGCGTATTCTCTGCGACCGCTGTCAGCTCAATGGACATGATGCCTTTCAGTGGTATCCTCCTACAGGAGTGGTCCCGTTGACGAACGACAGGCCGCCAGAGGCAGCCGATGATTTCTTCACATCCTCCAGTAAGTCCTCGCTGAGCTTGAACAAGACCGCTGGCGTTGCACTTTGTTTCGGGCCGGCGTCTCCACGAGGGATCCCGTGAAGTGTGAGGCCACTCGCGGGCATGGCAGTCACCGACATTGCTGTTCCCACGGCTGGTATGCTATGGTGTTTTTCTCGCACGGGAAGATTGCAGACTGGGCCAACAAAGGAGCCATATGCTTGCTTTGCTGTACGCCACAAACTGGGTACAATGAGCGAACTGCTGATAATATCAAGGCCATGACGTTTCCTCCGCTGAACTCACCCAACAACAGCTAGTAGTGGTGGTGGTGTATGCTGCTGCAGCAAGACATTTCCAACGTCCCGTGGTGGATGTCCCAGACAGCGTCACGACGGGGGAAGGGTGTGTGGGTGTTGCAGGCTGCACACACGGTGACAGCGAGTGGGTGTATGGCCTGAGACAATGAGCAGCGTGCAGCGTGTGGTGTGGAAGGCGGGCGAGGCACAGCAAGACTCGCAGCGTACAGCGTAGGTTACACGCGCTAGCAGTCCAGCCAGGCAGGCTGAGCCAGCAAGCAGACAGGCATCGAGTGGGAGTGGAACCCCAAGACGTCGAATGGCACAGGGCGAGGCCCCTACCTCCTAGGCGCGCGCGGGCGTGTGCACTGCTTGTTTTACGCTCGGGCTCTACGGAGGTATTCGCCGGCGACCAGTACCACAGATGGCGACCGGATGGGTGGCTCACCAAAGCATAATTCTCTGTATACGAACCTAATGTGTTTCAAGTACTGCATTGTGCGTTTTTTCTGAGATAATGCACTTTACTACTATGTACTACAGGAGGTACTACTCCCTCTGCTGCGGCTAGACATTCAGCAGGAAGAAAATGCTCGTTTTTAAATGTGCACCTGAATAAGCAAGAAACTGTGTGCCGCTTCTATATACATGGCTCGTACGGCTAGAGACGCCTGTCTCCCTTAGGTAGGTAGGTAAGGTAGACACCAACTGCAGGTCGGTCGGTACAGGTATTAAGAGGTATGTAAGGTAGCTTCCATTCGGCTACCTTGACCGTTTCCAGAAATACCCCAGGTCAGGTAGGTCCAACCTATGTAGGCAGGCAAGGTATGTCAGGTCGGTACATGGCATCTCGGCTACATATGTAGGATCTAGAATCTAGATCCCCCAATGCAGAAGGATAAGGAGGTACTAACAAAGAAAGAATTAAAGGAAGCACAAAACAAAACACATCTACCTAATAGGGTAAGACGCAAGAGTAGGGTAGGTACCCCCTTGGGTCTTGGATTGGGGACTTTTTGTCGATGAGGATATGTTACTTGTTGTTACCTATTACTGCTGCTGCTACTGTACTTTTTTACTTGAGATTGTTTGTTGGTTGTTGGTTGTAGATAGGTAGGGTTTCTGGTACGAGAAGACTTGCTGTTGCAAAGAGGAGAAGTAGGTAGGAAGGGGAAGGGAAGGGAAGGGAAGGGAAGCGAAGGAAAGGGAAGGGGAAGGGAAGGGAAGGAAAGTGTAGGGATATGAAGAGAATACGATAAGTAAGGTATCTACCTACCTGATTCTGTCGAGATCTTCTTGATTCGGGCATACCTACATGTATACAATGAATGAATGAATGAATGAATATACGGTAGGTAGGTGAGTAAGGTACTTGACCTTCTACGCTGCTTCTAGTATGCTTTGTAGTAGTCTCGATACGGAATTGCTCTCTCGCTTTGACCGCCTACCTTCTTCTACCTTCCGCCTTTCTAAGACTTCTGAGTTCAGCTTGTCCTGTCCTTGATTATAAAGTTTAGAGAATGAGCGCTTTTTGTACGAAGAGGGAGGGATTCTTCCTCTTCTTCTTCTTTAGCAGGTTCAAGAAAGCCGCATTTTTCTTTCTTTACCTACCTTCGGTATCTCTCTAGCAATCTCAAGAGGAGTCTGTACCTGAACTTCTTACTAGCCTCCAGAAGGTACCTCGAACTGTATTGCCAAGCCGGTATCCTTCTTCCTGCAAGGGCGTTGGAACGTTGGAGAACGAGGTACCAAGACATGGTGTCTTAGGGCTGCGGGCGCGCTTAGGATACCTGAAACTGGATAGTGTTGTTCACTACCACCGGAGCATTCATTGCCTACCTTACTTTTACCTAGGGAGGTACCTAGAAGAGGAGGAGGAGGAGGAGAGCGGACGGAAGGGAAAAACGGATAATCTCGAAGCGAAATTTTTGTCGGAATAATTATTGGAAAGGAATTGCTATCTACCTACTACAGCGATATACATCAACAGACGGGAGAGACGCACGTAGTAGAGAACATGTCATGAACAAACGGTGTCTCGGCTACAGCTACCTCCCCGCCAAGTCGAACTGGCGCCACGCTTTTTCCAACAGCTCTTTGGTAATAATAATAATGATGGAAAAAGAAAAGTCAAAAAAAGAGTCGGGGGCGGGGCGGAGCGGAGCGGTCTGGTAGTAGGTGGCACTTGACCGTGCTCGTTCGGGGTTTGGTACAGCAAAAGTGAAACCTTGTAGGGCGTATGTGTGCGTGCGTGTGTGCGTGTGTCGGAGTAATACTGCATCGAAAGTCGGGGAACTGTCTCTCTCTAATCCATCGCTCGGTGGAGTAGGTGGTTCCAATTCACTTGCTGTATCCACTGCCATTTCCCGGTTGATTATTATTACCATCATTACATATATGTATCTGCAATTGAATTTGGAACCAATACTTCAGGTATGGTAAGGTATTCTAATCCTCTAGGCAAATTGGTGTGAAGCACGGAGACACAGATCGGCCGCCCGCCCGCCTAGTTTTCGGGGCTACCTAAGGTACTTTACCTACTAAAATGCCACGAGGAGATGTGCGAGCTACTCCTTTGCTACCAGCCTAGGAGGTATGCCCGCTCCTACCTAATTCATTCATTCATTCATTCATTCATTCATTCATCTACTCTAATTTGCACGGGTAGGGGAGGGGAGGGTGGAGACACTTCTATGTTCGAGTCTGGCTTGTTCGGTACGGGAACATGCATGGGCACTAAATCACTAGGAAGGTTGATCAGAAGGTTGAAAGTATTATTACGAACCGGCAAATCCTCCCAAATGTATATATCCCCGTTTGGCACCGTTTTTTCGTTGTGTGGTGACTTGTGAATGTATAGCAGTTTCTCTGAGAAGTGCAGTTGTCATTCACTTACTACTTACTACTTACCTTGCTCTTTGTTGTTGATGAGGCACTTGAAGATATTGGAGAGAGGAGGGGGGGAATAGATCGGATCTGACTTTACTGATGAATGATGATGATGGATGATACCTGAATGATGATGATGATGATAATGTCCAAGACATTCCAAGCAAACTGAGAAAAAGGCCAAGATTATTAGCAAAAAGACTGGGACGACCAGATGGGGAAGCCAATTGAGGTTTGAGTTGGGTATAACCATCTTCGACCATGTCAGCACTCTCTTATTCAGAAATACCTTGTACCTGGTATGTATGTGTGTACACCCACTTTTACTATAAACACAGAACAAGAAGATGTTGTTGTTGTTGTTGTTACAAAGCTGGAATAGAAAAAAAAAAGACAGCCTTATCAGAGCCGAACTCGCCTGTGTCACCACAGAGGCCAGGATGTCGTCTCCTCTATCGCCCTATCTACTCCATATCACAACATGATCCAGTAGTGCTGTAGTACTGTAGTAGAACAACAAGACATGTAAGTCTCTTCGTCCTTGGGATTTTCCCATTTTCCGTTTCCATTTCCTACACCAGTCACAAGAGAAGAGGTAGAAAGGGAAGAAAATAAAAACGACAATGATTCCTCTCCAGACACGCTTGCGCAATGCCATTCAAGTTCATCGTCCCACCGAACAAGCAGAATTAGAAGGATCAGGACTCAATTATGGAAAATGGTCCAACATCGACCTCGAACCCACTCCTCCCTCGCAACGCAACTGGTCTCCCTGGTACTACTTCGCCTTCCAATTCAGCATCGCCTTCTCCCCGACCACCTACAACATCGGCTCCACCCTCTTCTCCATCGGCCTGACCTGGTGGCACATCATCCTCGCCGCCTTTGTCGGAACTCTGCTCTGCTGCATCATCCTCTACACCAACGCGCGCGGCCCCCTCTTCTACCACATCGGATTCCCCGTGTACGCGCGAATTTCCGCCGGAATTTACGGCTCCCTCTTCTTCGTGTTCATCCGCGCTGTCGTCGCTGTGTTTTATATGGGGACGCAAACGTATTATGCTAGTCGATTGATGGATGTCGCTCTGCGATGTGTCTTTGGACATCAATGGACCGATATCCCCAATCACTTACCCCCCTCTGCAGGGATTTCGACGTCGCAAATGGTAGCGTTTTTTCTCACATGGTTGCTGCAATTTCCGTTTGCGTGGCTCCATCCGAGTAAAGCCGGGCCGCTGTTTGTGGTGAAATCGGTCTTGTCGCCAACAGCGTACATTGCCACGATGATTTGGGCGTTGGTGAAATTTGGAGGTGTCAATCTCAATTTGGGAAAGGGAAAGACGACGACGGGCGGCGCGGCGTTGGGTTGGTCGTTTATGAAAGCGATTAATACCGTCGTTTCGGGCGTGGTGCCGCCTATGGTGAATATTGCGGATTTGGCTCGCTATGGTCAGCGGCCGAGTGATGTGATTCCCTTGACGATTGGTCTGTTTCTCAGTAAACCCGGAGTCATCATTCTAGGCCTCTTCACGACTGCCGCCGGAGCAAAGCATTTTGGAGTGGCGAATTGGAATCTATGGGACTTTTATAGTCTGGTATTGGTGAGTTATAAAATCAATCCTACCTCCTTTCCAAATCCATCCACATACTTACTCTCCCACCAACAGGACGAATTCTGGTCCCCCTCAGCCCGAACCCTCATCTTCCTCGCCTCCCTCATCCAATCCTTCTCAACAATCGTCACCAACATCTCCAGCAACGCCATCCCCGTCGGCTGCGACCTCTCCGGTCTCTTCCCCCAATACTTCACCATCACGCGCGGGATGATTCTCTGCCATTTACTCTGCTGGCCCATTGTCCCCTGGCTCCTCGTCAATTCCGCCCAAAATTTTCTCACATTTTTGGGCTCCTATCTCTGCTTCATTACGCCCGTCGTGGCAATTATGCTCGTGGATTATTTCTTCGCGAGAAAAGGGAATGTGCATATTCCGTCTGTGTATCGAGCGGAAAAGGGTTGTCCGTATTATTACACATATGGGGTGAATTTTCGGGCCTATGCAGCGTGGATGGTGGGTGTGGGGTTGGTGATTTCGGGAATTCGAGGCGCGATTGAACCGGGGAGCATTAGTGATGTGGTGGTGAATATTTATAATTGTGGATTTGTGCTGTCGTTTACGGCGGCGGGAGTCACGTATTATGTGCTGTGTCGAATTTGGCCGGTGCAGATTTTACCGAGAGGAGTTGCAACAAGAAGAGCAAGGTATGAGGGGGAAGAAGAAGAAGAAGAGGAGGAGAAGAGTCTACGGCGGGAATATATGGTGCATACAGAGGGGTTTTTGGTGGATGATGTGCCTTTGCCCGGGTATATCAAGGATAAGATGGTGTTGGTGGGAGAGGAAGTTGTTGCTGCTGCTGCTGATTCTTCGCCGGTTCAAGAGGTTGATGGGCACTTGAAAGAGAAGTTTTGATTCTCTCTCTCTTTCTTTGCTTGTTGTTTTGGGAAAGAATAGAGAACAGAGTAAACAGCATCTGCCAAGAGTCCAAAAGTACAGAGAGAGGTACCTATCTTGCAACTTTTCTAAATCGTCGACGAGCTCACTAACCAATCCGTCCCATGATTTCCTTCCATGCTGTGATAATCCATAAACGACTGATACTCGGGCATAGTTCCATTACCATTACCATTACCATTATTATTATTATTATTATTATTATTGGCGGCGGCCTCGCCGCTCGCACCATTGACGCCAGCATGATCCACCCCTGGCGCAGGCGGCAGTCGGGGCATATTGAAGAAGTCAAACACGTCCAGATACTCGAGCTCATTGGGAGCAGGAGTGCGAGCGGGCGTGACGGAGGAATTGTTCACCTGCTGCTTCGCACCGAAGAATTGACGCGGTTGCCGAGAAATCAAAAAATCCAAATCATATGCGCACCGACGCATGTCAGCGAGAATCCTCACGGTACTGGGGGTCTCGCGTACACCGCTCGCCGGCACCGGCGCGCGTTCGGACTCGCTGTATTCGTCCATGACCCGTTGCAGGAGAGTCGCATATCGCTCAGCGACTTTCCAGTAGTAGCCCATCTCTCGCAACGTGTCGATGAGGGGTTGTATTGCAGGGTTGACCTGGTGATCAATGGTGGAACCATGTACAAGCAGGAGTCGGGCCGCCACCCAGAGACTGAAGGCAAACGGCGGTCCCAGCTTGGTCAGCATCTGATTGTTGCGGACATAGGTGCATAGAGCGCAGATGTCTTCGACGGCAGTATGGCATCGTTGACTGGCGGAAAAGGATGGTGTGAAGATGGGCGACCGTGTTGTGGGGTATGCGGCGGAGGAATGCAGTCGGATCACGGTACTGCGATAGTGCTTACGTTAACCACAAAAGTCCGGTGCAGGCCGACGCATTGGATACCATAGGTGCAGGTAGGGCTGTGACGCGGGGAAGTATGTACTTACGTATGATACGTGATATGCAGCATGATCCAGATGCAGTTGACGACCGTGTTGGACCCATTCGAGTTGAACAAGCGAGACATGTTGCCATACTCGCTGGGGAGGCTGAACTTCCATTGATTGAGTTTCCCATCCAGCTGACGGTACTCTTGCTGCCACTGCTCGACATCGGACAACGCGCTAATATCGACAGGCTTCTTCAAGAAGCGATGTATCTGCGATAAGATGCCAATGATCTCGATATAGTAGCTGAAGGAGCCGAGATTCTCTGGCTGATTCATCTCGCCCAGGTGGTGCTGTACGCCTTCCATAGTCTGGAACCATCGCGTATCAACGGGCTGATTTCGCGCAAAGAGGTCGTCACGACAAGGCAGCTTGCGATCAATCTCTCTATCGTCCAGTGCAAAGTCAAAGGCAGTCGCAATCGTGGCGTAGCGATCTAACAGGTAGACCATCCAGAGAAGCCGTCTCCGACTTTCATCCTCGATGAAGGACTTGGGCTCCGGCAGGACCATCGCACGCAGCGTGTAGATGGAGGGGAACAGAGGAGCGACGGACGTCGAACTCGTCTCCACCGCGAGTCCCAGTTGTACCACGCTTCTGGTAATCAAGGCTAACAGGTTCCATCCGGGCGGTCCATTCGAGCTGCCTACGGTATCGAGTGCTAGTATCACGAGAGCCTGGAGCGCCTTGACGGAGCTGTTCTCGAGACCATATAACAGTACCTTTTGCTTCGACACGGTGTGGTACCGCTCTCGAGCTTGGTCGCTTAAGCGAGGATCTGTTGAGAATCGTAAAGTGGTCGCCACAATCGCATGGAGGAGAACTCGATCCGCCTCCTCGAGGGCATTGGTTCCGAATAGCGATTCGACAGTACTTCGTCGATGTAAGATAGGGCACCAGGTATTGATGTGGTTGAAGAACAGACCCGTCAATGCATAGAGAAGGTCGTACGGCGGGAAGTCTTGATCCTGAGACACTGCCTTCATCGCAGCATCGTGACCAGCAGTGACTGAAATGTTTAGACTGGGCGACTCCAGTGGCGGGTTGGAGGGCGCATATATGTCAGCTGCAGTGGTAGAAGGCAGATGAATGGAATGTTGCGAGGCACGGTGTGGTTGCGATGCTTGCGTCTGAGGTAGGTTAGTATCAATCGATGCAATATCTGTCGATTGAAGGGAGCTATTCGTACTGGGTTCATGCCTTCCTGTGCCTGGAGCCGGTTGTACTGTATGGCGGCGGCAGTAGGATACATGTCCGGCGTCTGCATGAACAAGGCCGTGTTCGAGGCATGTTGAGAGTGGACACTCGCCGGAGAGGCTTGAGCATGAATCTGCGACTGTAGTCCCGGTAGAGCATTGGCGACTTGCTGCAAGACTTGTTGCTGCGTCGCGATGATGGTTTCGAGTTTATCTAGCCCATCGTTCTAGTGTCAGATCAGAGAGCACTACCCTTTGCGCCAGACACCATTCACACCACATCATGGGCATACCGAGACGTGCTTCGAGCTCTCTGCCATAGCCCGCACGCAGGCCGGGCTTCTTTCGTTCTTTGTATTCGCAGACTTGACTGTTGCGGACACACCAACCACAGCTAGGCTGGCCGCGATCGCATTTCACCTGGAAACGCGGTTAGTTGAGGGCAGTATTCGGTCTTCTTGGAAACCTGCTGCAAGTGTCGGCCAGACCGCGGAAAAAACAAATACCGCGTGGTGGCGTCGGCGGCCTCCCACGTGGTATTCGTGGATTTAGGTAGTTCGTTCTGACTACCACAGCTTCTGCAAGAATGAAGAATAAGGTAATCATGAATAATGCGCAACGCAACCCACACACACACGTCGACGGTACTACTACCGACATACCTTTCTGCTCTTGCACAGCTCGCACGACACGCTCATCGGCCGTTTCCGCTTCTTGGAGCCATCGGCGTCGACCTCGTCGTCCTCGTTGCCGCTCCAGTCCTCACCATCGTCCTTCTGGTCTTCGACACTATTATGGTTGTGGTTGCTGGGCGAGGTGCCGTTGGTCGACACGGCGCAGTTGCGAGGCGTCGAGCTCATCGTGACTCGGCTGAAATTGCAACGAGAGAGGCGGGTGCTGCTTGACCGAGATTTTGTACTATTTCGCATCATTTCACCCCGCACCGAGGCCAACTGCGGTGAGCTAGGACAGGGTCCCAGCGAATCCACACCCGTGTGTTTGTTTTCCTCCAGTAATACCATGGCCCGGCTGTTCGAATTGTCGGCACATCGTCCTTGCGTAGCTCTGGTAGATGCGTCCCAAACAACCCAGGTCAGGTCAGGTAGGTACAGGTAGCGCAGGAGATGCACGATCAAAAGCTGAAATGAGCGCCGCACACTGTTCCATGTCCACTTTCCCTTGCCCCTCTTGCTTCCAACAGCACTCCCATCTTTGAGATTCCTTCGTCGATCTGCTTACCTTCATAGATACATACAGGCTGCCTTCGCAGTGACTTGTGAAAATATCTTAATCGGTGTGACCAGGGAGGGCTACAGTACAACAACAACAACCACCACAATGGCAAACAAAAGCAGCGTGACACGCTTCCCCAGGATCAAGGAGATCAAGACCTTCATCATCCAGGGTGTGGGCTCGGGGGGTGATTATCACAATGTGAAGGGTGGCCATTGGTTGATTGATTCCAAGATCTCGACGCCAATGTCTGGCTATGAGGCATATCGTACCTCGCGGACCAGCTGGGGCATCAACGTGCTCGGATCCTTTTGCGTGGAGATAGAGGCAGACGATGGCACGAAAGGCTTCGCGACCGGTTTTGGTGGACCTCCAGCGTGCTGGCTGGTCGCTGAACACTTTCGCAGGTTCCTGATTGGTGCAGGTGAGCTACTAATATTGTGGTCAGAGAGGCGACGATGTTCGTACACTGATGCAGTATAGATCCGCGCGATACAAACCACCTGTTCGAACAGATGTACCGGGGGTCCATGTTCTATGGCCGCAAAGGTCTCCCCGTTGCCGTCATATCGGTCATCGACCTCGCGTTGTGGGATCTCGTGGGCAAGATCAGAAACGAGCCAGTATACAAGCTGATTGGTGGCGCTACGCGGGAGAGGCTGAACTTCTATTGTACGGGCCCAGAGCCAGCTTCCGCGAGAGATGCGGGCTTCACTGGTGCAAAGGTAGCACTTCCCTACAGTCCAGGTGAAGGTCCGGAGGGCATGAGAAAAAACATCGAGTATCTGCGAAAAAAGAGGGCTGAAGTGGGCCCGGAATTTCCCCTACGTGTGGACTGCTACATGAGTCTGAATGTTCCATATACAATAGAGCTGGTCGAGAAGTGCAAGGATCTGGACATTGACTGGTGGGAGGAATGTCTCTCTCCTGACGACTTCGATGGCCACGCGCTGATCAAGGCGGCCCATCGGACGGTCAAGTTCACCACCGGCGAGCACGAGTATTCCCGATATGGCTTTCGCAAACTGATCGAAGGCCGCAATATTGACATTCTGCAACCCGATGTCATGTGGGTGGGAGGTTTGACCGAGTTGCTGAAGGTGTCTGCGATGGCGGCAGCATACGACATTCCGGTGATACCTCACGCGAGTGGCCCCTACTCGTACCACTTTGTAGTCTCGCAGCCGCACAGCCCATTCCAGGAGTATTTGGCGAACTCGCCCGATGGCAAGAGCGTGCTGCCCGTTTTTGGCAATCTGTTCACCAACGAGCCCATCCCCACCAATGGCTTTCTGGATGTATCCGTTCTGGACCTACCTGGATTTGGCCTGGAGCTCAACCCTGCGGCGCCTCTGATCGACGCCGCCGGTATACTCAACCCATCACCATCACGATCTCTGCCGGCGCCGGAGCAAGAGCACCCGGACCGGACTATCAACGGGTCGTCCGCATGAGCTGGGCGTTGCGTGAATAGATGAAGAGTCGATCAGCGCGGTCAGATGCGCATGATGGGATATTGGATGGATGGTCGGACTGGGGCTGGGAGCACATGGTGATAGCGCGCGCGCAAGTACCTGTGGTGTGTGCAGGAATTGCTTATATAACGGTGGAAGGAGCAGAAATGCACAGTAGGGTCACACTCGCATCTCTCTCAGTACCTACTGCGTGAGGTCCCATGTGTCTGTGGAGGGCTGGTGCAGCCGACTCGCACATGCATTGATGGCAGAGTGAAGGTAAGTAATAATGCCGAATGCATGAGGTGATGCAGATTGCCTGAGTAGGAGCCTCCTGGTAGGTACCCACATGTACCTAAGGTAGGTAGTAATCATCACGAGTGCGTGGCTGAAGTAAGTGAGTGACTGCGTTCACTTGTGCCTCTCGTGGTCGAGATAAGGATCGTTGATGTCGACCGTGTCCAGCTCCACGGTCCAGGTGGCTTGATGGATGCCAATGGAGCGATTAGCGTGTCTTACGGCGCTGCTCGAAGCGAGCGCGCGCTAAAACTATTCGAGAGTGTAGTAGACCTATCTCAGCCGCAACTGAACTTGGGGACTTCCCGTTCTAGCTGGCGGGCTGGCAGAACGGGACTATGTGTCAGCATGACGTCAATGCCAAGGCCGAGAAGCGAGTCGCCAACGCCTTTTTCGCTCAGCTACAGGTACTCTACTGTACATCTCGCTGACGTGTTCACGGGTCGGTGTACCATTGAATTGAGTTCAGGTGCGAGGGGCACGTTCCACTTCGCCAAGTCACCCTCGCTGCACCATACTTTGGCTTTGCGCTAGCATTTCACGTGACTGATGGTACACTATACTTATAAGCTCTAGAATCCACACTGGATTTCCTGTTTCCTCTTTTCTTAAACCACAACCACGACGAGGAAGCTACACTAGAAAGCAATTAATTCGCGAACCGATTCCTGAATTAAATCACCAATAAGCTAATCGAGAACGGAGCGAGAGAGGGCTAAGGAGAGCAATCAATTTGGGAAATAATTTACGAATCAATTCCCTCCTCGACCGTAAGTTACTAAACCTTTGTTATCTTAAGTACTAAGTAGAAGGCTAATTAATTCAGAAATCGATTCCGGCGCAATTCGTCTACCTTGATCGTTTACGGCCAATAGTAAGTAATTATTTCTTAAAAAGATTGCTAAATGATTTCGCGAAATATTTCATAGATTATTTCAGGAATTATTTTAGGTAATTTGTGGTTTT